AATCACTGTTGCTTGAGTCCCTTAACAAACATTTTCCCCTTCCAGTAAACAGAAATCCAGCAAGGTGGGCTTCAGTTGCAAAATATATTTCTCCCACCTTGCTATATTAAATAACTAGAGCGCTAGCTCGTCGTTCTGCACGCGGAGACGCTTTGAAGCTGTCCTGGGCGCAGACATTTTGAATTCATGTGCGTGTTTGTAGAACATAATGAAATTAGATAGATTGAATTTTGAAACTGTACTCTACATGCAACGCGCAAGTAGAACATACGCAAACAACTTCAGCGTGTCATTGACGGTTTAAAAAACGTGACGGCAAAAAGCATTTGCAGCGAATACGCGCACGCGTTGCGCTGTTTGCGTAGAGCAAAATTACACGCTCATTTGCTGATCGTGCGTTTCAGTTTTGGGCTTATTGGCTTCGCTAGCGTACCGGTATGGAATACAAACACAGATATGCAAATAGCCGTACAAAAGCCGTACAAAATTTCTAGGTCTCCATAGCTTTGTGCACAAACATGGATGCGCCCAGCAGGCATTACTTTGTACACGAAGTTAGCGCTCTAGTAATTTAATATAGCTCTACGATTTCTCCACATTTATCTGACTGTTGGCATATGAAGTTGTGGTATTAAAGAAGTGTTTTGATTGAATGGAAGGGGATGTGCATTGAGATTTGGGATTGGACAATACACAATCTTGAAGGTTTTTGATTTTTGAAAATCTTTGTCCATTTTATTTCATTTCTTACAGAGTAAGTCACACCTTTGTATTTTGAACTCCTCTTGGTGTATATATATATTTTTAAAACATTGTAGCATAGCATGTTCCTTAGCCCCCCATAAAAAAAACACCTTGCATCAACAATTAAAGTAGGTAGAGTGGCATACCCTGTGCTCTTCAGAAAATTGACTTTTTTTCTCTTAACGACTTCTCAATTTGTGTGCTTTGTTTTAAGGAAAACCACTAATTTATAGCGTCTGCAATCCTCTGAAAAGGGATTTCATTTTGCACACAAATGAACCCTCCCTGCAAGAGGCGAATTATTGTCTGACAGCCAATAATTCAAATTTTGTGAAGAAATTATTCAATATTAACGTTGGTGGATTTTTTTCATTCGATAGCTCATTCCAAAGGGAATAACTTTTACAGAAAAATAACAATTAAAAAACAAAGCTTTTTTATGAGGTGAAGCCGAAAATAGCATGGAGAATGCGCCTTTAAATTATAATTGAAATTGTTAATGCAGGAAAAGAGCAACACTTTAACTAAGTTCAATTACACAAGTCCCAGAGCATTGCTAAAATTGTATATTAGTGTAATGAAGAAAAAAAAATAAAGACTGAAAACGAAGAAATTGTTGATTAGAATTTTGTTTCATCACAACAAACTTACATTTTTTGGTGCAGAATTTTGAAGTTCAGCTGCGGGATTGCCAATATGCTGCTGCCTCTGAGTACACTCTCAAGAATGCTTAGTAATCCATGGAAACAGTCAGCATTACAGTAATTACATCCAAACACATAACAGCGCTGTTGAGCTGATAAGTGACCGCGGAGCAGTCTTGTTATTTACCAGATGAAAGCAGCGATAACGTAAACCGCACACTCCCGATAGATATCTGATGACTGGAAATTCCAATTGCATCTGGTCAAATCTCTGACAGGTTCTGACTGGTGGGTGTTGTACCATCTCTCAATGCTGTGAACCAAGTCCTACATGGGGCTCCCCATTATGAAATGGAACAATCCATAATGATTTGCATATATCTAAAGAGGCGAGCTCTGATTGGCTGTGAGCTGCACTTTGGGATGTCACATTTGTAGTGCTGAATGAAGCTTAGGGGTGGACCCTTTGCAAGCTTTTTTTTCTGAGGGTTCTTGTAAAATATAAAAAGATGATTGTTTGTGAAATAGCCAACATATTTCCTGCCATAGAATTTTTGGTATAAGAAAAAAGGACTCCATTCTCTGTAGTTCATCTTTAGTGGTTTCTTATTCGGTTAAGTTTGTTCCCAATTAAACAAATTTTAGAGGGTCTAACATTTCGGTCTTTTAAAGCCAGAGTCCATCATTTGCAGCTATCCAAAAAGTAACTAGCGTAATTATTGTTGAAAAACATACTTGGTTGAAAGATAGTAAGGCAACTAAACTCCCTGCGAAATTATTCTTTCTGGCAAGCTGTCATTTTGAAGAAATCAACTAAAGAAGGCCTTTCCAACGATGCTTCGTAAGAAGCACCGTAGGAAATTCAAATTTGTAGTTCGTTATGTTATTCGGCAAAGCGCGGGGGGGGGGGGGGGGTTAGAATTTTTATTCCCTCACACATGCAATCAATATGAACCACTAGCACGTGTATATAACTGGCTTTAAAAAGTACATGTTTTCAAGGTTACATTTGAAGGTTCTGTAATGGATTTTAGATTGCACCTGTTTTAACTGAATTTCCAATTCAGTTCCCAACCCATCTTTTGTAAATGACAAGGTTAACTTTAATTCATGGTACATGTACATAGATAACAAGTCTACATGCTGGAACTATTTGCAGGGAATATCAAACAAGGATTGATTTATTTTGCAGTGACAAAATATTTTCATCTAAATATAAAATTTGAAGTGCAAAATTGCAAACACATTTGTTCTGGCTGTCAACACTGTACTGATCAAAGCTTCGTATCCCCCTATCCCCACCCCACCCCTCGTTCTGTTGTGGCAGAAAGCCATATATCCACGCATGAACTACTGCGTAATCAAATCAACCTTTATGGCACCTTGTTTGTCACTGACCACTTACAAATTGCAATCTTTAATATCCATGCTGGAATGGCCATGCCTCAGTCGACTAAGACCAGAGGTCAGGACAATCCATACCACGAAGTATCAGATGGTAGCACTCTATATCCAAGTTTAGAAAAGATGCGGTGCAAAAAGTGATGCGCAAACAGAATCTTTGTTCTTTTTTTGTTTCTCTCTCTCTCTCGCAAGAAAGATATGGGGGAAAGATTCAACCATCACCATGGATACCACATGGATGCTTTGGGCTGCGTTGCCAGCAGCAATCTGGCACTCTGTGATTTATTTGACAAAACTGACACAATAAAAAAACAAATTGTAGATCCTCGCAGTGGGTAACTATGCCAACCTGAGCTTTCGGTATCAAGACAATCTGTGCGTGACATTTTAACAAAACTGCCACTCGGGGAAAATGCAAAAAAGTGCTTGCCAATTGTATAGTTGATCAGTCTAATGGAGTTTTTTGTACTATATTATTTAGGTACTTTTTTTAAAATTGAAAATCAGGTGAAATTATTTCTGCTCTATTTAAGTCACCACTTATTGATGATGCCAAGTAGTCCTCCGGTTAATAGAAGGCCATCTGATGAATATCAGTTTAAACGACGGTTCAGGGCCTCGGGCGTATCGTGATGGGGCACTTGATTAATTTTTAACGACAGAGTGCACAGATGAAACCGTACCGTGGGCAATTTTTGACACATTTTTGTATAGCAGGCAGTTTAAGTGCGCCAACCTTCTCTGAATAATTAGAGAATAATGCAGAGGTGACCTTGAATCTTAAGCTGGAACAAATGATACACTATTTGAAATGAACATCTGCAAACATCAGGGCCCAATTTCATGACTCTGCTTAATTATATTACCGTAGTGAAAAATCCCTGCGTACTATAGCAGAAAATTCTGTGCTTATGGTAAGCGTTCACGGGTTAGCAAGGAATTTTGCATACGTCACATGACTAAGGATTCTGTGCTCACACATGTTACAGGGTTAGCACAGCATTTTTCTACTAGCGCTGTTAACACAAAATGGTGATCATAAGCACGGAATTCTGTGGTTTGCAGAGCCATGCAATTGGGCCCTGGACAATATTTTGAAAATAACAACGGAAGACTGAATGAAAAATTGTTGGTTTCATGCAGTTTCATCTATAATATATCTAGTTTGTTAAGAAGTACAAGTTATCTTTTTTGGACTGGCTGTGCCGAATATATTGAATATTCAATCGTCTGAATAGCATTTTTGGAAAAAATGTTGCAACCTGACGCAACTCCTGCGATAGTGTACAAAGTCTATGGAGAGTCAAGAAAATTGTCTATGTATTTCCTAACAAAATTTGAAATGTTTCTCAGTCCCAGATTCATGTCTTATCATCATTTTTGCAATGAATGACCTTCATTGAGATGATATATACACGTAAAGAAAAAAAGTGGCGTCAGGTTGCAACAGTTTTCTGTATTTTTCTGATTTGCATATTCGAAAAATGTGATTGGTCTCGAGAAGATGAAGAGAAATGCCCATGATGTGATTTTAATCATACAATCGTAATCTTTCAAGTATCAGCTAGTCAGCTACATCAGCAAAATCTTAATATGTTCTTGATAGTTAGAAAGCTTGTTTTTCACACAAATCCTGATCAGTAGACCATTTAATTTCCGATCGATGAACGCAGATTTCCTGACCGGCATGTGCATTGTGTGACTGGTGCGCCCAGTTTATGCCTGCGCTTGTAATACTTGTTTGTGTGCTAAGGGTGCAAAGTACCCGGTACGCACAATTAAAATTAATACTAAATGTGCTCATACCTGCATTTGTGGGTCACTCTATTAACTTAGGGTGCACTTTTTTTCCTGTCCCTGTTGCATCTGACGTCTATTATTTTATAATTCTGATGCACTCCTTAATGCAGTCGTCCTCCAAGAGTGATTATGAATAGCTAACTACATACCCGACAACTAAAAATGGTGTTAAAAGTCATTCTTAATTATACTTGAACGGCAAATTACAAAGTACCAAAGTAACAGGGGTAGGAAAAATGTCACACTTTGGACCGTATTAGAATGACACTTGTCTTTGTGAATGCGTCAAGAGGTTCACCTTACCCTATCCTGGTAACCGGACATTGGGAACTTGGAAGATGCATGCACTTTTATGAAGAACATGTGTGACTTCTTAAAACTGACCATTTGAATTTTCTTCTCTCTCATTATGATGTAGGATTGGAAGACTCAACCCATGTGCTGAAAGAACACGGCATGGTATTCAGTGCGACGCTGGGTATGGTGGACGTGACACGAGGGTCCAACTCCTACTACAAACTGCAGATACTGGAAAGTGACACGGGCAAAAAGTAAGAAGACAAGGCGGACCCAGTTGCACAGCGCTCCTGAGCAGGAAATAGTGCTTGCAATTCCACGGTTGTCTTCCGTCAACTCTCCTGTAAAAGTCAAAGCATTTAGGGTGGATTTCTCTCACATAAAATTCCTTTAAGTTAAAGGAAACTTGCAGTGGAAATTCAGCTCATCTTGTTTTCATGCACATTACTATGTGTTGCAACAATACATACAAGATCTTAATACTTGTTTTCATGAGAAGTGACAAGAAAGTGGTAGTTTTTCAATTATTAGCAAATCTTTTCATCAGTATATGTAAGAGGGCGCTATTTTGCTTTTGTCACACAAGGTACTCCTCGTCAAAAGTGCATATGAACAGTAAAAAAATTAGTCCTTCAAAATTACCCACAAAAAGTTTTGAAGAAATATTGGCCACTACTACTGTCCAAACAAGCTGTTTAACATGATAAACAAGTAAAAAGTGGAATTTACTCCCAGAAAATGATGAAAAATTTTATATATATATCTGTGCACAAAGCTATGGAGACACTACTGTTGTACCTTGAATGACATCACGCTTTGGCTAATGAATATGGAAATTTTCATTAGCATAAAAACTAAAATGTTGAAATTTCTCCCTTTTACTGCTACAAAGGAGGTGGAAAGTCATAGTTACATGGCAAGAAAGCTGTTTTAAATGTACTTAAGTCATAAAAATCATATTACATGTTCCCTTTAAGTGTCTAAAATAAGATTCTGTTGTTTTGGCTATAAGATTATTTTCGGTAAATTGCATTACACAAAAAGGACATGGAAAAAGCTTTAATACCCTGCAAAGTGCATTAGGAAATTTTCTCTTACTGTGCATTGTTGGAAGATTCTTTTCTTCCTTCGGTGAAAGGCACACACGTAGTATTGAAATCTTTCCAGTGCCCTTAAATCATTAAAAAAATTATTAACAAATAATCAATCATGAAATCTCTAGAGGGATGTATTTAGGTAACTCACGATACAGTACATGTAACTCGCGTTACAGATTGTTCGCCCAGTTTTGGTTAAAGTTAAAGCATATATTTATCAAACCAGATAATCTCTTTTGGCATAGACTACCGTTCTCACTGACTTAAAAACAAAAACTCGCAACAACACTTGCAATTTGCATCTGAAAGCAAAATGCCAAAACGACTACCTAAAATCAATAATTTTAGCCGCCAAAACCAGTTTTTTTGACACCAAAAAAAAAAATTGTTACCATAATGCCATCTCACTGGCACACCATTCAACTGAAATATCTTGTCCCCTTTAATTTGATGCCACATTTGAAGTTGTTATGCTTGTAGTTCTGAAGATTTTCACCTTCTCGGCTGTGTCCACTTTGCCGTTGACTTATCCTTAGCAAATTTGTGTTCTGAGAAAAAAAATTTGTTCGTAGCAAATTCCTGTGCTGAACAGCTCAAGGAAATTGGTTCCACGTCCCTTTATTTATTGGAATTTTGTGAAGTGTGGAATATCAAAAGTCTATTTGTGACCCTCCAGCACAAAATCGGTCACTTGAACCAATTTTTGAAAATGGGGCGGGGGGGGGGGGGGGGGGATGACATTGAATAAGCTTTCCAGTGATGAACAGAATATGGGAATCAGAAAAAATCTGACAGAGTTACAGGTATTTTCAGGTCCCCATTTCAGAGCCTCGGAGAATTAAAAAAAAATAATTTATGTCCAGAGCTTGACAAAAGCTCAAACTGAATGTTTGGTAAAATCTGCACCAAAGTGCCATAAATAGATTCAGTGCAAAACTGTAAATCGGAAGCACAAATCTCTTGGGGGGGGGGGGGGGGAGTTAATTTGGATCAGACTCCTGACTCCTGAATGGCATTGGAATCAATTTCAAAAACGAGGGATTCAAGCATGGCTATCTAACTGAATCCTTAATCTCACCAGTCTCCCTTTTTTATTATTGCCTGATTTTTTTTTTCACAGCTACTGGGTCTTCAGATCCTGGGGGCGTGTCGGGACGGGTATCGGGGGCAACAAGGTGGAGCAGTACAGAGGCAATAAGGCTGATGCCCGTCGGAAGTTTGTGGAACTTTACACCGAGAAAACTGGCAACCCTTTCGGCACCAAGAACTTTGAGAAGATACCTCATAGATTCTATCCCCTGGATATTGACTATGGAGATGATGTACGTATTCCCTTCAAGATTGCTTCCCTTTCCCGCTTTTGTTTTCCTGTAATTGAAACCTTGTTACCCTGATTTAGTGCTTCCTTGTTTTTGGACTGCCTGTCCGCCATGTTTCCTTACTGCACTGTTTTTTCTGGAATCTGAGCTTCCTTGTTTTCCTTGCTCCATGCTTCCTTGCCTTTTCATTTCCTGGCTGGATTATACTTCCCAGTTTTCCATTCGTCTTCGTCTGCTTGCCCTTGGTATCCTTGCAAATGCTCAGGCTGCCTTGTGTCCTTGATCCTTTTCGTTCTTGCTGCCATGTTTTCATTGGTTGCCTTATTGTTTGCCATTTTTGTTTCCAATTCTTGTTTAGTCCCCATTTGTTTACCTGTGCCTTTCTTTGTCAAACTACCAGCTTTGTTTTTGACTGATATTTGTCCCCAGGAGGAGATTGCCAAGCTGGACGAGGCTGTCGATATCGACTCCAAGCTCCACCCACAAATCCAGAACCTGATGAAACTCATCTTTGACATCGACACTCTGAAAAAGACTATGGTTGAGTTTGAGGTGAGTCTTTCATGCAAAGCGTGTGTGACCAGAGCCTGTGGAATGAGTCTTTAGGACATAATTGGTTTTCTTTCACATGCAGTGGAAACACCATCCTCTGCTCTCCTTAACCCTAACCCTCCTCAATCCTCCAAAATCCTTCTTGTGGTTTTGGAGGATTATGGAGGATTGAAGCTGAATGGTATTTTTTTTAGATAAGGATTTTGGAGGATTGAGGCTGAATGGTATTTTTTAGAAAAGGATTTTGGAGGATTGAGGCTGAATGGTATTTTTTTCAGAAAAGGATTTTGGAGGATTGAGGCTGATAGGTATTTTGAGGCAGAACTGTCTGACGATTTTGAAGGATTGAGGGGCTGGGTACCCTTCATTTGAACATAAGTGCAACATTTTTGGATGAGGATGATTTTGGAGGATTGAGGATGAATGCATTTTGAGGCAGGACTGTCTGAAAATTTTGAAGAATTTAGGTGCTGTTGTCAAATTTTGGAGGATTGAGGATGGTTCCTAGCAAAAAGGCCTAGGGGGTTAGGGTTATAATATATCATTCGGCTTGACAACTTATATACGGAAATTGAAATTTATCATTAGCAGACGGAAGTTGAATGTTCCTGGCATTGGTAATGAGATATGTTGCTAAATATGGATTGGAACTTCAGTTGCCAGGATTTTCCGTAAAGAGGCTGTAATATTATTTCAACAGTCAAATCCTACACGGAATCAATTAACAGTTGAAGAAGCAGAATTTGAACCCTGACCTCCAGAATACTATACCAGGGCTCCACCATCTGAGTCAGCTCACACTATGTTAGTGGTCTCAAAATTTGTCACCGATTTTATTTGTATTCTGGCAATGAAGAAGAAGAAGTTTTTTCTGTACTCATGATGAGTGAAATCACTGTATTGCCCCAAACTGCCCCACCTATCACTCCCTTTGGTGCCCAAAACTGCATGAGTACCCTCTATGGCTTTATGGATTCATCAATGAATAGACACAATGTAATACAATGTAGTACAAGTTTTAGATGGTTTAAGCCCTGTCCGCACTGGACTTTTTTTGGTCAAACTAACCGAGACTATGGGTACTTTTCCCATTTTAAGTCCAGTGCGGGACAGCCTGGGACGTTTTCCTCTCAGTTACTTTTCCTGAGTCCAGCAGTTACTTTTACTGGCCAACTGCTGCCCAGGAAAATTGACCGGGTGCCCAGGAAAACTGACCAGGTCACTTTTCCCGAGACGATAAGTCCAGTGCGGACAGTGCGAGTCGGTAAAATCGTCTCAGGAAAGCGTTCATCCGGCCCTAGCGCCCTATGCATACAAAGACCGCACGAACCTGCACGTGCAGTGGCGGAAAATTTTGTAGAAACACGCTGCGGTGTATCATCAAGTCCGAGCGGTAAAATCTCGTTACAAATATATTTCAACGGAGAAATACATACACAGAAAAGAGAGATCACATTGTGGGAATTAATTTGCAGAAATTCTCTTTCTCCACCGTATTTTCTATGATCCAAATTCGTCCTGTTAGGCTGTTACGCTACTGTAGTCATGCACGGCGCATCATGGTCTGGTACCGTACGTAGGCCGTAGTCACTGGTTCTGGTCCTACATCATAGCTTTGATTCTGTTAGCAATGCGATGGGAACCAACGAATACCGATGGCACTGCTGCCGCACGGAATATCGTACAGCGGCATGGCTTCGATGTCGTGCATCACAATGCGTCGGAAATACTAGGGTTTTCCGTCAAGATTTAGCGTGTGAAGATGAAATAATATCGTGTAAACGATTATGTTATGCATGCAAATGGCGTGTGTAATATTACTGAGCGTATCGGTGGCTGAAAATGTGATCGGCAGTTTGTTTTCTGCGTACGGTGAGTCATTACACTGACACAGTGACAGCTCGGTTACATTCTCCCACGCGGTCTGGGTAAAATTTCCCGTGTCGAAAGTCCAAGTGCGGACAGTGGTCACATTTGACCATTTCTCATTTTACTATCGTCTCGTTAAAACCTCCCAAAAAAAAAGTCCAGTGCGGACACGGCTTAAGACAGAATGGGAGGAATGTATTTTTCTTATTGCAAGTGAAAATGTAATTACCATCTAAAGTGGGAAAATAATGGGGGATTTATCTCTTCTAGATCGACATGGACAAGATGCCTCTGGGGAAGTTATCTCGCTCCCAGATACAGAACGCCTACTCTGTGCTGACAGAGCTTCAAACAGTAAGCCACTTCATTATTTTTTCCTTTCATTTTAATAGGTTTCAAATCCGTACTTATTGTGGACATACTTTTGGTAAATGTTACATGCGGTTACTGTCATCACGAACTTGGTGAAGATGGGAGTCTGCTATTTTTTTGTGGTTTAAACCCAATCTCGGTTTTTATAGTAGTATCCCACTTTGGGAGTCAGGTTGGCACAGTGGTTACTTTCCTCGCCTTCCACCTCTATGGCCCGGGTTCGATTCCTGCCTGGTCCACATGTGGATGGGGTTTTCAGTCCCATCTGGGCTTTTGTTACATCTTTGATTTGCACCAATATATAGTAAGAAACAAACCAGTAACTATTTCCTTAAATGCTGCTCTATGCCCTAGAGCATTGATTTACTACTCCCTTTGTTTCCTTTAATAACTCCAGCTGATTGAGGCCGGTAATGCTAGCAGGAACGCCATGCTAGACGCTACCAACAGATTCTTTACTCTCATTCCTCATAACTTCGGCTTCGAATCCATCCCCCTCCTGAACACGTTGGAAGTCATACAGGTGGGTTTCTTTGTCCTTCTTGTACCTATAAACTCACTGACTAACCCGCTGACTGACTGACTGACTGACTCCCCCGTCACTTGTGGCTTAGACTGGTTGAAGATCAAGAGAGGACGCTTTTTTTCCTCTTTCAAGAACCCAGTAGACAGTACTTGCACGTATAGCACAAAGTACGCATTACTAATGTTATACTTAATGTGCACCAAGCCATATCATCATCACATGAGAGTCAGGTGTCGCCGACAGTGCTTTGGAATGTCTCTCCCAGTGGTCTTCCCAACTCTCCCTCTCTTACCATTGAGGGGGTACTTGCGCACAGAGCCCATACATAGCGAATCAACGTGTGCAAAGTGTGTCCTGCACAGTGGAGTAAGCACTAATAGGCTCATATTGCCATCTGCTCTTCCTGCATATGGTTCTTATTAAGAGGGAAGGGTCATTCCATGTCAAATCACCCAATGGATTAAACCCCACCTGCTTCAAATTTGCTCTTTTTTAGTGTAATTTAGGCTGAAAGAGCTGAAATTTTAAGTTTTAGCTTCATCGGACGAACAGTTTTTGCATTACCACCCACCATTGTTTGGTGATTTTGGGCAAAATGGGCGAGGCCGCCAATATTCAAATGACCTTTTCTCCATAACCTGTGTGCCAAATTTGTTGGTGTTGGTTGCTTTGGAAAGGTAACATCATAAGGAATCAAAATACATGTACTATGACTTTTCATGTCGGAGTAATTTGAAGTATGATGACCTTTTGACCTTTACTTTGAACTTGAATTTAACCTTGTGGATCATGTGATCCACAAGGTTGCTAATTTGGTTGCTGAAGTTTGCTGTATTTTCATTTGGATACTTGTATTTTTAATTCAGCTGAAGACAAAGATGCTTGATAGCTTGCTGGAGATAGAGGTTGCCTACAGCCTGTTGAAAGCCAGCCGAGGAACCCAGGCCGAGCAGAATCCAATCGACGCTAACTACGAGAAACTCAAGTGTCTCATGGAGGTTAGAAACTCATTGAATTGATACTGTCAAACTTGAAACCTCGAACAAAATCATGGCTGCTTAGTTCAAAACTTTACTAAGCACGTGAAGTATTTGCTGAGCCAAAACAAGCTGTCAGCCGAAACATAATGCAGATCTGCAGCTGATTTTGTGTATTGATGTATACATGTACATGGCACCACCGGTGAAGGGAACAGATAGACAGCCTTAGTAATAGAGTACCGAAGTGTGACATCATTTAGAACCAGAAAGCGTCGTGCAAACGAATGGAGTATGCGCGCATGTTGGTTCATGGGCTGAATCACACGCTAAATTGTCTTTTACACACATTTTGTGAGCGTGATGTATTCACTTCGGTACTCTATAGTTGATAACCAGGGAAGATTCAGGGGGCCAACGGGGGCCAACGGGGGCCATGCCCCCCCCCCCCCCCCAAAACCCATTTGTTTTTTCGTGATGTCGCAATAAAGGCAGGCACTGTGTACACCACCATCTTTTCCTAAACAAAATTGGTAAAAGTGGTCAGAAATTGCCACAGATCGCACCACAGAGCATCTAGAATCCAAAAAATATTCACGGCCCATGAGCGGGCACTGAACCCCACGCCGTAATTTTTTGGACCCACTTTGTGAACGACCACAATTGTGTTTGCTCCCCCCCCCCAAAAAAACTTGTGTTCTGGATTCGCCCTTGCACTATAAACGCTTCTTGTCTTAATGTCTTTTTAAGAATCAAAAATACTGTCTGTTGAGGACACGTGCTGTAGATGTAGATTTGTACCCTTAAAAGGATTTTTTTCACAAAGATTAGACAACAGTCTTCTAACTGATAAGGCTTTGTCCGTTTCTCAACAGGTTGTTCCTCAAGGCAGTGATGAGTTCAAGATGATTGAGGTGTACACTAAGAACACCCACGGTGCCACTCACAGCTCCTACAAACTCAAAGTGGAGGAGGTCAGTCCTGAGACCCTATTATTCCCATCAACTCTTTCTTTTCAAGTATTTACTTTTCTATTATAAGATGGAATTTTGCGTCGGGGTGATATAAATCAAATTAGGTTTTGCCCTTCATTTACTTTTCAATATTTTTTTTTTTTTTTGGTCTGTTGCTTCCTTCCTTATTCCGACTCTTCACACCCTAATTCATGTCTTTTCATGTGTCTTTGTGTTCTTGACAAAAGCTCACAATGGCTTTAACGCAAAGGCCTTTCTTTCCCATGACATTCCAGTTTAAATCTGGGGGGGGGGGGGGTTTGGAGGTGGAGGTGGAAGGGTGTTGGGGGTGGAGGGGGAGGGGTTTAATGTTGAAGTGGTGCCAAATACATGCGCATACTCACAGGAAGAGTCACTCAAATGTTACTAATTTTCGTGGTTCATGGCTTCTGAAAAAATCTGGATCAGTGTAAAAATAGAAAACAAACTGTTAGTGGTAGGGGTTTGTACAATTTCTTCTATGATGTGAAATCACCTAGCAATCCAATGTCTGACCGTTTCATTCCCTGATTCCAGGGTTCTGAACATTATTGACTTGTATGCGCTCCATGCCCTGCTGTTGGGATCGGGAACTGAGGTTGAGTTGAAGTTGCAAAAATGCTAATAGTGATGATGCTTAAAGAGAGCCTGCTTTTGAGCCCTTAACTCATTAAATCTGAGGATTGATTGAGGTCTTTCTGAATTGCTGCCAACTGTATAACAGAAGTCTGATATTAAAGAGGTTGTGGAATGCTCGAAGACATTTCCGTCATTTTTTGGGTATATGTAGCCTAAGGTGTGATGAAATAAAAACGACTATTGTTTCTGTCATGAAATGAGTACAAAGGGTACTTTGAGAGCTATTTTTCAGGTCCTGTTTCGACCCGAACTTGCAATTTGTGTAAAAGTCGTTGTTGCGGGCAGCAAACAAAACACAGTAAATCGTGACGTAATAAACAGGACTCGTTTATGCTACTCTGCATCTGGAGTCCTGTTTATTACGTCACGAATTACTGTGTTTTGTTTGCTGCCCGCAACGACGACTTTTACACAAATTGCACGTTCGGGTCGAAACAGGCATGACAGGACTTGAAAAACAGCTCTCAAAAGTACCTTTTGTACTCATTTTATGACAGAAACAATAGTCGTTTTTATTTCATCACACCTTAGGCTACATGTACCCAAAAAATGACGGAAATGTCTTCGAGCATTCCACAACCTCTTTAAAATTTGTAAGAAACCTTCACAGACAGGTCACTGACAGTCATAACACTCTAAGCAAATCCTACCTTGAGTTGTCCTGTATGTCGTCGTTTTCTACAGGTATTTCGTCTGGATCGAGGAGATGAGACAGCACGTTACAAACCATTCAAGAAGCTGCATAACCGCATGCTGCTGTGGCACGGCTCCAGACTATCAAACTACTGTGGTATCCTGTCACAGGGCCTGCGCATCGCCCCGCCTGAAGCCCCAGCTGTGAGTTGCTTTGTTACAAGGTGTTTTTTTTTTCCCACAGCGGGTGTGAAACTCTCCGTTGACTTGAGCTGCTTATGTTGGTTGGTTGGTGGGTGGGTGGTGGGTTGGTGGGTGGACTCTGGACAGTTTACTCCGCCATACCCGGTATGTGACCTGTTCTGTCAAAAGTAAACGCTTCTGGGCAGAGGTTGAAATTGAGACAGGGCCAAAAAAAGCTGTGGGGGTTACTTTTTTCCATTTTCTAATTTTTGCATATTTGTAATCCCGAGCATGTCTAAAATATACTATAAAAGTTTGAAACCCTAATTTGATCTCTAATTATAGTATTTTTGATGATTGGCTAAGGTATATCAGTTAAAGAAATGTCTGTTTTGTGACGTTTGTGTCCATTTTCTCTGTTTTCTACTTTTCGACACAATGAACTTCAAAATAGCATAACTCTGCCCAGGAATGACCGGTTTCAAAAATTAAACCACCTATTAAAAGGAAACAGAACATATTTTAACAATATGCAAAAATCTCATTTTTGACCTATGCCCAGAAAAGTCTGATTTTGACAGAACAGGTCACATATATTGTATTCATATCACTCAAGTATTACAGCTTTGCATTCGAAGACCACTTTTGAAAACTTAATGCGCATGAGTCTAATTTGCATATTTTTGCAGATTAGATCACGCCCCATTCAGGTGCACAGACAGTGCCGTATTAAAGGCGTCTTCACATGTTACCCAGCCGCCGTGGGTAGTACCACTTGGTACTTTCTTTAGTTAGTGCATGTGAATCAGTTTGTAGAGATAAATTCCTCATGACTTCAGTGAACAACTACCCCTTTAACGGTTACAAGCGAGAGTTGGGGAAGACCACTAGGAGAGACGTTTGAATACATTGCCGACGACGCCTTTATGCACATTTAGAATAAAGTTAGTTGTGTTACTTCGCTCAGTACTTGTGCAAACCAGTACGCGTACGAGGTGCGTCCCATCCACTGGGCTCTTGAAAGTGGTAAAACAGCGCCCTCTCTTGTTCGCACGGTGAGCCCGTAGTAAATCTCAATTGAAGCAAATCTCTGAGTTGCAGTCTTGTAGAGTCCTTTTCTTCAGCCGTGCCCGAATCACGTGGCTACGGCTGGAATATATCACACAGGACTATGGGAAGTGGCTGCAGACATTGGCCAGTGGCTTCAATAGGGTGTGCCTGTTATTCCCGGTTGTAGTCAAGTGATTCGGACACGGCCTGAGTCCCCAAGCGTACTGATATGTGACCTGTTTTGTCAAAAGTAGACGCTTCTGGGCAGAGGTTGAAATTCAGATAGGGCCAAAAAACGCTGTGGGGGTGATTTTTATCGATTTCCAAATTTTTGCATAGTTGTAATAAAATATATTATAAAAGTTTGAAACCCTAATTTGAACTCTACATATACTATTTTTGATGATTTTGATAAGGTATATCAGTTAAAGAAATAACTGTTTTGTGACGTTCGTGGCCATTTTCTCCGTTTTCTACTTTTTGACACAATGAACTTCAAAATAGCATAACTCTGCCCAGGAGTGACCGGTTTCAAAAATTAAACCACCTATTAAAAGGAAAAAGAACATATGTTAACAATATGTAAAAATATTATTTTCAACCTTATGCCCAGAAAAGTCTGATTTTGACAGAACAGGTCACATATTATCTTGTAACAGAAGGAATCAAGCCTAAACACCCAGGCTAGGTCTGCTGGGTACTTCAACTTGCATGAATAAGAACATGTGTGTTGGGACTCACAGCTGAAAAGGTTTGCCATGTACAAATATTAGCTTTGAATCTGGACGCTGCAACTCCGACCACAAATAGTTGAGATATTTTCAGCGTATATTTCCCTTTTGTTTACAAATTTTTCAAAAGCCATAGTACCAACACCACAATGTGTAGTTTTTCAGGTTTAATTTTGACTAATTCACCACGTCCGTCTTGGATTTGTTTGTCCCACCAGACGGGTTACATGTTTGGCAAGGGCGTGTACTTTGCCGACATGGTGTCCAAGAGCGCCAACTACTGCTTCACTAACCGCAACAACTCGACGGGCCTGATGCTGCTGTGTGAGGTTGCTATCGGCAACATGCATGAGCTGACTAGTTCCTCCTACATCACCCAGCTACCTAGTGGGAAACATAGCACCAAGGGTAAGCACCATGCTAGGGCTGGGCATTGACGGGTATTGAAACCAGTATCCGAAAATCGTCACAGGCATTCGGTTACCCGTCAGAGAGGAAAAAGAGAGAACGCTGTACTCTAAAACTAGTAGTCACTGGTGATTTGTTCTGCTTGTCAAGTAAAACAATGAAAAAAACACAGCTTTGTTAATAAATGCTCCAAGAAAAAAAAGGCAGTTGATCTCACCTCCTCCTGCCATTTGTTTTCTTTGTCAACTTTTATCCCCTCTCGGGTGCTTGTTGTCACTCACGACTAATGACTTTTGGGATGTGGGCTGGGAACAAACAATAGGCCTCATGTATTGAAGTAGAGTTGGAGGGAAATGGTTTTGTATTGTGGAATCCGGCGATCGGAATTAGAAGCTTTTACTGCGGTGGTGTCATACTCACGTGCATGCTGCATGTGTCCTTAAAGACGGAAGCGCACACGCATTTTGGTGTTCCTATTGGTTGAAGGAGCCCGGGGTGCGTGTGTAGTACCTGAGCGTGACTCACGCGAGCCTGGTACTTCCACAGAAAATGGCTGCTGCCGGATTTGTGTATAGCTTGGGTAGGCATACATTGTAAGTTTACTTGTTCTACATAACCCCCGAGGACAGACACACAAAGGGAGAACAACAGATCCTTGCAGTCCTCAAGAGTTGGGTCTTTTGTTCAAAACGGTCCTCTGTGGTAGGTTTGTGTGCTTAGTCTATGGGAGTGTGTTATATAACAGGGACAAAGGAAAACACAAAGCATTGTCCTTGGGAGTATACTAAACAGTGTGTGAACCTTTTGCGCATTCATTGTTACTAGACTAACATGACAAAGTATACCCTCTGAAATACCTTCCAACACATAAAGTCTCTGTTTTAAAGTCAATGTTTAGAATTGCAATTAGTACTACTGAGCTGGGAATTTGTTTTCATTTCACAGTAGTTGGACAATTGCGCTAAAAACAAAATGTGCCATTCTGACTGTTTTGACCTTACACTTCTGCACGTATTTGTGTTTTGACAAATGTCTTAGAATGTCTGACCATGCGTGTCCCACTCTCCAAATATTGTACTCTTTTTTGATGTAATGTGTTTCAAACTTTCATTTTTGTGTGTGCGAACATTAGGGCCCACACTTATGTCATTTTAATGCTTCCACGATAAAATATCATCGCTGAAACTGTTTGTGTTTTTTTTCACTTGTTTTTCTTTACCAGGAATTGGTGGGACCTACCCAGATCCAAAAGGTCAAATCACCCTGGATGATGGCACCATTGTGCCCACAGGGAAGGCTAAGAGCACCTCTAGCTACTCAAGTCTGCTGTATAACGAGTATCCTTTACATCAAGTTAGCATTTATAGAATTTCAGAGAGTTATGAGGGTTTGGACTGGGTGATTCTGGCCTTAAGCTACTATGCACTGTAAAAAAAAGAGCAGTTGTGACCAATTATCCACAAACCATGCTGAAAATGCCAGAATATTAATGCAGTAATTGATATATTATAAAATTTTGCACAAGTGTCTTCGCAACAGTAACAAAGAGAGAATATCAATATAAGGTTTTGCCCTTCACCAACATATTTACACTGTATACTTAGTGTGTTACCTCCCGAGTGAAAGTTGGAAAAATCACTCGGGTGGGACTCGAACCCACGACCTCCTGCTTTCTAGTGCAGACGTCTTACCACTTGACCACCAAGCTTACGGGATCGAATCTGATGTACATAACTGAGTATACAGTGTTAATATATCAACGAACGGTTACACCTAATATTGATTTACATCCCCCCCCCCCCCCGATGCAAAATTCCATCTTACGTAAGAGAGAATAGTCAATTGCCTAGCCCACTCATGAAGATGCAACAAGTTTGTGTGAATTCAGATTGATATTTTGAATCGTACGCGTGCAGACCAGTTCAAGCACAAAGTTTTTTTTGGGGGGGGAAGGGAAGGGGAGGCACCATTTGACTCTAGGTGGCGCTGTTCATAGTATACATACCAGTAGATACATGCATAATGTGTGCTTTTCAGCCCTTTAGTCACTGTAGCACCTGAGAACATCCTGCTTATCACTCGCTGTACCGCCAGAAAACGCCCGAGCACTCTATGGTTTTATCCATGAATAAACATAACCTAATACAATGTAATACAGGTGCTAATATGTAAATGATGATTCGCACTGTCATACACATTAATTTATTGTCCTTTTTTTCAAAACTTATAATTTTTTTTTTACATTTTGTTTAGCACAAAAATCTGGGAGTACGGTATCCCTCAGCCCATCCTCCTCAATCAAAAGAGGGGACAACTCTGCCATTCCTCGCGGATGCGCACCACTGATTTGGGGCTTTTGTTAATTTTTGTTTTTAATATGGTGTATGATGACATCTGTGGGCAACTGTGATTCTTTTCTTTAACCCGGCTCAACAGATTCATCGTGTACGACGTGTCACAGATCCGCATGAAGTATCTCATCAAGATGAATTTCATCTATTAGTTGCTTATTTTCCGTCTTAACATCCGAGGCCAATTACATCGAGCTGCTCAGCACTGGAAAATTACTGAACAGAACAGAGGAGGTATTTGGTTTTTATAGCAAAAACACAGCGGGTTTCAAAGCAACCGTCATGCAGTTTTTCGTTTCCAGCTCGTGAGTGATTTTCTGCCATATATACGCCTTGCTCATAAATTTGCTCAGCTTTATTTTGGAGAAGAATTTGATGTGAAAATCACTCATTTTTGCCATGGAGAGGGACGACTACACGACTACTTGTAGGGAAGATCATATTTTGAGGGAAAAATTTCTCTAAATTCATTGGATTACCCCAAAAAGTTTGAACGGAAGTGAAAGAGGGTAAAAGACCTTAAATTAGGTCCGCATGTTGAGCAGCCTGGCGATTTGTATTTTACCAAATTTTTGGATGTGAGGGTAATGTGGCGAAACAGGGCACCTACAGACTAGTCTAATCGCTATGAATTATGTATGCGCGCATAGGTCATTAATATTAATGGGTCATTAATATTAATGGTGCGCGTAGACTAATCCGCAATGAATTATATGGCGTGACTTGAGCATCAATAATGCATGAGCGCGCGTAAGCCTATCACCAGGGTGCATTGCGCAAGATCAGGGCGCTTATAAAGTGGTGCTTGACATCGCCTAGCCACTAGGTTTCACTGGATTAACACAACGATGTAACAGTTTTGCATCACCGTCGCCATCTTGAAACGAACTGGCTAGGCGATGTCAAGCACCTCTTTATAAGCGCCCTGATTTTGGGCAATGCGCGCTGGTGATTGGCTTACGGGCGCTCATGCATTATTGATGCTCAAGTCACGCCATATAATTCATTGCGGATTAGTCTACGCGCACCATTAATATCAATGACCTATGCGCGCATACATAATTCATAGATTAGACTAGTCTGTAGGTGCCCTGTTTCGCCACAGTACTTCTCATTGATGGGAATTTATATACTTGTCTGCACTCAGAAACAAAGATAAAGTTGTACCTTTAGCAATTGATTCAACTCCAATTTGTCTTAGTAACGATGTTAAAAGAGTCTTAAGAAGCAAGAAATGACTTAAATCTGAAATTTGGCGTCACATGTTCACTATAAAGGTCTGTGAGAAAAGGATTGGAAAAATGATTTTTACCAGTGTTTGTTTTTGCATCATTGTTATGCATGAATCATACATTCTGTTCAAAGTTATGACAAAGTAATAACAAAAAATCATTTGATTTTAGCAAGGTTTTCTTCGAGGTAGCACATTGTCGCATCATTTTTCCTTTCTTGGCATTCGTTTGTCTTATAAGTATTTTTAATCCATGTTAATACAAAAAGTTTGCAAATTAATCAATTGATTATACAACTTAGTACTGTATAATTGTGAAACTTATTTTGTAAAAAACCCACACTTGTTTGCCCTTAGCAGTTTTGTAGCTTGAAATTGTTTCAGGAATATGAAAGCCATGTATTCAGTTGACACATTCATGACATCAAAAGTTGAGCATCAGATATGTTTTGGTTGTATTGTAACTTTTTTAATGTAAAAAGATACCAGTTTAGCTTTGTTTTTGTCTCTTTCTGTAGATTGGAATGTTTTTTAAGTCAACTTGTACATTGACTCATACTAGAATTGGCGTGAGTTCCAGCCTGGATTTGACTCTAAACTCTAGTGTTCATTTGATGAGTGAGGTTTTAACCAGTTTGCGCCGGATGACGTGTATAGACACTAAAGTTTTGCGGTATTCAGAACAGATGACAGATAAACACGCAGGGAGTGAGGCTGGAAATATCTGTCAGCAACCCGCTCACAGTGAGTGAAGCCGGAAATATGAGGGTCCTGCCCGAGGTTGATGGCTTCAATGCGCCTTGCTTATAAGATTGAGTGAAAGGCAATATAAAGGTTAAATAATTCCGGCTTGAACTGGTTAAATGACAAAGCAAAGGAATGCAAACCAATTTTACGTCACAGTCCACTCACAGCGGAATTTCAGTTCAGTGTTCTTTCAGCAAAACGAAAACAAATCACACACATCCTGATGTGATTTGTTTTCGTTTTGCTGAAAGAACGCACACCTTTTTTGTGATCCGTGGACAGAACTTTAAAACGGTGGTTGTGTTTAAAACGCTGTAACTTGAAATGTACATGAGTGATTTGAATGATTCTTGTTCTAAAAGAAAGCTTATGAATTGGGCTTTCATATCCTAGATTTTGAAAGTGCTACATGCAGAACTTCACTAAAACATTGGTCCCGACATTTAGGTTTCGATTTTTTTTTTACTCACCCTGTAGTGTATTCAGAGTCCCAAGTCCCGTTTGGCCAGGAGACAGAACCGATTCCATTTCCAGACATGAGCCTGTTTTGCCAGTTTAGACTCACATGAACAGCTGCCATTGTGAGGCCCTGGGATAAAGATTTCACTACACTAGTAAAATGAGTTTCATTCATCAAGTTTATTCCAAGCTTAGCCAAGCAAACAATCTCCTCTTAACTCCTCATATACATTATGTAATATACAACACCATCATCAGATAGTAGTTTGAGAATTTCTTAATCAGAAAATGAATATACACGTACATCCTTCGCACCCAAGCCTTCAATGAAGGTCTTTGATGCACAGTTCAAGATGATAAATGTTTGAACCAAGGACTCGTTTGTGCCTCTCACGTTTAATGTGAAAATAGCATTGTACAAATTGAAAAGAAAAACAAGAGTTTATATATAGATTAATCACTTAAATGGTTGTGACTGACTTATGCAAACTCCAATGTTAGGCATATGCATTTTATACTTGTCATAGCAGATGGTTGAATGATCTTCATTAAAATGGACTACTACTTCAACATAAAAATCGAATTTTGATACATGTAATTTGTTTTTCTTCTCCGAGGTGAAAAAAGTAATTGTTCAATAATTACGACAGCTATCATGATAAATCTTGGTTTAGTAAAACTGTACATGCATCCATCAACTCAGCACCAAAACTGTACATGCACCCATCAACTCAGCACCAAAGGTGTACTGTGATGTGATTAGCCATGATAGTCACGCCCACAAATCATCGGTGAGCTGTTACCTCTCTTCCGAGGCCCAGCGCGTTTATCTCACCTGGAAGTTGTCAACCTTATCTATGAGTGCTCAAAGGTAAAAAAAAAAGTCTAATAAAAGTACAGTTTGGTTTATTTTTGCGGGTTTTAATTATGCATATAATGTTTCTAATACTGCTACCTTCTAGCTCTATTTTGTCCCCGTTATTCCCCGTCAATATCATGTTTGAAAGTAAAGTCTACCACATTTTGTGTATAAACCCCTTGTGACTTTGAGGGTTTTTTTAAATCCGCGTTCACAGCAAAAAATAAACAATCAACAGAGTCGCAAGGACGAAATAAGTTGACGTCACAGCCACAGCTCCGTTTCCTGCTTCCTCGAAGCCGTTGTAAGCAACCAAACCGGCGTAGAAAGCGGCCGAGTCCTTTTGCGTCCGCGGTCGGTCTGGGTCCTCGAAGTCCACGTAATGGAGGCCGAAGCGCTGGGTGTAGCCCGACGTCCACTCGAAGTTGTCCATGAGGGACCAGGCGAAGTAGCCACTGACGTCCACTCCGTCCAGTACGGAGGCTGGACAGAGAAATGAAATCAAACTTTCATTAGTTACCCATGTGAAAGTTGGTTCTGACTGACAAGATCTTACTGATACAGAGCGTGCCAAAAAAGTGCAACAGTCTCCAAACAAATTATTAAAACTGTTTAAGTCTCTTTTCTTCAATACTATTATATATTACATTAAAGCCAATTCCTTTGGGTCCCCAGATCGAGAAACACAATCAATCAAGTGAAAGGGTGTTACCATAAAATAGTCTTGGGCCACTCTCACCTGTGATGTCACCAACTTCAATTCTATTCAATGCTCAACCCAAATTCAACATGTCCAGGTGAGAGTGACCAAAGTAAAATTTACCCCCCACCCCTACACTTAATTGGTTGTATTTCTAGATCTATTCACCCAAATGGAATGGTGTAAAAAGAAGTGGATCGAGAAATAGTCAGGCTTTATATACATGTAATATATAATTTCATTGAAGAAGAAAAAAAACATACAACTCTTCTTTTCTAAATGTTGCACTTTTTGGCACACTCTGTACTCAGTTGGTTCCGGTGGTCTCAGGTTCCAACCCCGCTCCAGTCAATTTCCTTGTTCAACTTTATGATTATTATGCATGCACTTAGTTACTTTCCCTTTATGGTCGAAATGATTATACAAAACCCGAATATCGTCTTGTACACGCTTAGTAATTTTCTCTTCCGTGCGCTTATTATTTGGTAGGCCTACTTTCACATGCTGAAAACGTTTGCACGAGACGATTTGCACTTTAGCGTTACTCAGTACCCTTTACCTTTTAAGACCTCATTGATGTAAGCCCCATAGTAGGTCTGCCTGCTGGTATCATTGAGTTCAGCCACATCAGCGGTCGAGACGCCATTCTCGGTGATGTAGATGGGTTTACCATACTCCTGACTGACCCAGTTCAAGAGTCTACGGAGCCCCCAGGGTACGGGGCGAAGCCAGTCACTGCCGGACTTGGGCCAGTTGTCGGGTTGGTAGCGATCCACGTCCTAATTAATACAAAAGAAGTAAAAATGACAAAGTGGGATAGTGGGGCAGATAGGGGAAATGTTATTCTAGCTATATTTTTTCAAAGGACAAATCTGCGATGGCCCTATGGAAAAATACCTTTCTCATGACACTGACCGTGTGCCAAAAATAATGCCATGCTATCATCAAAGGCACAATCCCATCACCTATAGGCCTATCTGCCGTACTATATCGCCACAAAATGCCGGTACGGTGTTCCGGACCTCTCAAAATATTTAAATCCTCTTCCTATCTATTTCTTTGTGAAACCATTTATTGATCACAAAAAGAGGAGGGAACGTGTGTTGGAATGACTTGTGAGAAATTGGCATTTGTAGCAAAGTATTGCGAATTTGTCTCTGAAATGGAAACACTGAAAACCAAAAGGTTTCTAAAATGATAGGATTTGACTGTCATTTTGATAATATAGGTTTTCCCGGCCAATTTCCTAAAATTTTCATTCACTTGTGAAAATTGGTCATTCATTTTCGTCTGAATTTGAGAATCGCTCTGAACACGCGTTTCATTTTCGCTATCAGAGCGTTCGATTGCATTTCAGTTCAATCAATTAAGTGATTAAGCAGCACATTTCTTTCATGCTCATTCAGATTCGTTTACAAGACTTCCTTTTCGCTTTTAGAGGGCGATTTCAAAAATTGGTCACTCTATTTCACTTTTAGTTTAATGTTATGTGATGCAATCTGCTATTTTGAATGAGAAAAAACGTACTTTTGATTGCACATTCACGAAATTGTATGTCAGAACTCTGCGCAAAAAAGGTATGCTTGCGTAAATGATGCACAGGTAATGTAGGTTAATTGGCCGTCTGTTTCTGAAAACCGAATGCACGGACAATGAAAACGATTGAACTTTCGTTGAATTGAAATGGGATTAAAGACGTGCATTCAAATTCAGACGAAAAGGAATGACCGATTTTCAGAAGTGCATGAACATTTTAGGAAATTGGCCGGGAAAACCAATATAATTCTTCATCGTGTGAAGATAGAGTGTGCTGTCTTGTCAGTCTAACAAACTGTCTTGTCATGTTGCAAGTTAAACCCGTCATTGTAGACACCCTGTCAATCTACTCAGCTTGACAAGTTTTGGTTTTCAGTGAATGATTAGGTCTAATGTGTGTATCAACAATGACTCTGTGTAGCTATTGCTTTTTTATTTACGGATACATTGTTCTCATTTTAAATTGTCAATCATTGCTGAAAATAATGAAAGAAAACGCACAACAAAACACACGCGGGCGCGTAAAACAAAGCCCAAAATTCTGCAAAAGTCCCACATCCCACTCCGTCCCTTGTATGTCTCCTCTATTGCTTCCTCCTGGTTTCTTTGGAAAGCACATAAAGTGGACTAAGCAATCTCTTCTATTGGAGTGCTTACAGCTCAATCTTAATTGTCCCTCCACCCGATTTGTTTCCAAACGAGTAACGAATGATTAAGTAGTAGTCTGCGAGTGACCCGATGTATTGCGCGGTATAGATCCCGTATATAATTGTTCCATCTAGTAAATAATGGATGAACAAATTCAGTCTTCAAAATTAAGGTCAAAATTACTAATGGTTCAAGTCGACACATAAACTCTTCGTCTAGTATCAGACTGGCCGACTTGCCGTCGTATTGCTGCACGTGCCTCTTACTATTATTTTCAAGGTTAGTTGCCTTAAGAACCCATACAAACTCAAAATAGTAACATCATCTCTGTCAACCCAACCGTGATGAGAGCCCACATAAACGTGTGTGAATCCAATTGTTACCTGGTCATCCTCGTAGTTTGGGTCCGTGGGACGGAAGTTGTCTTTGCAGACGGTGGTGGTGTAGGCGTTCAGCCCGAAGAAGTCCCCGGTACCGGCGATGTACTGCTTCTCCTCCTCGGTAAAGACCGGCAGGCGGCTCTCGCTCAGACCCTGGGCAAGACTCTTGTTGCCAACTTGCCACTTCATCACATCTGGGTAGTCGCCGTTCTTGAAGATGGGATGAGCAAACCTTTTTTGCAGGAAAAGATGTGATACTTTATACGTTTTAACTTTTAAGAAACTCCATTGACGAGTAAATGTCAATCTTGGTATCGTAAAAGAACCGTACATTCCGCATGTGCATAAAAGACTCAATTATTTCGCAATTTCCTAGAATAAAACCAGTTCTAAAATGCCTTTAAGAATCCAAAAAAGTATTGTCCACACCCAAATGTTTCGTTTTTCTAGAAACACGGCCTTATTAAAAGAGAGATGACATAAATGTATATATTTTGTTCCTGGAGAAACTGACTCAAATTTTTGTTTGTAACTTACCAACCCGCCGTGAACTGCATGTACCGATCTGCTGCGGCCACGTGGGCCGGGTTGTTTTCGTCTTCGGGAAGACCGAAGTCCGTACTCAAAGTAATGGAAACCTGTCCTCCATACTGAGCTTTGTATTTCTGTTGGTATGTGTTATACGCCATGCCATGTGATTTGATAATGGTGTGAGCTGCGCGGTACGGTCCGTAGCCGGGATCGTTGATGTTCGGAGCAAAGACACCGATACCGTATCCTAGCCAGCAAACGACGTAGGGCTCGTTAAAAGTGATCCACAGTTTGACTTTGGAGCCCAAGCGCTCGAAGCAGACGTCTGCGTAGTCGTTGAAGAGCTCCACGAGCGAGTCGTTCTCCCAGCCACCATATACGTCTTGGAGGACCTGAGGTAGATCCCAGTGGTAGAGAGTTACCACAGGCTCTATGTTTTCCTTGAGTAGCTCATCCACAAGGGCCTCGTAGTAGGCAAGGCCTGCCTCGTTAAGACTGGCCAGGGTACCGTCCGGCATGACGCGAGGCCAGGATATAGAGAAGCGGTAGTGTGTCAGGCCCATCGCCTTAGCCAACTGAACATCCTGGGCGTACTTGTTGTAGCTGTCGCAGGCCACGTTACCGGTCTGTCCGTAGGCACAGCCGCCGGCTTGCGCCAAGGTATCCCATATGCTCTTGCCCTTGCCGTCCGCGTCCCAGCCACCCTCCACCTGATAGGCGGAGGTTGCCGAACCCCAGGCGAACCCGTCCGGAAACTTGCCGTAAAGTGGCGTGTCTCGATCCGGGTCGTTGAAGACGTCTGGATAGGCAAAATCAGCGCCGACTTGGACGGGTAACCAACAGCAGAATAATGTAAAAACTAAGACCAGCATTCCAACCATCGCTCCACATCCAAATCTCTCAAAGAGAGACATCATGAGAAACACCAATCTAGACAGATATTTTAAAAACAAAATGAAGTCAACAATAATATTTTGACCGCGTACAGCTCGTCAGCGACTGGTAAAGTTGTTCACCTGTTTTGTATCACGATGAGAATCCACAGCGGTAACTCTAGCCATAAAACTGATAATCCCTGCCCAGTTATGTTTAAACAGTACCTGGTTGGTGGGCTGGCTTTTCGAGCGCTTCTCTGATTGGAGTGGAGATTAATCCTTCAAAACTATCAGTGATTATATGCAGTCACTTCAAGGTCCTTTATCTAAAGATACTGTTATGTACCGATAGAATCAAAGCATGGCTATAATCTACCGAAGCGCATTGTCCAAGACCACAGTTTTCTGAAATAAAAGCGGTACGTCACATCAACGAAGAGCAATTTTATGATTGTCAAAATCAGGCGCAAAATCCAAAATGAAAGGTAACAAAAATAGTTATGAACGTTCCTAGTCTGCTCTATATGAAAAAAAAACCCATCAAGTGTTTTGAAATGATTGTGTAACATTTTTACGACCTTATAGTACTTTGATCCGACCATGTTTGAACAAAACCTGCTCATTTGTAGGTATAGGTGTTCTAATCTTATACCATCGACAAACAATAATGCTTAATTCCAATCTGATTTGAACTTATAGGTAAGATTCACGTGTACATACATGAGCATGGTTGCGTTACCAGTGCTGAACATAATTCGACTTTTTTCACCGAACACATCTTCTTGGATAATTTCGAACCATCTTGAATGTTTTCAACCATCTGAAAAATATGGTTTTGTGGGTTTCTTTTGTGCCAATAACGCACAAAACGAAAGGCCTATGCCCTGACTAATTTTGTAAACTAGTTATTCCATAACTCGAAAATGGCAAGGCGAGAGCAACTAGAAGGAGGCTTTCGAGAAAATGCGCCAATTTGGGCTCGAACATGCGTTTCAGCGACTCTGCGTAAAACAATTCAACGTAAAAAAATGTGATACACAACTTTTGTATTAGAAACGCTAACAAAAAAACCAAAAAAAACCAACCGAATCTTAAAGGTACATTAAAGGTACGTTGTGTCGAAAGCTTTCGTTACTTCTGTTCCGTCGAAAGTTTCATTTTAAACCCCCCTCCTAGGATGCAGAAAATACGAAAATCATGCAGAAAGACACAACACTGCGTGCTAAACCGTCGTCAGCTACCACCCCCCCCCTCCGTGAGCCAAAGCTTGATCCACCCCTAGGCCCTGATCGCTTGGACCTGCTAAAGTCCACCTCATACAGTGACAACTTTTTTAAAAGGTTAAAGATGATGCATTCCCATAGCTGTTTTTGAGTTTCACCTCGGAAAATTAGAGTTTTTCTTCAAATTGCTATTTTCTTAGCAATATCAAAGATCTCGAACGAAAAAAGTCCACCGACGTTTAGTTTTTGCGTTATTTCTTTACAGAAATCGATTTTTGTATTGGCCGCCAGACAATACGTCGGCGCTCGCAGGGCGGGTTCATTTTGTGCGCAAAATAAAAGACATTTCTCAGAGGGTTGCAGACCCCCAAATCGGAAAAAGAGTGGTTTTTTTTGGAGCGGTGGCTTTGAGGACGGTTCATCCTGCGTTGCGTACAACCCTTCCTCACTGGTATATAATTCTGCCTTTAAACCGGTGAATCACGTCGTTAAACATCGAAACTCAATGTTTGAATTTTATTTTAAAGGGAACAAAAACAATTATGAAACTTTCTGGTCTGCAGTTGCCGGACGGATTTCACTGTCAAGAAGGGGGGGGGGGGCGGAGGGGAGGGGCGGTGGAATTTAAGGCGTGCAAAGGTATCTACGATCCCTCAGTCAGAGGGTGAAGGAGTGGGGGGGGGGGGGGGTTGCCTCGCACAAATCCCCCTAAATCCGCCACTGGTCTATTTGCTTGTTAAGCATTTGTTGTGTAACATTTTTCCTCCTGACTAGTACTTTGATCCGACCCTGTTTAAATAAAAGCTATATTTGGTGTATCTAATCTTTGCCATAAATTCTGACAAACAATATTTTTGTTCTAATCTGATGGGAAACGATTCACGTGTAAGCACAAGAGGTAGGCCTAAGTGTTTGCCTTTTCAAATTTTGTGACCAGGCTTATCAAGGGATGGGTGGAAAGCACACGCTACATTTTCGAGATAAGATATTTATGTTTGAAATGGCGATCACTTAATATGCAAATCACATCAGCTGACCTGATGAGGTAACAGTCACGTGTCATTGCCAGTGGCATCCACAGGCCGAAGCTGTGACGATGGGATCATATATTTTGTAACGACACACAAACAAAAATCACCACTTCTGGGTTACCCCAGTGTATATCAACCTTCCGTGTACACCTGCAGCAAAGCCTACTACTTTTTACAACATCCAAATTAACTGAACCTTTCGAGCATCGAAGGGGTTTCCAAAGATGGGTACAAGACCGACCACATCCCTCCTGTGTCTACTGGCCCTAGCCCTGGTGAGTGCAGCTGTGGCAGAGGACAAGATCGAGTTTGTCTACCCGGACATTTACAACGATCCGGAGAGAGACACGTTCCTGTACGGTACGTTCCCGGAGGGTTTTGTCTGGAGCAGTGCTACCTCATCGTATCAGATCGAAGGCGCCTGGAACGTCTCGGATAAAGGCGTCGGTATATGGGACACCTTCACCCACGAAGGTGGGCACGTCGCCAACAACGATAATGGAGATGTCGCATGCGATAGCTACCACAAGTAAGAGTTGTTTTGGTTTGCAACATGTTCATTCTGAAAAGATGCAATTTCCTAAATCTATTTTTTTTTAAAGTGTTGCATTGCATCTAAACTAAAAGGGAATTCATTACAGTTCAAGCATTAAGAGTATTCATTCGAATGTGACCGTCGTTTTTAAAAATCAGTATTGTTTTGATTCTTGCACATTAAACAATTTATCCTAGGAGATGGAGTTTGTCATATAATGCAATGTTCAAGGGAGAGTAACTAGCCTCATAAAATCAATTAAAGAGGCATAATGGATGTGGAATTTCAACCTACGATCTCAGAAATACTGCATATAGAAAACCACACTCAAATTAATGATTCCCTGGTAATACAATAATATAGCGATGACAGTGATTATCGAGGTACCGTCACTGGAGAAAGTTTTGGTAAGTTTTATCATGTTTTCTTCTCATGGCAGGTATAAGGAGGACGTGGCACTGATGAAAGCCATGGGTTTACACTATTACCGTTTCTCCATCTCCTGGCCGCGTCTGATGCCAGACGGTACGGCAGCCAGTCTCAGTACAGACGGCGTATGTTACTACAACGACTTGATTAACGAGCTCGTGGCCAACGACATTGCGCCTATGGTCACCTTGTACCACTGGGACTTACCACAGGCGCTGCAGAACCACGGAGGTTGGGTGAACGAAACCATCGTTGACCGATTCAACGACTACGCTAGGGCTTGCTACGAGAACTTCGGCGACCGTGTGAAGCTGTGGATTACCTTCAACGAGCCCTGGATCGTGTCCTTGCTGGGCCACGGCAGTGGTGCCTTCGCACCTGGTATTGCCGAGCCAGCTATCACGGTGTACACAGTGACCCACCACCTGATCCTATCCCATGCTCTCGCCTACCACACCTATAGACTGGACTTCAAGGCTACACAGAACGGACAGGTCGGGATCACTCTGAACACAGACTTCATCGAGCCGGCGGACCGCAGCAAGCCCGCTGACATCGAGGCTGCTGACACCACGCTGCAGTTCAACTTCGGCTGGTTCGCCCATCCCATCTACATAGACGGTGACTACCCGGAGATCATGAAGACCAACATTGCTCGGAAGAGCGCCTACCAGGGCTTCGAAAAGTCCCGTCTGCCTGAATTCACGACATATCAGAAAGCCCTCATCAAGGGCACAGGAGACTTCATCGGACTGAACCACTACACCACGACCTTGGCTACCAACGCCACACCCGACGTGGGTGACAGGAATGCGTCTGACGCAAGCTATTGGTCCGATCAAAACATCTGGTCTTGGAAGGACCCCAACTGGCCTGGCTCCGGGTCGAGCTGGCTCCAGATCGTGCCATGGGGAATCCGCCGCCTGCTGAAGTGGATCTCTGATGAGTATGGCAGCGACATACCCATCTACGTCACAGAGAATGGAGTATCTACTAAAGATGTCTTCGAACTCGAAGACACCATCCGAGTCGACTACTACAAGTCGTACATTAATGAAGTTCTCAAAGGTTTGTGAAAATATATTTCATTTCTGATTCATCGCTTAAATTATCACAGTATAGTAGTTGAGACAGTGCCATAAGTCCTTGAGCAAGAGCGGCTGCAGGGAGAAATAAAGAGGATATACGCCCCTAACCCAAAAAGATTGCCCTCGACCCGGCCTGTTTCCCACGGCAAATGCCACTGTCTATATATCTAACACTGTTCAGCTTCACTGTTCACCATTCGAATCTAACCAGATGAGCGGTGTACATTGCTTGTCTGTCCTGATTGCATTGTGCGAGTATTGGATGGTTTTTCCAGATTTTCACTTAATTTCACTTCAGTTGTCCTTATAGCGGCTTTCCCAGTATGGGTAGGCGTACTGATAAACATTGCGAGAGTCGAGACACATCCTGACTGGATTGGACAAAATGTTTTCTATTTTCGCCCTGTCGTTTTGCTTGTTTGTCTTGTTTGCAGTAATTGCTGAGGATACGAATTTCTTTACAATCAATTGTTAAAAGGGTCAGTTTAATGGACAGGAAATAAAATGGTGTCGATGGCCTCCAATGAGAATGAATGATAACATCAAGCAATATTTTGCTATTGCTTATAGTTGTTGTCTTGGTTGTTTGTTTTAATTTTGTATAATAACAGAAATAGCCCAATTTAATAAATTAGACGAACTAAGACCATCTAAGCCGATCCAGATCACTTGAGAAACACACAGGTTGAATCGTTGTCAAACTTGCTTTCTGCCCAGTGTCGTTGCCTTTAACCATTGGCGTTCTTTCTCTTAATAGGAGATCATGCTAGATCGTACCCATCGTAGGTGTTGGCGAGGAATGACATTTTTCTTGAAGACATGGTTCCCCAGTTTGTTCCGCTATCGCTCTCATTTGTTTATAAGGTTGGGAAAAGTCTGCCTTGTTGTTAGTAAGCCAAAACGGTATTCCAACTGCGCATTTGCAGAACAAGATTCAGCGATTTTTACTTCGGGATATTAAAACGTAGGACTGCACACAAGTCTATGGGGGGGGGGGGCTTGTGGTAACGGAATCTGCGTTCTTCACAACCTCGTCCCCAGGGTGTCGAACAGTACGCGCCCATCACTACCTGCTCTCTCACCCTGGTATTGGATCATTTGCACGTGCAAGATTTTTGAACACGTATGCAAATGAGGAACAGTCTGGTGCCTGGATATGTGTTACATTAGCGTTTGTTTTTGTATGCGGTGTCTGGGTAAAAAACAGAGTCAGTTCGTCGCAGCGCGAGCACGGCGTAAGTTACGAAAACACGATTTTTTGAATTAAACAGTTACGATCTTATATCGAGACAACATGCAGTATCACATTTCATATTGATATGAGCAATTTGTAAAGGAAATAAGTATTTTCGAGAAGGCGTGGACGAATGATCGCGAAAACACGTACTGCACGTTGTGAATGAATAGCACCAAGTACACGATACAAATCCATTACTAGCCAATTGCGGTCACGAATCAGGATTCAGGAAGAAAGTTTCCAATCCAGGGCTTACTATTGGAAACTAGGTTGGAAATAAAGTGAGCACTGGGGACGAGGTTGCGTTCTTCAAAAACGATGGCAGCTTACTCTCGCATAAAATTTGGGGCATGCAAAACACCTTAAAATACCGCGCTGTCCAAACTGTTCGAAGTTTTGTGCCTACTTCAGAACAATACAATTTCTTTAATGTTGCTGGTACCCGCTATGATTATGCACGCATACGATGAATATTGTTTATCCCCATATTAATTGGAAAATCGTCGAATCTTAAATAAGTGCACATACGCTATTTTGAATACCGAACTGGCATATTCGTTAAACCAAGCAGACCAGTCGCGGATCCGGGGGGGGGGGGGGGGGGGGTGTAAAAAAAACCCAGCTCTGTCTATTTTTTTTTTTTCATAGAATTCCTAATAAATAATGCGACCCCCCCCCCCCCCCCCCAGTGTTTGATTTTACGGAGGCCAAGTGTCCGGAGAAAAAAGCCTATCTACATTTCAGAATGTTTTGCTGATGACCCCCCCCCCTGCAAAAATTCCTGGATCCGCCCCTGCAGACTCTTGAGAGCAAAAGTGACACCCACTCAGGCGCGGTTCTACGGGGAGGCTAGGGGGGGGGGGGGGGGGCTTTAGCCCCCCCCCCCCCAATTTGTTTTGTCTAGCCCCCCCAAAATAAATTCCGTAAAAAGAAATTGCATTATAGCAAAACGGAAGGATTGTGATGTACATGCGAACGGTCTCCCCCTAAAGAAATAGTCGTGACAAGGGTGCATTTGTAGTTAATATAGTGTGAATGATTTTAGGATTTTATTGGCGCTCCCCATTGAAAATATGGCATGAGCCCCCCCCCCCCCCTCTCCACCTATTGATTTTCGAAGGCCTAAGTGTCTGGAGAAAATAACCGGTCTACATTTCAGCACGCCTCCCTGAAAAAAAAATTCTGGATCCACCCTGCTAGCCCCCCCCCCCCCCCCAAATATTGGTTCTAGAACCGCGCCTGCACCCACTTCATGAATTCATACAGGCACTGTACCCATAATGTACTAAGCTAATAAAACTGTCATCTGTTTCATAATGAACATGTATCATGCCGTCGCTGCCCGGCAACCGAAGTCTGTGTGAAACGCGTATTTTTTTTCTTATCATACTTCAAACCCTTTTTACATGTTTGCTTTGAGCTGTTTTATCCTTATGCACACTACCACAGACCACGCCTGGGATTTTAGATGCGTTCGGGGGCTAGAGAAAGCCCCCCCCCCTTCACCCAGCACCTTAGTTTGTCATTTCGTAGCGAAGGTTTCCTTAATCTTGTTATGCATTTTTTGGTTGTTCAGTATCATTAGTTTTGCCAATGTTGCTAGAAACTGCTCCCAACATTCTTCCACATCTCTAAACCTATATTTAGCGAATTTTTCCTTTTTGCAAAGAAAAGAAACTTGGAATTTTCTCAAATCAGGTTCTGGGCATGTTGATGTTTGTTTAGTCCTCCACACTTTTCAGTGTAGCATGGGCTCGCCAACAAGAGTTTATATCAGAAACCATCGTCTGCCGTTCAATGTCGAAGTAGATAGGCCCAATTTTATCCAGCAATCTATTATCGTACTATACCCATGAAATAGTCACACAAATAGCACTGCAGCCTACTTGTTATATATTAAAACCACAATTGTGTATGGTGGATGAAAATTAAATCTGTTTCTACATTGAGTGACGTCGGTGTCCAGAGATCTGCAAACTTTATGGCCGCTTTACAAGTTGACTCTATCACCAGCCTATGTTTCCACACAATATTTGTTCGTGGGTTTATCTGGAATTACAGGTCAATAAAAAAATCTTGTCAGTGTACTGTACATGCGTGGGATCACGCATTTCACAAGAGTCTCTGCTTTGCAACCATCTTGGACGTGTGTGACCTTTTATACATGGATACGCATGAATAGCCCTCTTGTGCAGTCATTTGTTCTGAATTCAAACAAGAAAACCCAGCTCTTATGTCAATCTTGCGATAACTCGCAATTTGGTCTTCGGACCTTCAGTCTTGAGAAAGTTATCACGGTCTGTAAGTTTTCTACAATAAGCTTAATTCCCAGATCATAAGAACGCAGGATGATGTTCAAAATGTGTTCAGTGTGCCTCTCAGCTGTGAGTCTGTACTTAGCGTTCGTGGCAGGCCTTGCCACAGCCCTCGCTGAAGATCGGATTGAGTTCGTGTACCCAGACGCGTACAACGACACGACGCGGGACACGTTTCTGTACGGCACCTTCCCCGAGGGGTTCGTATGGAGTACGGCTACCTCGTCGTACCAGATCGAAGGCGCCTGGAACGTCTCGGACAAAGGCCCAAGTGTTTGGGACACTTTCACCCACGAAGGAGGCAACATTGAGAATGATGACAACGGGGATATTGCCTGCGACAGCTATCACAAGTAAGTTTCCAAGCGTTTTCAAGGGATATTGTATTTTAACGACTTAAATATGATTCAAATTTGAAACACCTTACATATTAATGACCAGTCTAAGTTTTGATGCAGCTTAGAAACCTTTCCAAGTACACACACAAATTGTTAGCAGATCCGTTTGAAAGTAATTGATGGCGACTTGAATATGACTCAATGTTAAATTACCTAAACTGGAAGCATTGTTTGAAAACAGGAAATTTTGTGATGTTCGTGCAGAATTGAGTTACATCTTTTGTTTTTTGTGTTTCTATATATTTCTACATGTTTTCGTGGGTTTCTTCAGTTTTTGTCTCATTATACATTGTTTTTGCACATCATATTCTAGATACAAGGAGGACGTGGCACTGATGAAAGCCATGGGCTTACAGTTTTACCGTTTCTCCATCTCCTGGCCGCGTCTGATGCCAGACGGTACGGCAGCCAGTCTCAGTACAGACGGCCTACGTTACTACAACGACTTGATTGACGAGCTCGTGGCCAACGACATAGCGCCTATGGTCACCTTGTACCACTGGGACCTACCACAGGCGCTGCAGGACCACGGAGGCTGGGTGAACGAAACCATTGTCGAGCTGTTCAACGACTACGCGAGGGTGTGCTTCGAGAACTTTGGCGACCGCGTACCGTTTTGGATCACCTTCAACGAGCCTTGGATTTTCACGCTCCTTGGCTATGGCACCACCATGTTTGCCCCTGGCAACGTAGTCGACCCGAGTGTCAAGATATACACAGTGGGTAGGCACATCATTCTGGCCCATGCGACCGCCTACCACACCTTCCAGCGAGAGTTTGCCTCGACGCAGACCGCCAAGATAGGAATCACTCTCAACTCTGACTACTTCGAGCCGGCAGACCGCACCCGACAGAGTGACCTGGACGCGGCCGACAGAGTCCTGCGCTTCAACTTGGGCTGGTTCGCTAACCCCATATTCAAGAACGGTGACTATCCAGAGATCATGAAGACCGAGATCGGTGCCAAGAGTGCCTACCAGGGCTTCAGTCAGTCTCGCCTGCCTCCCTTCACCGATATGGAGAAAGAGTTCATCAAAGGAACAGCGGACTTCTTCGGGCTGAACCAGTACACCACCATGTACGTCACCAATACTACAGTAGACGACAGCTTACCGTCCCAGGCGTCTTACCTCACCGATCGCGGCGTGTATACCTACAGAGACCCCGCCTGGCCCGGGGCAGCATCCGATTGGCTCAAGATAGTACCATGGGGGATACGCCGGATTCTTAAGTGGTTAGCCGACGAATATGGCAGGGAACTGCCCATCTACATCACAGAGAATGGCATATCCACTCACGATGTGCTCGAGTTGGACGACAAGATTCGTGTCGATTATTACAAAGCTTATATCAATGAAGTCTTGAAAGGTACAAGACAAGTTCCTCGTCATTTTCGATGAAGGAACTATTGTTTTCATATAAATAATGTCAGCAATTAAATGAAGTAAGGTTGTTGGTTTGGTAAATCACAACACACCGGACCCTTTACCTATAGTTTGTATGTCATTCGTAAGCCGACCCCTCAATCCGAATTAGACAAGTTAATCACCCATTTATTTTGTGCGACTAGCTATATCAGATACCGGTACAGATCTGCATGCGAGCGTCGCGTCTTACATTTCTAATTCGAGAATGTTTACGAAATGCATGATAAGGTCTCTTATGGTCTTTCCTCATACTGCAGCTGATAACACATCATTTAATGTAACTTTACGATGGGGTATTCGAATTGAGACTCCAGGTTCCAAGGAGGCAACGCCGGTCGGTGAAAGGTCGAGCCCCATCAGTGTGCGATCCTATTCACCGTCATTCTCTTCGGAGTTGAGCAAACAATACTACAATTTGAACCTATCAATTTTCGATCGATTGATCTAATTTGTCACTCTTAGCTTTATATGATTGTCGATCTGTCAAGCACAATTATCACTTCCACGAATGTGAAGTCAAAATTGACCGTACCTTCAACCTGGTGTTTGATGTAACGGTTGATAAGAAAGGGAGATTGGATTAGAGGGCGTCATCCGTGCTGTTTCAATTCCTCTTTCGTTTTTCGAAAGGGAATATTTCATCAGTATCTTCCCAAAAATTATTCAGATGAAGTTTGCACTGTTTTCTTGAGATGCAACTTCTGGGAACTTTTCGGGGTCTTATTCTATGTGCTGCAAGGCAGAAAATATTGCTTATCTGAGAACAATTAAACAGTCTACAATAATCACATGAAATTATTGACGATAACCTGTTTCCAGCGAAACTTTTTGTGATTAGCAATCTTCCTGTGCTCAGCGGTTCCTTAAATTGGCAAAATAAATTCCATGATGTCACTGTCAAATTACCCAAGGTTTCCATGTTTTTTGGCGTTTCCCCAAATTCCTGACTGGAAAAATGGAAAACTCATTTTCAACGTTAGGAACCCTGATTTACATGAATAACTAAGCAGATTTTCTCTTATCTCCTCTTTCTCCAGCTATCGAACTGGACAAGGTCAACGTGAAGGGCTACACTGCCTGGTCTCTGATGGACAACTTCGAGTGGGCTTCGGGCTACACCGAGCGTTTCGGCATGCACTACGTGGACTTCAACGATCCCGAGCGGGCCCGTACGGCCAAAGCCTCGGCCAAGTTCTATGCGACCGTTGTTGCCGAGAATGGTTTCCCTGATCCATCAGTTTCTGGGGCTCCTGCTTCGGTGACCGTATCACTAGCTGGCCTCGTGGCCAGTATAGCTTTCGCTTTGTTTAATTAGTTGCATGTTATGAAAATAATCAAAAGTTCGTATTTTACAATATGCTTTCGCTGAAGGTCTACTAGTGCACCTCAGGAGAAGTTTGTGACTACGCCATGTGAAGTGAATGTGTATTGAAAGAAGATTTAAAGGCATTTAAGATCATTTACTTTTCATGCATTTTGTTTGTTTCCAATGATAACAACACTCAATATCACGAGAAGGCTAAAAAACTAATCTGTTGAAATTTCAGCTCAGTGGATATTACATTTTTCGAGAAAATAGGGGGAAAACATGTACAACCTTTAATATCAAGACACAAGATTTCGTCAATAACACTCTAATTATTTCCCAAAACCAGTCAATTGGAAATCGCCTTCCTTTCTTGAATTTTTCTAAATGACAGCAAGCCAGACTAAACGACTGTGATTAGAACCAGTACGATCTTTTATCCAAGTAAGGTTTAAGATTTTTGATAATAATTTCTGTAGGTGACTTTTGGGATAAATACATGTGATCCAATTAGCACGTCTGGTTCTTAAGAACCATCTTTTCTCCTGGAGATGGTCACTTCTCATGGTGATGATACGTAAACATCTCCAAGGAGTTCATATCTGTTCTCTCCATGTACTTTAGTCTCCACCACGCAAAGCCTCGTCTCATTACATTGTAATACCATCGGAAAGAATGTTGCAACCTAATGCTGCTTTTTTCTTTATATATCATCTCAATGAAGGTCAGTCAGACCGAGAAACATTTCCAATTCTGTAAGGAAATACTTAAAAAATGTTCTTGACTCTCCAGACTTTGTGGACAACCGCCGAGGTAGAGTCAGGTATCATTTATGGCCAATTCATTGTAGATAAGAGCTTTTGTAACTAACTCTTTCGAGGCAAATGATTCAGTTTTTGTTAGCGACGTCTATTTAATTTATTCCCTACATTGTTTTATATTGAAACTACCGTTTTCGACAATCATCATAAGAATCTCCCTTGTATGACACACTCCAGGCTATTGCAATTGGGGTAGTTGAAAGGGAGCATTGTTTTCGTTTGATGGAAAAATGATCTTTACAAAAGACAAAGCTGTTCTCTTTTAATAAAGCCATGTTATCAAATTTATATAATTGGAGCTATCCATTGTTAACGTCAGAGAGGAAACATTAAATGACAAAATAAGACATTTTGTTCGGGTTATTTGTAAATTGTAGGCCTTTAATGTTCATTCCTCAATCATAACGGCAATGGTGACTGAAGTGAATAGCCCTTACACATAATGACGTCACGCTTTGTTTACAAGTGTGTTTTTCTATGGGAGCCAGGTGGGGATGTGAGCCACCAAGCTCCTATAATGTATATAAATCGGGGTTCCACACAGAAATCTTAAAAATGAAATTATAGAACAAAAATAAGGGCTTTCGTTGGCCGATTTGTACATTGTTTGGGTATCTTAGGAGCCTATTTACAATACATTGGACAGTCATCACATTTACGCAATTGACGCCACGCCCTGAATTTCAGCTTTCCACTGATTACCACAAAATCATCACAATGGTGTATGAAGAAGAGTGCCATTTGCTTTTTTTCACACTCCGCCATTGGGCATGCACAGCCTCGATCTGGCAACTTTACACAATAAAAATAGCCGGCCCTGTCAGAAGACTCCAGGAGAGAACCTTTTCAAATTGATGACGGCATTGAAGGGAATTTGCATCATGACTTGGCCAGTCTTCGCTCCGCTGAGGTCCGATAAAAGTCAAACACCTTCTGACTCGCTGTTTGGCAAGATGCCAGAAGAGACTGGTACTACAAGAAAAGAAAATTACATATAAAAAATACAAACAAATAAATCCAAGCAACAGTGAATGTGAGTATTCACTCTTGTATGGGTCATTCTTTTTTTGGTCCACTTTGTTCAGTCTCTGTTACGTCTGACATAGTATGATTTGTATTCTGATGCACTCCTAGACCTTAATGCAGTCATCCTCCAAGAGTGATTATGCAAACTATCAACCCAACAAATATAAAATCCTTTGAAAGTCATTCATAATGATACTTGAATGGCAAATTACAAAGTACATGTACCAAGGTAACAGGGACAGGAAGCTGTCGCACTTTGGACCCTAAATTTACAAAATGACTCACATGTGTCCAAACTGACTACAATCTGAGTGATCAGTCCTTCCTAAACTAGAAGAGATTCCCCCTTAAAATGGTTGAGGATAGACCCTGAAAAAATACCCAGTGCAAAAGGGTGCAAACGAATGAGAGGCAAAATGGGGAGGGGGGGAGGCAACTTTCATTTAACCTCAGGCAATTGCTGAGTTACTTTCCTGAGGTGTCCCAACTTGATGCATTTACCTAGATCAAGTGATGTCATGAGACAATTTAATTTATACATTTTCACTGACACCAAGTGACAATAGCTTTTATGGTTCGGAAGAGAACAAAAACAAGATGTACAAGTTAGCAATTATTGCTGATTTCACAATGAACATCTTTGAATATTGACAGTTGAAACAAGCAGTTCTGTTATAGGCAATACAGGCTGGCCTTGACAGTCATGAATCCGTCAAGATACTGGCCAACCTTTTCCAATAGGTTCTGGATAGATATATCACCCATCATCACGATAGAAATTGTTGGGGGAGGGGGGAGGATACTGTTTCAGATAAACTAAACAAATACGATGCCCTGCTGTGATGTCTGTTACTCAAAATAATTTATGTGATCGGCTCTGTTAAAAGGAATATACATCATTTGCTTTTGCTGTAATTTTCAGAAATGGATGGAATTGGGGGGTTGGAAATATATAGCAAATATAGTTACACTGACTTTTTTGAGGTTTTGGGTTCAAAAATGCTATGAAAACCAAGAAACACTATCATTTTTCTGTGGTCTGGTTCCCTGACTCCATTTAAGAAGAAACAGAGCAGTTTACATACATTGGGGAATTGTAAGGTCAGGGAACCAGTCTAGCTGGCTTGTACCCGTTCATAGGTGTGTAATCGATTGCAAACAAGTGCGATGGTCAACTGGGGCCAGTATTTGAAAAAAGCCAGTTTTTTCCAACGCTGATCGGCCGATCAGCATTGGAAATTGATACAAAAATACCACTTTTCTTGAAAATGACAGCATACCAGGTGCCATGAATTTACAGGATGCTTTACACTGTCATTCATTAACAGTCCAGCAAGGTATTTCAAAATGATTTGGTAGTTTTATTTTTTGATGTTTGCAAATGTTGTATTTTCCCTTTAAATATTTGTTGATACCCACTGCTATCTCACAAACTACTGTAATTAAAATGCAAAAGCATGGTCCAGTGGTTACCGTGTTTGACTCATGAAAGATTGTGTGTGGGTTCGAACCCTGCCAGGAACATGGTGTTTGTGCCCTTGGGCAAGACACTTAACTACAATTGCCTCCCTCCACCCAGGAGTATAAATGGGTTCTTGTGAGGGTGAGGACTGATTGAGTGCTGATATCGGCTGCTGCGTGGTCCCATGGCCTGATAAACGGGGTAATAATTGTAAAGCGCTTTAAGATTGTTGATACGATGGAAAGCGCTATATAAGCACAATTGTTATAATTATTACACTGCAATGATCAATGCATGCACATCCCATGCTATCCATAAACCATGGACCCACCTCCTACTAATGTGACTTGTTTAACTTGTGTAACTTGTTTACACAGAACAGGTCGGTTGTGTAAGGAACCACAGAGGTATCAATAAGATCATTAACACAAACAAAGTTGCTTATCGGGTTCAAGTTTGTTCAAAGTTTCACGCCTGGTTTTCGTGGTGGGCAAACTCCAACAGTTATACAACCAGGCATATCTGCTGAGTCAGTATGCTTTAAGGATTAGCTCAGGCCATGTAGCTATATGCCAAGAGGCAAGTTATGATAGGGAGTTATTAATCTCTAGCTATATCTGTGCCAGCTAGCGAAAAAACAAATTATGTTGTCTATGTAGAGGGACCTCGTAGCTGAGCAGTTAGAGCGTGGAGCAACGGACTGGGAGGTTAGCGGTTCGAATCCCATTCGGTCCAAAAACTGAAAAAAACTCTCTCTGACGACCCAACAGTAAAATGGGTACCTGATTCATTCAGGGAAGGTAAGACGGCGAGAGGAGAGGACTGGGCACCGCCACTCATATGCCCCGCCCAAGACACAATGGACCTCTAACATCCCACTGCCCCTACGGCCGGTAATGGCTAAGGGACCTTTACCTTTTTACCTTTACCTATCTAACAAAACAAGAAAGTAGTAGAAATGCTCAAGTTGCCATATAGATGCTTGAAGTCATCATAATGCCTAAGGCTGAGAATTGGTATTGAAAAACCAAGAAACTATCCCATCCACCCAACCCAAAATAAGTTTACAAAAAAATGTGTGAAAGGTGAAAGGCTGCATGTAGAGTACATGTATCTATTGTTGACAAGCTCTGATCAGATTAATAGCATTTGAATGAGATCTACAATCAACAACAATATTTGATAACTGACTTACTGGCTCCACTCACCACTTCATGAGATAAGGAAATTGTTGACTTGACTTTTGACTCTGATAAAGGGATCATTTGCTACCATGGAGGCAAATACATAAATGTAATGCTATCATGCACAATTTTATATTCAGGATTATAGCTTTGTCTGGGGGGGGGGGGGGGGGGGGGGGGAAGGGAGGGAGGGGGGCTGTTAAGAGGGGTGGGTGTGTTGGCAGGCATGTGCTACTTTTTTCCTGCATGATTTTCTTATTTTTGCGGCCCAAGAGGAGGGTGTAGAACACCTAGATATGTCACTGGGTACAATGCTCTAACCAAGGAGCTAATCAGGAATTAGTCAGATATAATTTGCTTGTGTAAGCACTTGTTTACAGAGTTACATTACGAAAAAGGTATTTTCTAATTAGCCGTAACCCTAATGTGCCCCGTCAAAAACAATAGCATCCACAGCAGTCTTAGCAGCTATTCCTAAGCATGTACACCCGCACCTCCCCCAAGAAAAAAAAAAGTAGAATGAGTTGGAATTGAGATTCCATACTGACCTGTTGCATTGTACATGACCCCTGGAATGTTGAGGTGACAACCTTTTTGTTTGTGCTGTCAAAAGCAAAGGTGGCTAAACACAGGGCATCCTGGAACAAGTAACAAGGGGGGGGGGGGAATTAACCAAGTTGTAATAGTTTCTATGGGAACCAGAATACCATCAATCATGTCAATTGAAATTGCAGTTCTAGTACGGTACTGTGCATTCTACATTTTTTGAGGTACTGTACCTCAAAAAATGTAGAATGCACAGTTCAGATTTAACAAATAGCTGAGGAGAAACCTGTGATAATATCTGAAAGCACTGAATTCTGCAGAGACAGACCAAGTAGAAAAATCTCATAGAAGTAGTATCTGTGCTCTTCAACAAACTCAATTTTTTTCTCCTGACAAATTTTAACTTCAAGTGTTGCTTTTATCTATTTTGGGTAAGTGCAATCCTCTGGGGAGAAAACCCTATTTTGTCTGGTGTGCAAACAGATCCGCCCTTAGAGTAGACTTGTTCCTGGTCCCCATGTTATTTTTTATAAAGGGGGATGGGAACCAGTCTGTCCCATGAGAACTGAATGATTGCTGGAACATTATTCCATAGCTAAACAAGCCGGCCGAATTTTTTTCCAGGCGATGTCTCCCCCAAAAGCTATCTTTTGTATTGCTATAATAACAAGAGAATAAATGTGTGTTTGGCTGGTTTTAAACACTCTGTTTAAGACCGGTTGCAGTCTGGATGCTGATAATTACCCGAACCTTTTCGGTCAAATAATCAAAACTGTTCGGTCTAAAGTCAAAACAAATCAAAAATTAAAAATTTCCAACAATTTTTTTCACCAATTTTACCTCATGCTTTTCGGGACACCCCTCAAGCTATATTATGGTTGTCCATAAACAACTCCTTATATGAAGATTGGCGCGTGCGTTGCGCATACTGCGCAATGTGGCGCACAACGCAGCTGTGCCGGTGTATTGTGAATTTAAGACTATGAAATTCAGACTCACTGGTAGTATTGAGCATGCTTACGTGAGGATTGCGAATGTTCAACCAATAAAACGGTAAAAGGCACCGGATTTCAAAGGAGTCAAAATTTCATGTGACCAGCCAGCCATGTCTTATCATCCTTTTAAGACCGGCCACATGATGGGCTCTCAACCAACAGGAATGGGTAAACTGTCTTAGGTATTTCTGATTAAGGGAATAAAAACATGTAAATGTGTGTGTTTTGCCGGTTTTAAACAATTGTACTTTAATCCAGCTAGGAGCCAGGTTGCCGATAATGGCTTCAAGCTGAAGGGGCGGGCTTTTATCAGTGGGCCTCGCCCGAACTAGCTCTGTGCTGTACCTTCGCTTGTTTGTCTGTTGGGTCTAGTACCAGCCTCTCTTCGCTGTCAAGCATGCAGGTGACTGCAGCAACCAGACACTTCATTGGAACGCCAGCATCCATAAGGGCCATGCAGGAAGCATTTATGCAGCATGCCAAGAGCTGATTGGTCAATGTAAGGAATCGTAAAATTCTGATACCACCCAAAGGCAAAAAAGAACAAGCTTGCTTGCCAACAGGGTAACCTCATTCTCAGGGTCTACTTCAACCTTGAAATCAACAGTACACCCTGGGAGGATTACTAACTTCTCAAATTCCTAACTATTACCACGACAAGAAGTAATGGATTCGTATTATTCAGGGCTCAAATTTCAGGCAAAATTCTATTAGTCTACAGTACTAGTAAGCTCAATACTTTACTCGACCTGAAGTTTGTAACAAGACCAGTGCAAAAAGAAGGAGAATACATTGCAGGTTGAAATGAAAATTAGGTATTATTTCGAAAGGTTGGAAGCCAAGAACATGGTCCTTTATTGTTAAAGATAAATATGGAAACAAAAAATTCAATGATTGCAAAGTTTAATGCACACATTTGTTCATTCACTTGGTGTGCTTATTCAGGGGGATGATATAAGATTTTGATCAGCAAATAAAAAAATATTTAAAAATAAAACTACAAACATACTGGACTTGGTCCATTGGTCCAGCAGGTATTTTGAGCCCTGATGTGATGCACGTGGTGATTCTAATTGTCAATATGATATATTTCGACGTTAACTGTGTGTATTTTGACCATTAATCCTCTTCATATTTTTATCATTATACAACACCTGAATAACCCCCGTCATCTGATTGGTGGATCGTTGATCACGCCATTGAATTATTCGTCCCAACGCATGGCACGGCCGAACCACAAAAATAGAAGTTCTATTGACAAATTGAACGGTGAATAGAACTTCCTTTGCACGGTTTCATTACTGCCGGTGGTGGCGCTGTATTACGAATTACAAAGAATCACATAAGATCTGCTGCCAAACGATTAGACAAAGTTTAATATAATAGTTCTGAACTTTTCGAGAACAGTTTTTAAAATACATAAATTGGATATGAAAGTTCTGAACTTAGTTGTGGAATAGTTCTAGACCGAGCATGCTGGCTAGTTTGGAATAAATCGGATATTGGAAGGGACCACCAGTTTGTCTGAAAAAGTAGAACATTGGTGTAAGTACCAGTTCACAAGTCAACCAATCAGATGACGAGGATTTATTCAGGTGTTGTATAAAACAAATAATGAATGTTTCACATTCGTGCAATGGAGAGAATAATTTCATTCGGTGATAGAAGAATATTCCATTCCCCTCGGTTTCACCTCGTGGAATGTAACATTCGTCTGTCACCTCATGAAATTATTCTTACCATTGCACTCACAAACATTCATTATTTGTATAATATTCTGAGTGTCATACTGGAGGTTGTATAGGTATTAATATCACCTTGCAACTCTAAAAAATCGACTTAAAGAAGATGTTCCAAAAATGTTATAGTTTTACCACGGATCCTCTTCACAAGGATCAACGACTTCCCCAAATTTCCGGTGAGATGCGTGACATGGCACTTGGGCGTCATGCGTGTGCTTGCGCGAGACTCAGCACGCGACTTCAGTCTTTCAGAGGTCAAATTTTTGTCAGGACGCCAGCTGTCGGCGATCATGGCGCGCACCCATTGTTCCACATGCTTTATGCGTTGTTCTATGCGCGGACTCCACATATCACGCATGTAGACAATCCGTTCCGTACATTTTGTACACAAGCTCAGATGAGTCGTTTATCCTTGTGTAAAGAATCCATGGTTTAACACCCTACAGAACATATCCAAGTGGTGTTGCAAAGACATCAGACAATTTGCGCAAATTATAATATCTAGGATTTTTTTTTTTAATGAGAAATTTCAATACAGGGGTCAAAGAGCAGTTAGTGAGTTAGTGATAGCACCCATTTTACTGCCCCAACACAATACAGACCTCATAACAGCAAGGTCTCAAAATCCATGTAAATCCACCAATTCCTCAAGTATTTGAAACAAAATGACCAGCATGGAGGATTAATTTTGCCTATATCAATTTTTCAATCAGTAAAATTGTTTCAATTTGTTCAATTTTCAATTGTTTTTTTTTTCTCGCGTAAGCATCATTAGATAGCCCAAACTATTATATGATATTTTGGTTCATGTCAGGAAATGCCCAATGCCTATCTCGTTCAAAAAAACCTTTTTCTTTGGTTTTATAACTTCTGCATTTGGATGGGAATTCCTTGACAATCATTCATTAACCCTAACTCCCTAGGAACCATACCCATTCTGGCAAATTCCAACACCAACGTGGGAAATTGTACACACACACTGTCTGACTTATTTTCTGGAGGTACGCCAAACCCAATGTAAAAAAACATCAGTTTAGGGGTACTGTACCCATCCCAACAAACTTGCTGTTGGGCTTTGATGGGCTGAGTTCGGTTAGGATTAAAGATGTACTGCCCATACTTTTCAATAAATTCAATGTTTTTTTCTTGATGAATTTTCAATTTGTATGTTACAAATTTTTTTAAACTCCATTTCCCCTTTTATCGGCATCTACAACCCTCTGCAACTGACCCTAATTAAATTTGACCAACAGAGGGCAGCAGGCACCATTCAGAAGACACCACTTGTGCAGAGGCTCCTAAAAAATAATAACAAATACAAAACAGGAGGGAAAAAACATGTGGTGTATCAACAGATTTTTGTTGAAAGGATACTGCTCCAGAGTCTTGTACTTCTTGTGTTACTATGGTGATGGATGACCGTGGATGCATGGCTGTTAGAATGACTGTCTCACAGGTGTTTCGAATCAGCTGCTCTTTGGACTTTTCCCGGATCCCTGCAGGAAGGATTTAAACACCAGTCAGTGTTTAGTGGTGATGTTTAAAACACGTCGTGAGCCCCTTGCGTTGCATAACATGCCCGCTGTACACGACGTGCACGTTGGCTACAACTGCACGCTTGAGAACCACTTATATGTTGAGCACACCGCGCGTGCTGCGTGCACCATAGAAATGGCCCGAACATCATTATGTTGAATGGTAGAGTACAATCATTGAAAGTTGCCAACATTTTGACTTTTTATTGGTTTGGACTTTTTATGGTTTTTGACTGAAAAGGTATTAATGACTGGGGATAATAGTGTGATGGAGGAGTAAGGAGCCTTGTCGCCGATACTGGCCCTCGCCTTTGGTTCAGGCCATTATCGGCCACAAGGCCCCTAACTGGTTTTAAACCACACGTTAACTGCTTCATTGCACTATTCTATTATCCCAAAAGTTCTTGTTGTCAGCAATGATTGCTCAAATCAAGACTCTTTCTCACAAATGCCACTCACCAGGCATGCCAGACTTGGGCTTGTAGATGACCTCTACTGTAGCCCTGTCAATGATTTCTTTATTCTGTCGTACATCAGCTGGACCATACACTGCTGCCATCACTGACGTGTCTCCTGCATGCAACAAAGATAACAATTCAAAATGAGGTGCAAAAAACAATGACAAAGTCATGCAGATCAATGTTATATTAAGAATGGCTAGTACAAGGCTTCCTGAGAAAACTTTGTCCATTATCACATCATGTTTTAATAAAAAATAATTAGCACCAAAAACTTGGCTATGACTACCAGCTGAAAAACGACAATCAGCATTGAGTTCAAATATTAATAGTTTGCACAATGTGCATACAAGTCTGCCCATCTCAACGATTGAAATGGCCCAGCCTTATTTTTCTGAAATTGAAGAATTTTACAAAGATAATTAACACACAAGAGAAAAAACATTTAAGCATTGCTGCTCATAGCTTAGGAAATAGAGGTTTAGAATTCTTATATGTATAGTTTCAATATACTCCAAGTAACTATGACTCTACCAATCCCTTTTTTTAACTTTTGGTTAAGACTTTTGCCAAATCCTGACCCCAACTTAAAAAAGGTGATCTGCAGAGTTTGGATCTGGATCAATACTACCTCCTCCCTCCCACTGTGGGATGTTATGCAGAGGTTACTTGGGCAATAAGGCAGAAAGGGCATATTTTTCATCATTTTGGCCTAAAAACGGACAGAATCCACCGATATTTGTTAGGCGCAACTTACGTGAGTATGTCAAGAGGTATAGTACGGAGTTTAGGGGCAAACTGTGCAGCGGTTCTGTGGGAAATGTCTGTGTTTTGATGGGCATTTTTGTACTTAGTCGGTGTTTTGTAGAAGCAAACAATTTTGCGGGGCTCTCTCAATTTTGCGGGGCTCCGGGGAGCATCATATTCATAGTTCTAGGAGTACGAGGTGCATAGATCAAGTGGTGGGGTATTCTGCAATTGTGTCTATAAAAAAACAAAGAAGATACAGGAAGATAAGTACAGTATGAAAGCTAAACAAAAGTAAACCCCCCCCCCTCCAAAAAAAAATGTAAAAAAATTATCAACTTTTTAACTGAAGCCTCAACCTTAGGCTTAACTTCCAACCTTGTGTAAATGTTGCTGATCCATCCGGCCTGGACAGCAAATTCTGCTCACTGCCAGCAGTTCGCAACCCCGAATCGTTCATATCGCTGGATTCCATTCTAAAACTAAAAGTGAAAACTTAAACTGAGTAAAGTCCGACAACACTTCACTCTGTCGTCGTCTAGTGCACACGGTATCAGGTCAACTCGGACCCAAACCAGGTCGGACCCATGCCAACTCGGACCCACGCCAACTCGGACCCACGCCAACTCGGACCCACTACCAACTCGGACCCACGACCAACTCGGACCCACGACCAACTCGGACCCACTACTAACTCGGACCCAAGCATGACCAACTCGGACCCAACAATGACTCAATCATTAGTTTCAGAGATTATATTTATAGGTCATCTTAATGTTAAATAGAGTGAAGATATTCTGCAATTATATTGGGCAGAATGGGGCTTTTAGTTTTGTTGTTTTCTTTTATTGCCGCTGTGTGGAGCGGTATTTTATGATGCGTACAGTATACTGTTACTGTTGCTAAACGCTTATCGTTTTGAACGTCATGAAACTAAACGTGCTCAGTTTTTTCCAAGAGATATTAGTAATAGTAGCGTATAGTATAGGTTAGGCATTTCGCATGTCATTTGTTGATATATACGTGCTTTTTCAAAATCTTGATTTTCTTTTCCAAACAAAATTCAAAGGATTATAATTTTCAGTAAGAAATAAATTGCTGGTTCGTTTTTGCAGGCCTTTGTGTCGTGTGACAAGTGGTTGGAGGTGGCCAGACTATATTCAGAACAAATTTAGGAGCGTCCTGCTAAGGTTGAAATTGATTAATAGATTACTTGTCATGTGCTGTTTTTTTGTGTGCGATGGCTCATTAGAAAGCTCATAACTAATGTAATGTTAATTATCAATTTAATTTTTATCTTCTCGCATGACATCAGAGTTGATGCCTAATTGCTTCTTTTTATAGGAGGAAAGAAAAAGAGGCGCGAAGACAAAGTGGTGTAAATTTAATGAGTTGGGGGAGGGGGGGGGGGCAGAATGTCCCTGCCCCCCTCTAAAACTGATAAATCGAGAATGTGTTGAGAAATACAAGCATTTTTTGGCAAAACATTTTTTTTTGCCCCCCTCTAGAAAAAATCCTGGCGACGCCCATGAATGCCATACTTTTTAAAAAAATTTTCTATGAATATCTGTTCTGAATTTGTATATTTTGTTACGTTGAAGTTTGGATTAAAAATGAAATAAATTGCTGTTAAATTGAGCAAGATGGCGTGAGCGATGTCAATTAATATGTTTTAATGAAAATAAATAACTGGTTAAACTATCAAAGCGCAATATGTTTTAATGGAAACAAATAATAATAAATAATTAATTACACTTTTAAAGCGCATTTCAAAATAGCATTTCAATGCGCTTTACAACGACAAAAATGTTATGTAACTGCTGCAATACAGATAATTTTTCTTACAATTACAATGACAATTTATACTAAACAGCATCACTGTAAATAGATGAGAAGTGGACAAACTTTATGAAATGCCGCATGATTGAAAACGATGTCGAATGATTGAAAACGATGGGTCCGAGTTGGTCATGCATGGGTCCGAGTTGGTCGTGGGTCCGAGTTGGTCGTGGGTCCGAGTTGGTCGCGGGTCCGAGTTGGCGTGGGTCCGAGTTGGTAGTGGGTCCGAGTTGGCATGGGTCCGAGTTGGCTTGGGTCCGAGTTGGTTTGGGTCCGAGTTGGATCGAAACCGTGCACACATGTGCATACTTTGTGTGTGCATGCTCGGTACCGGTTAAAGGTCATGCGGCTCTACTATTTTTCTTTAGGTAAATTTTAAATCTACACATTCTAAAGAGATATTTTCTGATTCTCTTGCTGTGCAGAATACTCAAATAATATTTAGAAATATTTTCAAAATAAGTTTAAATAATTTCATAGAATTTTAATATCGAAAAGAACCACAAATTACTCTAAAAAATTATCTGACATGAAAAGAAAAACCCGTCGGATTTTACCAAACTTCATCATGTCATTATGTTCTTGGGGTACCGAGAGGGGGCGTTATTTTACCACTATCGTACCGGTAGCCATTGCACTTTTTCGTTCAATGTGTTTTGGTGCGCGACATGCATGAGTAGATTCTGCAATTATACTTACCGTAATGCTGCTTAGTCAAGCGAAAACAGGCTCTCGTATTCTATCTGCAGGTTTTCGTGCTTTGTCCACGACTTCTTCGAGAAACATGCCAATCAAGGTAGGCCTATAAATTTTGTATAAAGGGGGGGGGGGGGGGGGGGGGGGGGAAGGGAGGGAGGGAGGGGGGGGACACATGGTGGGGGACGGGGGTGGGGACATTGGTGGGGGGGGGGGGGGTGTAGCCCAGGTGGACTCCCTTTCCTCCCTACGTTACGGAGGGAAATGCAATGAAGACTTCGTCCAACCTGGGCTGGGGGGGGGGGGGGGGGCGGGGGTGGTATTGGTAAACTGTCTCTGAGCTGACTGAGTCTGGTCATGGTCTAGCCCCACTAGTGTGGCCGTCGGTATGCTGCGCTGCACACCGACGGCCACACTAGTGGGGCTAGTCATGGTCAGGTTAAGTGGGGAGAGCTTTAGGAGTGAGTACTACGTATGAAAATGAGAATGCAGTGCCAGTGGCTATCGTTACGGCAGCCGTAACGCATTTCCCATTTTCAATTGGTACGGTAGAACTGCAACTTTTATAAAAACATGAGAAGAAAATATAAAATTAGAAGGAAAAAAAGTGAATTTGAACGTTATGAAATTCGGATTTTATTTCCCTTTTAAAAAAAATCCTCCAAAGCCTCAGGTTAGAAAAGGAAAAAAATTCGAGTGCCAAAACTGAGATGCGGACCCGCAACCTCGCGGTGCAAAATCCTACCCTCTATCGACTGAGCTGTCGCACTGCTTGCTAAAACGTGGGGAAACAAATAATTATATACCTGCGTGCGTATCAAAAAAGTATCGTAGAGGGCGCTGAACAACGGCTGCCGTAACGATAGCCACTTCGAAATGAGAAAACAGCTCCACAAAAAGCAAGACCTCGCTCCTCGGTGTTTTAAAAATCTTTGGTCATGTTCATGATGTTGGTTGGACTGTTGGACGGAGTTGATCGATGCTGTCGTGTTGGGCACGATCGGTGAATTTGCGCTATTGCTTGATCATGCAGAAATGCAATTGTGTGATCAGTCAAGCCTGTATGAAATCTCAGACTTTGCTTTCCTTTTTACAACGGGCTTAGTTGAATTTGGATTCTCCGCAGTCCAGTGGCCTTTACTAGTTCATCAGCTGATGAGAGACCACTCATCAGGTTGTCCACCCATCTACATGTAGCATGAGGTCGTCCGCATCCTCTCCTTGTACGCACTGGAAGCCCTGTGATCACTGCAGCCGAGAGACCGCTGCATTGCACCGCACGTCCCCACCAGCTTGTCTTGTGTACACTACAAAATATATGTCGGAAAAAGTCCAGCGACCTCTAATGTGTCTTTTTCAGTTCCTCATTTGCCACCATGTCTTGCCAAGCTCCATGTAAGACTAGAGAGGCTGAGAATTAGGCATTGCCATATCTCGTGACCAAACTAGGCATTTGGCTTCAGCTGGCTTTTCCATCCATACACATGTACTGCAACCATACGTGAGGCCGAGGCCACCAGGGCCTTGCCCTTGATGAGGTGGAGCTTGGTTGTGGTACCGATGCGGGTGGACTTGAGGTATGTGCAACGGTTCATCTCTAGCAAGGACAATACGGGAATGGATCTCCACTGGGAATGGATCTCCTTAGTCCGAAAATTTGGGACTCTCAATACTGTGTATGAGAGTCCCAAAACTTAAGGTATTGAAAACCTGCAAAACAAGAAAATAGACTGGCACCTGAAACAACCAGTCCAATACCGCTTCAGTACTGCATCAATCAACTGTCAGCTGACTGTGCCAAAAGAAATATCTACGATGTTGGGTACTAGGTCACTATTTCTACACATTTCTCCATAGTAAGGCACCAGACTAATGACAGTCAGTGAAGAAGTCAGTCTTGTTAAACAGTTGGACCATGGATGGACATGTACAAGTCTAGTCTGTAGCCTCATTTTGAAATCACTTGACTTCCCTCTCATGTGCAAGCCACTGCCAAACATTGAAGAAAAGTCTCGTTTAAAAATTGAATTGAGTCTTCAAACTTGGTTGGTAAAAAACATCTAGATCGTGCGTGATGGTAGTACCAAGGTACTTGAAGTGATAGACATGTTTGATGAGCACATTACCTCAATAGGAGATTGTCGCTTCATCTATGGTGGATTGGACGACCATGTACCCTGTCTTCTCTGGGTGTATGGTATGTGAAGCTCATAGCGTTCAGCAACATCACCAAGAGGGGCCAGCATTTGTATGTCATCTGCCGTAAGCACCATCAACACCAGATCCTCAGCATATCTTTGCTCCATGCAGTGCACTCCTTCAACATCGGGTGTGGCTAAGTGTACTGTTCATGCTGTCCATGCACGCATGAGGTGTTCAGTGTAAAGATTGAACAATACTGCCGAGATTAGACATCCCTGCCTCACTCCGACAGGAGTGTTGAAGGAGGCTGTCTTCTGTCCTTTCCAGGTGATTGTACCATGGGCTTTGTTGTAAAGATCTTTGATCGACCTTACCATGCTTCTGAATTCTGAAGTGTTCAGATCTTGAAGAACACTACAAATATTATGTCGGATGAAATAGTGCAGCGACCTCCAATGTGTTTTTCCAGCGAAGAATGCTGAAGAGTTTGCCACGCAACAAGCTACCCATATATGCAATGGGCGTTTGACTGCAAATTCGTATTTTTCCTGGCATATGACACGGAACATTGCATAGTACTGGATGCAATAAGCTAATATAATCAAAATTAATTCATATTTTTTCCTCTCGATCTCACCCAACACAATTTAGGCTGGAGACAAGATTCCCAGTGTGGAGCTGATGGAGGACAACCCGGGGAACAAGGTCAACATGGCCGACCTGCTGGCAGGCAAAAAGGCAGTCATATTTGCTGTGCCAGGGGCGTTCACTCCGGGATGTTCTAAGGTATTTGTAATAATCTTACATGTACATGTAAGATGCTGAAATCATGCAATACAACATTGAGAAAGTAGACTGGAACATGATACGGCCAATCTTGTTTATATTAAACGGCCAATCAAAGTGATATTGTAGCAATAGCAATGGCCCCAGCTATAGTTGAGGCCCTCCCAATTCTAGATGGGATTGTCCAAACTAGTTGGGCCATAACAGGTCTACCGAATGTCCATCTTGGGACTTGTGCAAAAGTCTTAGTCTTGTTGTATGTATCAAAATTTAACTCACTTCGTATATTTATTCACTTTGAAACTAAGTGGAACCTACCACTATTTGGAGGCTGGCTGCATTGAGAAAACAACACATTATATTAAAATATATATAAAATGCCTATCTGCCTTTAATGCCAATATGTGTCTTCAAATGTTAATATGATATGGAGTACGACATAATTGCAATATTAATCTTCCTGTGTTGATTTTTGTTTGAACAGACTCATCTTCCTGGCTATGTAGAAGATTTTGATAAGATCAAGGCTAAGGGAGTTGATCTGGTGGTGTGTGTCTCCGTCAACGATCCATTTGTTATGTCAGCGTGGGGACAGGCCCATGGAGCTGCTGGGAAGGTATATGAATCGTCACCGTTGCATCTTCAAAAAATGACTTGAACCCTAAGGCCCCCAAAAAAGTCTCCGGTTTCTGGTATGGAGCTTGCCCAAAAAGTGGTGCGGCGACGCAGCTTTTTTTTTTTTTTTACCTGATATTTTTGCGTCAAATGTCGGCTGATGACTGCAAATGGTGCCCGACTAAACTTAGTGCAAATATATGGTAGTCCAGAGAGGCCATATAAAGCTTATTCTCGACCATAACCCAATCTAAAAACACGTTAAAATTGTGCAGCAGCAGGATTCCAGTCAAACCAGTGAGTTTGGCGGTTTTGAGACATCATCTTTCATTGAAAAAAAACTTTTTCATTTTGCCGGCGACGCGCGCGCATACCAGAAACCGGAGACTTTTTTTTGGCCTAGTGGGAATTTTGGTTAGAAACCCTGTCAAAGGTAGCAATGTGCCTCATTTGTCAAAGAAAGATGCTATAGCGTTAACGGTATCAAGCTGGTAAAAAAAACAAATTGCCAGGGCCAAACTGCCTCAGAGTCCGTAGTTGCCGACTGCAACCAGATACAACAGTGGCATTGCACACTGGGACAAATTTTCTCCAAATCGGCAGTTTATGCACTGGTGTAGAGTCCTCAAGGATACCAGGTCCCATAGACTTTTACACATGATTCACTGTGTTGCCTCTGGCAGACTTAGTGTTGAAAAAATGACTTCTATGAGCTGAGCTTGATTAGCCCTCCTATGCAAACCTACATTCTGTGCCAAGTAGTCCCTTCAGTCAAAATCAAACAAGCGACTGTTTTCAACAGTTAAGAATCCCCAGCCTGCATAAAGCAGGATTGACTGGCTGTGACTGTTTATGTAACTTGATACAGCTTTGCTTTTGACTCTGGGTGAGTGATAAAATAGCTCTGACCACAACTTGCCTGCTTTGTCTGTACATGGTGTGTTGACTGAATTTGACTAGTCACAGTGCTTGCTTGACATATGATCTGACTGCTGGTGACTAGACTGTGTTAAAAGTATAGCAGGGGAAGTGAAAGAAGGAATACTCACTTTTATGTACATGTATTAGATGATAACGACCCTTTTTGTATTTTTCTTGTCAGGTCCGTATGTTGGCAGACACCCTTGGTGAATTCACGAAGGTGAGCGTATACATGTACAAGATATGTCAAGTCATTTTCAACTGGCAAATGCTTGCCATACCGACCTCTGACAAAGAGCCCTCTTAGTGGCCATTGTTCCTCTGTGATACGCCTGAGTAGACACTCCGAACTTCCACTGTCAATTAATTTAAATCACAATACCTGTCCATGCTGAGGGCGCTTTATGAAAGGGGTCTATGATGTATTGGAAAGGAAAAGTGTTTAGGCAGAGGTTCAACGAATGTTTGTATAGGATCATGGATTTCAGTTGTAGAATATTTTGAATGTTTTTCCCCTTAATGACCGGAAATGTAAGCACATGTTCTTTTACTTTGTTTTTTCTTCTTTCAGGCCGTGGATATGGAATTTGATGCAAAAGCAGTTCTTGGGACTGTACGTTCAAAACGGTGAGTGTATAGATATCAGGCACTTGAGTTTTCCGGGATGATCAATATTCCACACTTGGTTTTATTGAGTTTAATGCCTGTTACCTTAATAAAATAATGACATTCTCTTATCCCCTTTGTCCATTTTAAATACAATATCACGTCCTAGTCTGTCAGGGGGGATGAACATTTCTGATGTAGTAACACTTTTTGGTGTTGTAAACACTTTTGGAGTGCTGTGGCTTTGTGGTTAAGGGCATTGGATTCGTGGTCTGTGGGTAAAGCTGCAGGTTGTGGGTTCGAGTCCTGGCGGGGTCATGGTGCGTGTGCCCTTGGGCAAGGCACTTTGTCACTCATAGCTTCTCTCCACCCAGGAGTAAATGGGTACCTGTGAGGGCAGAGATGGTTATTGTGATTGAATTAGCTTCCTTGCGCCTAATAGGCTGCATCGAGCTGTATACTCCCCAGGGAGCTGAGATGGTATTTGGAATGTTTTAAGGGCCCAATGAGCAGGGGTAATAATGATGTAGCGCCTTGAGCACCAGTCCTGGTATATATGTGCGCTAAATACCCACTATTCCTATTTATAAACTGTAAGATTTGTTTGCACTTCACAATCTGGCTGAATCAGGAACATGAGTTCATTTATTTCATCAAAAATAACAATGTTAAATGTATGGAAAAGTGTGTGAATCAGAAAGTAATTAACTTTAAAATTTGACCTCTGGAATGGCCATTGTTGTTGAAAGGTTCTTATTTTACACGCAGTTGACGTCTTCTATATTTTGCCCTTTATCGTACAGCTATGCTCTGGTCGTTGAGAATGGCACGGTGAGCCAAGTGCAGTTGGAACCAGATGGAACCGGTTTGACCTGCTCTCTCTCCAACAGTCTGCTGTCCTCTCTGTAAAGTTGGATCTGCTTGAGATAAGCATGTAAGAACCAATCACATGGTGCTGCTGACTGTGTTCATGGGTCATTCTATAAATTCAGGGTCCAAAGTGTGACTTTTTCCCTGTCCCTGTTACCTTGGTATTTGTAAGTTGCCATTCAAGTATCCTTAAAGGTACAGTCCATCATTTGAAATTTGTGCATTTTGTTCGTTTGAAGCAACAAACGTGCTCAAAATCTAAAGCAGGGTGCTGAACAACTAACCTGATGAAGTTTCAGCTCAGCTTCAGCTGTATATTTCGAGAAAAACAGCATTCTAGGATCTCGATTTCAAATCAAAAGTTGCTGAATCATGTTTTGAATTGGGCCTGAATTCAGCGTCCAAGACACGTTCTTGCTGAGCTGAATGCAGCTACGCGATGATCACTGATTCGACGATCAGTGATCCGACGATCGGTGAGCGTGTCAACGCTTGCGCGCTTCGCTGAATGAAAAAACGAACTACTAACAGAAATTTCCAACGGTGCGTCGTAAGACGCACCGTTGGAAAGGCCTTCTTTCATTGATTTCTTCAAAATGACAGCTTGCCAGAAAGAATAATTTCACAGGGAGTTCAGTCCTCTTACTATCTTTCAACCAAATATGTTTTTCAACAATAATTACGTCAGTCACTTTTTGGATAGCTGCAAATGATGGACTATAGCATTAAGAATGAACTTCAAATGTTTTTTTAGTTGTTGGGTAGGTAGTATTCATAATCACTCCAGGACGACGAGTGCATTAAGGAGTGCATCAGAATTATACAATCATACATGTCAGATGTAACAGGGACAGGAAAAAAAAGTGGACCCAAATTTATAGAATGACCCGTATAGTAAACTGTCTGCTTTTAAGGTGTGCCTTATGTTAGTTATGAGTGTGGTTGCTTTCATATAATTGAACTTTCATTTTATGATTAGTTGATTTTCAAAGTTTTGGTCTTTGACAGCTTATCATTTTACATGCACTGCTACAACACATGTGACTTGTATTAAAGTGATACATGTCGGTATCTCTTGGCGGTACTCCACTTGGCTTAGTCGCTTTACTATCTCTACACGGGCATCCCTGTTTATTTCTATGGTTCTCATATTTTTTTGCTCTGAAGTAGGGTCGGTCGGTCAAAAAAATAAAAATCTGAAGAAAAAAAACTGTAGTTCCACCCGTATAGATGGCTAAATTAAGTGATGCCAAGCTTGTATGATCTCTAGTTTTGTTTATTGCAATGAGTTTATCATGAGTTGACATCACTGAATAAAATATCCAACTATTTTTGGCAAGATGTAGATGACTTGCATGATATCTGCACCAAGCAGCTCACTAACGTTTTGGCAGCCATGACATACTTGTGTTATATGATGAGAGGCAACATTGTCTCATCTTTTCAGTGGGATTCCACTGGTTGCTGTACGCCGTAATTTGCGTAAAAATCTGATATTTATTTTCAGTAGCTTTTCAAATAACACAGAGCCTAATGCCCGTATGGAATAGGCACTATTTTTTTCATTTATCATTTGGAAAGAATGTTGCAACCTGACGCTACTTTTGTCTTCAAATAGCATCTCAGTGAAGGTCATTCATTGCACAAATGATAATAAGACATGAATCTGGGACTGAGAAATATTTCCAATTTTGTTTGGAAATACTTAGAGAATGTTCTTGACTCTCCATAGACTTGTACGCAACCACTAAAGTAGCATCAGGTTGCAACATTCTTTCCTGTCATTTTTTCTTGTCAATGGGGTTCCAGACAGGGTCGTCGTTAGTAAAAAAACTAATGAAAGAAATACAAAGGGATGCCCTAGTAGTATCCTGAAAAGGAGTTCATTGGAGTATCCGCTCTGTTCACAAGCACCCCCTCACCGGCTAAGGAAGTACAGTTGGGGGTGACCGACCGACGCCATCTTGCCTGACTGCAATTCATTTGCCGCGAAGCGTGGCCACTGCGTGTAAATAGTACAAATCCCCTGGTGTACGTGCGTCACACACAAGGAACGGTGCGCGTCAACCAGCGAAATGTCCCGCCCATGGGACGTCGTTGTTAGGTAAAAGGGCGCCCTCTTTTGGTAGCGCACGGAGCTCATATATTGGACCCTAATATAACTTCTTAGCAAAACATGATGCTTTTAGACAAATTTAATGGTGGTACAAATGTTCATTACCACTCAAACAAGTTTCTACATCACTTGGCATTTTTGGTCGGTTGTATTTTGATTATCCTGTGAAAAATAAGACTGAAGTTTCAACTGACATAAACCGATGATTGCTGATTAGTTGGGTTGATATTTTTTTAATGTAAACACAAACTTTGCAGCTTTTAATTTTTAGAATAAAAATAAAAAAATTGTACAATTTTATAAGTCTTATTTATAAAGGGAAAAATCAATGTTTTAATTTGTAGAAAATCACATGATTTTTACTTAAAATATATTTGTATTAAAAAAATTCCAAAATCATCCATTTTTCAAATTGTTTTATGTTAATCATGGTAGTTTCATTAATTTTGTAGTTTCAGCTTTCTGTGGTGGTGTTTCTGGTTGGGAAGTTATTTCTGCAGCGTCGCACAAAGTATTCAGAATATCATTGTATTCTTTTTAAGAGGTTTGAAAAATAATGCCTCAATTTGTTGGACATTGAATAGGTACATGTATGAGGTCTTTACAGCACGATCTGTGTAGTTTGTTCTTCAATACATACTTTACTGAAACACAAAGCAGACTGTATTGCTTATTACGTCCGCCAAGGAGGTTATATTTTCATCGGATTTGTTGGTTGGTTTGTCTGTTAACAAGAGAAGTCAAAAAGTTATGGATGAATTTGCATGAAATTGTTTTTAGGGGTGGTCCTTGGCACAAGCTCAAATCGATTAGATTTTGGAAGTGATCCGGATTTTTTTTAAAGGATTCTTCACCATTTATGCGAGTATTTCTTTTCGGTGAACTGACAATATGGCGGGGAACTGTTGAGCCTTGGCGGAGGTTTGCACTCTCTGAGTGCTTTCTAGTTAAATTTGTTTTCTTTGATGACAGTACTGAAATTTTACAATTTTCCCTGCTACAATTATCGATTGAAGCAATTGATATACAATCAATCTCCTTTTTTTTTTATGACTTGTATCAATTTTTTTTAAACGCATTCAAGTATATGTTCAATGTGTAGTCCAAGCCTTCTTGATTCTATGATCTTTTAGTAACGAACCCGAATGTGTGATGTCGCCTCCACGTGCATTCCTTTCACGTACATTCAACACACACAATCACAAGCAGCATTTTTATATCCTACTTTTATAGAACTTTTTCACATATTAGTACCTCAAAATGGTCCACTGCCTTTCAGCAGATTGTCAGCAGATTGTCACCACACCAGTTACAACCACAGGTGTGCTTATTTGCGCTTCAAAGAGGAGAAGCAAGCCAATAATGAAACAGATTCACAACATCCACTGGGCCATTACAGTGCATGTGAACCAGTAAGCTCTTAGTAACGTCATGACTGTTCCAGCGAATTATCCTTCTTGCATGTTGAAACCATTGTTTTACCTCCTGTGGAATTGTCTCAGACCAGGTGCCGGAGTTTGAACATAAGCATGCACCACAATGAAGTCACTTATATGTATTCCCATCCCACCTGTGGTTGTCTAAGGAAATGAAGACAAGTGTTCTCATTATTGTAGCACCCAAAACAACCTACAAAAGATTGAGATAAATGTTTCAATACCACCCCCATGTCTTTCTGTTCCCAGCTCCCTAATTTCAAAGATAACAAGAAACGTTCAAGGACAAGAAATTATTTGTTTTATAAGAAAAGTGCCTTTATTTTTTTTATCTGTCTGTTTTCCAACTTCTTTGTACACACATGAGGCATGAGGCTGCGTTACAAAATAAAAGGCTTAATATTTTATGTTCTACAATCATTGTAATAGCACCGAGCAGTTTGAAGCTAGCTCACATAGTCACACACAATTGTCAAATTACTTTTTCTTAATTTGAGCACGTACATGTAAGGTAAATTTGTATAAATCTTTGGGAGAAAAATTCACAATGAAAATCCAAACGCTTTTCTGAATCAGCCCTCTTTTTTTTTCTAAAGTTTGTAAGTAATGTTAATAGGGCAACAAAGCAGTAAACAGTCACATATAATCACAGATGTTACTATTGACACTCTACACTCAAGTTTTTTTTTAAAGGTAACGGACATTATTTGCAAACACTCAAAAACGAAACTGGCAAAATATGAAATATCCTACTTGATTTGTAAGTAAATTATAGGATCAAGCATCCTATGAAATTGGTGTGCCTAGCATGCTGTGATTTGCAAGAAAAGAGGACTTGCCATCTTTTCCTCGCAATGCTGCCCCTAACTGACCAAAATTAGTTTATTTTGCAATCGGTTACATATCCGTGAATGAGAATAATTTTTTTTCTGAGTGACAAACTGGGATCATACCACAAGAGGGTGCAAGTCGAAACGTATTAAAAACGTATTCATAAATACCTCAGACAGTTTAGCCATTCCTATTGGTCGAGAGCCCGTCACGTGGCCGGTATTAAACGGATGATAAAGACATGGCTAGCTGGTCTTAAACACTTTTCCAGTGTCACAATAAAATGTGGACTCCTAAAAATCCAGTGCCTCTTATCGTTTCATTGGTTGAACGTTCACAATCCTCACGTAGGCATGCGCAACACTACCAGGGAGTTAGAATTTTATAGTTCTAAATTCAAAACGCAACGCGCCAGGTGCGTTCTGCGCGACATCGCATAGAACATGATACGCGCGCGTCAATCTCCATAAAAGGGTTGTTTTCATCTTACTCGCCAGCTGAACACTCCACTATTTTGCAGGAGGGATGATTCAAAAAGCATAAAGTGAATTTGTTGAACAAAATCGGGATGTTTTGAACGAATTATATGATTTTTTTTTACCGAAAAGGTATTTATGAATGGGAATAAATATGTACTCCGTCGGTAATTATCACTCTGTTTAATACCACTTAGAGTCTGGGTGCTGATAATTACCCTCGCCTCCGGCTCGGGTAATTATCAGCACCCAGACTCTAAGTGGTATTAAACAGAGTGATAAAAACCTCCGGAGCACACATTTATTCCCTTATTAATCAACATTTTGGAAGGGAGGGCTTTCATCGGAAACCTTGCTTTGCTTTGAAAAAAATGAAGATGCTCTTTCATGATTTTCTCAACAAGTGTAATAGCTACCAGTTGAAATTTTGACACTTGAGTTTTTAATAAAGACATTTCTAATAAGACTTACTGCACTTTTTGGCAGACGGTGTCCATTACCTTTAATGCCTGTAAATTAAATTCCCAGTCAAAGAGTCTTAAACATTTTGCAGTATTGTTTCAATGAATTCACCCTACTTCTACAGAAACAAACAATACCCCAAGGCAGGCAGTTTCCATAGATGGGGTTCATCTGAGTGTTGTACAAAGGCACGTCTGTTCTAACAGTTTGATTCAGTTGTGTTCATCAGTGAACTAGTAAAAGGTGAAAGTAAATTTGTTTCTTATCTGTAATGGAACAAAAACTAAAACATTGTGCAGCTTCTGTGCACTGATTTACTGTACTGTAAATTCATCTTCAAATTTGCACTTACTTTTCATCCATCATACTTTTCTCACATGTGGTGCAAATCTTTCAAAGATGAAACGTTTCTAAACTCTTTCAAGACAAAAGTGTTAATGTTTAAAAGAGTCTGTAGCATGTTGATCAACTTTTAATCTTATAAAAGTTCATCTAAATAAACTTTAACAGGAAAAAACCACACACATCAGAATCAGTTACACGATTATACATGTATTACTGCAATAACATGATAATTTTACCTAACATCTGAGAATGATATGTAATTCATAATTTCATAACAACCATGTAGGTGAATACAACATAACATATGAAAATCAAGTAATATTGATTTTAACCCTTTGAATCAGCCCACTGGAGATATGGCAGACACAACAGGAGGGCGCTGTTTGATTTGGGATAAGCCTTTTGTATTTACCCAAAGCAAACAGCGCCCCCCTATTGAGTGCGCCATATCTCAAATAGGCTAATACCATCAGTCTCAGCTGCTTAAAAAACAACTATGAACGAAGTGTGTACCTTACTTTAATGGGAGCCAGTTGTATAACATCATTTTCAGTATTGGCATATATTGGGTGCGTTCGATTAGCTCACCCGGGTCGACACAGGTCAGCCCCGTGCCGTTCGATTAGGTCTGACGTCATTCTCGGGGCTGACCCGGGTCAGCCACCACAGACCCTTCTCATGGAGCAGAGTCAGTGGTGGAAATACCTCACATGCATGAGTTGGTCATTCCAAGGAACGGACAAATATAGCGGCGCCAGACAGCAGAAAAGATCAAGTTGACCCAAATATCAACTTTTTTTGAAATCTAAACATAATTAGTTATTTATTTCAGTGCAACTTTAGAGGCTTTAATTCCAGACTGAAGTTGTTACCTTTTGTGATTGACGGAAATGCCGCAGATCTCAAAAGTCTGATGAAGGTATTTTGTCAATGGCTATGGATGTCAACTGATGGCCTGCGTTTGAGCATTCGTTTTTAGCATGGCTCTTGAGGCTAACCCGTCTGCTTTTACCTCAGTCGATCCGGGTGAGCTACTCGAATGCACACTACATGTATAAAGGACGGTATATTCAATTTGCCAGTAGGGAGTCTTAACTTTGAAGACAGAGATTTGCTTGGACCGTGATGCAGCAGATGTTGGAGGTTTCTTCCTGAAAGTAGGATTTGTTCGCGTGGTCCCCCTTGTCACCTGCCAGAAGATAAGCTTATCATCTGCTCGTCAAACTGATGCTGCAAGAAACAACAAATCTCCGCCGATCTCTGGTGGGAAATGTTGGCGGCTTTCTTCAGCTGCTCAGGGGTACTGCCAAAGTGAAAAATAACACCCATAATTGCAATGGATGAGGTTTGACAGTAATTTATCTTCTACATGGGTTGCAGTTTTGTAAGTGAGTCACTTGATTTCGAGTTGGAGTCCCAGTCTTAAAGTCTCTTGAGTGGAGTCCAAAGGTAACATTAGCATCAAATCCGAGTCATGATGTTCGAGTCGGAGCCCGAGTCTTTTGCTGACGTGATTCAAGTCGAGATATGGATAATCGGACTTGAGCGCATATCTCGACTCGAGTGCATATCTCGACTCAAATCACATCCGCAAAGGACTCGAGCAAAAGACTCACTTTTGCTGATGTGATTCAAGCCGAGATGTGGACTCGAGTCTGAGTCCTGGACTCGAGTCTGAGTCCTGGACTCGAGTCTTCCAACGTTGCTGTCCTGTAATCAAATTGCTACAAGTTAATCACAAGTCGTTCACACTTGTTTCAGACTGATGTTCCATATTCATGCTGAATCAAAAATTTCCCTAAGAAAGTACATGATGAATAATTGACTTTTGGAACAGAATTGACTTAACATGAAAGACATCCAAAGATTGACTGTTGCAGTCATTCTGAACAACTCCAAAGCATCTTGGTTTCCGACACGCTATAATATAGTCCATATAGAATTAATGCATTAAATTCACCCTTGTCGATCTAAAGTCTTTTTGGACTAAAATCACTCTTTACACGTTTTTGTTTGGCGTGATTCTAGAAAGCCAATCAGAAAGGAGGTTCCATTAGTCATTTAATAATTTGTAATGTGTGCAGGGCCCCAATGGAAACCAATTTTAACACTGTTTAGGCATACCCTGGGTAAAAAAATGTATAAATAAAGACATCACTTTCAAGCCAATAGACAAAGTACATGTATTTGAATGAGTTGCGACAAAGGCCTTCTTTTTTGTCTACAATGTTATTGCAAAGCTCACCTGTTGATGAGTTGCTGAACACAGGGAAATGCTCTCATGAGTGACAAGGCAGTGGCATAGTTGACTCGAGGAAGCGACTGATAAAACTTGAAGACCTGAAAATCATCAAGTGTAGTCCAGAAATGAAAGAAGAAAGTTGACAACAGACTCTAATTACTTGTTGGGTTTCAAGAATCATTTAACAATTGTTGACTGCTGTGATGTGGAATATGACATATTTAACACCCGAGGGCATGGAGGGGCGCATAGCAACCCGAGGCGAAGCCGAGGGTGCAATGCGCCCATCACAGCAGCCAACAATTGTTTTGTTATATCGTGCCAACAACTCCAATGGACAAATGGTTGTAACTTACTCTGTCAAAATATATTAAATCACTGAGCGGTTGATGTTGCAGCACTCATTGCGCAAAGCTAGTACACCGGCAGGTTCCATATGCGCGCGCAATGGGCGCAATGAATGCAGTGCGACATCACCCCGAGTGTGTGACATGCCTTTTTATAAACCAGATACGTGGCTGTTCTAGACCAATGAAATTATAGTATCCAAGCACATGATATAACAAAGCTATTTGAACTCAGGGTCTATTCTGTCATAGGACACACAAGCCAAGTTACGGTACACCTCTGCCCTTTTATTCCATGATTTAAAACAAACATTTGGAGAAGGAAACCCAACCTCTGTTGCTGAATGTCAGTTGACTAGAACAAATACATGAAACAGTCGTCAAATTATGCCAAAAAAAAAACCCCAAAAAACTTGCAATGCATCACACTTGGTTTAGGAAAATGGTTCGCAGAGCACATTGCAGAAGTGATGCATTGCAAGGCTAATCACGGTGTAAATCCTGTTAGTTTTATATGCCGCATTTCTTTACAATAATGAGCGTTGGTCACGTATCTTGTGATTATACCCAGCACGATATGGGATGGAAGGGTACCCCCAATCTCCCTATACCCCTTACACATCCTAGACTATTGTTACCTAACACATCCCCCCTAGATATCTCAAAAGAATTCCTGAGATTCTGGTAACACAAAGACCAGCACAAAAAGGGGGGGGGGGGGGCGTTCCCGTCCGTCCCATATCATGCTACATATGATCAGTACTGGATAAGCCTTCGTTTTTTTTTGCTTAAGAATGGAACATGTATGTGGCATTAGGTAGAACATATCAGGATAAGTTTACTTGAAAACAGTGGAGCCAAGTTTTGACACCGACCTGTTCCTGGGTGGAATTCCTTGTAGTAGGTGGGGCCAGCCCCTCCCCTTTTCTCATCTCGATGCGGACCAAATCGGCCAGGATCCTTGCAGTGTCATCTGTGGAAGAATGAAGTCTATTCATTCACAGCTCAACAGCAATGATGTTGCAACCCTCAAAGGGCCCATGAAGTGAACATTTCTTAGCAACTTATTTTGTGCTACTTTCTAATCCTCTTAAGTGTATAAAAACTAATTGACTTCCCTTTTAGGTTAATTTTACTGAAAAGCACACTTCTTTAAACATTTAAAATTTTCCATGCTTTTCCAGACAACTGAGGGCGTTGTTGCCGTGATGTCATTTCAGTAAGACACTGTTAATATAAGTTGTTTTTCTGTTCAAATTGTGAACCCAAAAAATTCCTCATTGAAAACATTTGTGAGAAAAGTTGGCTCATCGGCCTACTGCCATGAACTGACATAATAACGAATCACTAAAGAAAAGAAAGCTCACGATAGCAAAATATCCAAAATTCTGGCAACTTTTTGTGCACAAACCAATTGCAACATTGAAGTTTCTGCCTGATATGATATCACACTTTTTGAATACGGCAACATGTAAATTGAAAATAAGGTTAAATGGGACACAAAGGTGCATTTTCAAGAGCTGTATAAAAGAAAACTACATTTCATGGGCCCTTTAAAGACTTTTAAATCTTTGCATAAAGCAAGCTGCCATATTAGCTATAAACTGATCACCCTGCGTATGTCGCACTGTTATATTGATGTCGTAGTGCATACCTTTTATGTCTATCTGATTAAGGAAATTCATTCCATAATCAAAAGAGTCAAGCTCATCAACATTAGATCAACCAACTCTCATTTTTATACATTTCCAAACGTGCGCCTAGTATTACTGAAACTATGACAAACTTAACAGCATAGCAAGTGGATGCTAAAAAATCCTGTTTTTTTGTGGTATAAAATCTGACATGTATGGAAATAAAATCTTTACCCAGTGAATCCGAGTATAACACCTTGATGTGTGTCTTGCTCAGAGCGGCTAACGTGCTGTCAAAGTACTTGGTTCGAATTCTGTCAAGAAGTTAAAAACAAAGAACACAGTTTAAATGTGCAGGATCTAGTTGAAAAGCTCAGAACTGTGCAACTTGAGAACCAGTGATATCTGCAGTCACAGGAATGGTCTCATAGCTACAGTAATATTGCCATGGCCGCGTGGTCTGGGGCATTGAATTCGTGGTCTGCGGGTAATTCTCCAAGTTTTGGGTTCGAGTCCAGCCTGGGGTTATGGTGCGTGTGCCCTTGGGCACTTTGTCACTCATTGCTTCTCCCCACCCGGGAGTGGAGTAAAATGGGTACCTGTGAGGGTAGAGATGGTTATTGTGTTTCAATAAGCTTCCTTGCACCTAACAGGCTGCAACAAGCGGTATACTCCCCAGGGAGCTGAGATGGTATTTGCAATGTTTAATTGGCCTAATGATCAGGGGTAATAATAATGCAAGGCGCTTTGATCCTAGTTAAAAGCGCTATATAAAAACCCGTTATTATCATATCCACAGCCACAGAAGTAGCCATATCCATAAGCTACAGTCAAAGGCAAGACCTCATGACTACAAATTTTATAGATGACTGGCAACCAAATGAAAACTATATAAAAGGCAAGAATGGGAGGTTTGCAGTAACACCCGATGAATGAAAGATATCTCTTAGTGAGTTGTGTGGTTCTGAGAAAAACCAGTTGGTTTAACTTGATGTTTCAAACTGTATGCTCTGCTCCTCATCAGCAGACTCTCTGGTTTATAGGCAGTTCAGCAATCAAGTTTTGTTTGTAACAAAAATATTAAAATGATCCTGATTTCCATCTTGAACGACCTGCCCGAGACAGACAGGGCTAGCTTGCTATCAGTACCAAAATCAATGCAAACGTGCCGAACTGCAAAACATGGTTCTGCACGATTTTGATGGAATCCGGATTTTACAGCTTCCAAATTTACCACATCACAACTTGATTACTAGTTTAGTAGATTACTGTACTGCAATTGATTTTGACATTTTACACGACAGCAGGGGAATCGACCCATCCTTCAATAAGTGTTACAAGCATATTTTGCTTCTGCTTATTTGAATAATCACTAGTTAAGCCTAGATTTGAAATATATTGGGATTTAGATTGTCAATTTTAACAAAAGGTCCGAAAATTCTATGAAAGACTGCATGATGCAATTTCCTTCTATTCAGATGTCTTTCTCTCAGATTCAAAAAGTCAGATTTCAGACAAAAGTCAGAAAAATCTCATGGCTGAATACAGGCCTAACTTTGCAACAGCCACAAAATGGACTTTAATTACTTGTGGTATGATGATTTCAGGATAAAGCTTACATTTGTTTTGGTTTCTTCTCGTCTCCTGGTTTGATCCGATCTTTCTCCAAGATTATACAGGGTCTGTCAAACAGCTCACACAGGTGCCTCACTCTGTCAATCAACTTGGTCTTATTGGCTCCATTCCCAAAATCTGCCATGTACAGCAGTAAGTTGTGGATGAAGTAATGGTTTCTGAAACCTCCTGACATCTCATTCATATTCATGAAGAGTTAATGAGGAGAAATTTTATATAGGGCTCTCTCACTGACCTATGTGTCTTGGCCATAGAGCTACATTAAATTACTAGAGCGCTAACTCTTCATTCTGCGCGCTGAGACGCTTTGAAGCCGTCCTGGGCGCAGACATTTTGAATTCATGTGCGTGTTTGTAGATCATAAAATTAGATGGATTGAATTTTGAAAGTGCAACGCGTAAGTAGAACGTACGCAAACAACTGAAGCGCGTCATGACGGTTTAAAAAAAAGTCTGGTTAATCATCTGCAGCGAATACGCGCACGTGTTGCGCTGTTTGCGTAGAGCAAATTGAAACGCTCATCATTTGCTGATCGTGCATTTCCGTTTTGGGTGTATCGGCTTCGGTAACACACCTGTATAGAATGTAAACGCAGATATGCAAATAGCCGTACAAAGCCGTACACAATTTCAAGTTTCCATAGGTTTGTGTACAAACATGGATGCGCCCAGCAGGCATCACTCTGTACACGAGTCAGCGCTCTAGCAGTTTTAATATAGCTCTATGGTCTTGGCCTACATCCAGGTACCGGAGAGTCAGCTTCAGCACTGCAGTAGGCAAAGATCACATAGCGCCGCGGGCAGTAGGCAGTAGGCAAGCCTTCAAAAGCTGTGATGGATGGCAAAAACTGTGAGAAAAACACAGAGCCAACATCAAGTGCTGGGTCGGAACGGATATGACAACCGTACACGGCACAGGTAGTGACAACCGTACATGGCACAGGTAGTGACCATTGTTTCAAAAAAATTATGGTTATGTTACGGGAAAATAGCCTTACTGTCTAGTTTACAATGCATGGCGTGGATGCTAACCAGACGTTTGCCTACTGCAATGGTGGGCCGATCACAGGGAAACCTGATGGTAACGTGGTACTTTGATGTCATACGATCGGACCCTATTAAAGCAGAGCAGGTAAGATCCTGATGTAACATGGCAGCTAAGGGGTCAGATGCGAAACGGCTACCTCAGCTTTCAATCCTTGCCTGAAAACGGTGGGGTATTGTATTTAAGGGAATGTACAACATTTGGTTTTGCTGCAATTTTCAGAAATAAATGGATTTGGAGGATTAGTATGTTATAGAAAATATTGTTACACTAACTTGTTTCACGTTTTGGGTTCGTAAGATGGTGGAAAAACCAAGAAAACCAATCACATTCTTGTAGTCTGGTTCCCTGACTCCACTTAAGATGAAATGGAGCAATTTATGGACTTTGGGGATTTATAAGATCAGAGAATCAGTCTAGCAGGCTTGTAGTCTTCACAGGTGCGTAATCAATTGCAAAGAAAATGCAGACGAACTAAATATGAACAATTAGGAGCACTTTTGAAAAAAAGCCAGTTTTCTCCAACACTGGTTGGCCGACCAGCTTTGGAAAAATACAATTTTTCTTGAAAATGTCAGCACACCAGGAGCCACAACTTTACAGGATGCTTTAGGCTGTCATTCCCTAACAAATCCAGAAAGATATTTCGTGATAATTTGATCATTTCGTTTTTTTGATGTTTGCAAATGTTGTATCTTCCCTTTAAGAATGCCTTCTTTTGAAATAAATAAATCCTAAATACTTACCAGACATGGATTTCTTCTCAACTCCCATGCGGGCACTGACGATGTAATCACATCCGCTCAGTTGACAGATGAGAGGATTAAGGTTATGCTTGAGGGTCAGGGTGGATACTATGTGGGAGGAGCTAGACAGTTCCTTAGAGTCAATGAGGATGACTGGCTTGCCTCGATTCACGGCGTCTTGGGACTGTTGATGTGCAATACAAACAAAGGAATCTCTCGTCATGCAGTGCTCTGAAGCAGGAATTCCATTTGTTTCATTTGAGAAATCAGTTTGGGTTAAAGCTGATCTCCCCATGCTCTACAACAAATTCAGTTTTTTTGCTTCTCCAGATCGACTTCAAATTGTATGTTTGTAAGATTATTCCTACTTTGGACATTTGCCACTCTCTGAAAAAAAAACCCTGTCGTTATTGCACCTCAAACACAGAAATATTGTCACCATCTAATAGCGATTAAAATTATATTCTGGGTGGAACTCGGGCAGGAAAATAACTTGTTGAGAGCAAAGTTAAATCAGTTGACAAGACTTGTTTTGTGTGGGGAGGAAACATTGTTGAGAGCTTCGACGACAGAAAATATTGCTCATTATTAAATTGTAAAAAATTAACAAGAAGGTCCTCTGGTATTTACTCACAAAATAATGAACTGTTCCTCTTTTACCTTCACAGAGGAAAAAGACATTTCTTTTTGAGTTGCTTCAAATTACTTCTCCAAAATTATGCTATCCAGCATTTCAAGCATCAGGTCACAATGTTCATATCTCCTGAAGGACTTTGGTAAAAAATAATCCCCCAAATGTCCAAGAGAACACTTACCCCAGCAAGTGTAATTTTACCGATCAGCCGCATGGAGCTGGGTGACATAGGAGGGCTTCTGGATCCTTGCATGGTAGCTGCTGGAATCACTGTAGAGGTGTTTCCTCTGAGTTTATGGGTTGGCGCACTCACTGCTGAAGCAGCAAGACTTGCATTGCTGCTTGGTGGTGTTCTGAGTTCCAAGGAGGAGCTTTTGGCTTGTGGATGCATCTTCTTCACTTGTACTTCTCTACTGCTTGCTCTTGCACTGTTAGCTGCTCTGCCAGCATACATCTCAGCTTTCTGCTGCTGAACATTGTTCTTTTTTACTAACGGTTGTTGTTGCTGTTCAAAGGTCTGTTTGAATTTCTGCCGTTGCTGCAGATGTTGATGTTGCTCCAAGGAGGAATTTTGGGCTTGTTGATGTATCTTCTTTAATCGCACCTCACTTATGCCAGGTCCTGCACTGTGAGATGATCTGCCAGCAAAGATCTCAGATTTCTGATGTTGGTGCTGTGGAAGTGTTTGCTGCTGATGTGCATCTAGTTGTTGATGTTGTTGCTTACTACTGACTTGATGAAGCTGTTGTTGTGGCTGTTGTTGGAAGTGCTGCACAACTGGTTTTAGCTGATCCCTCTGCTGTTGAGAGTGTACTTGTTCCTGAGACTGCTTGTGTTGTTGTTGCTGTTGTTGCCTTTTCCGCTCTTCCATTTTCCACATGAACTCTCTCTTCTTCTCCTCTTGTCTCCTCAGCCGTTCAGCTCTTTCCTTCTCGGCTAATGTCAGTCCATTACTGGCAACCTCAGCTGTTTTGCTGATGGAGCTTGTTGGTCTATTAGTCCCAGATACCGGTTTCAGATTTGGCACCACATTAGGACAAGAGTTGCTCTGTTGTGTGTTCCCAGCGAGAAAGTGCCGGGTGACGGAACCCTGGCTTTGACTTGGGAAGGATCCACCTTGCTTGTGCTCCTCGTTGAAAACTTGAGATTCGTCTTCACCATCTAAAGTGTAAGTCCTCACAGAGTCTTTCGTTGAATGGAGGACATTGGTACGTTTCACAGGTGAAACTTGAGGATAATTAACAGGTCCCCTTCTCGGTCCGACAAGACTGGAAGATTTTTGCTTGCTACTCTTGTCAGTGGATAGCCATCCTGATGAGTCAGGGTTCTCCACTGAATGTGTGGCACCAAGACCAGATACCTTCTGGCCCCTCCTCTTGTCTCTTGACTGCATCTTCTTGTCCCGTCTTCTCTGTTCCGCGTCCGTCTCTTCGTTGCTCGTTGATGTCGATGAGGATGACATGAGTACCTTCCGCCTTCCTTCCCTTAAGATCTGCTCTGCCCGGCTTGGTCCTTGGTTTCTCCTCCTCCTGCGTCTGGCTGAGATGATGTTGTCAGGGTTGATGGTGTTCTCAAAGATGCTCTCATCAAATTGCTCCCTCGATCCCCTTGGCATCCCTCCTCCATCCCCTTCCCCCTCACGGACCACAAAACTGTTTTCGTAGTAGCTCTCATCTTGGACAGGGACTTGGGAGAAGATTTCCATGTCTTCTGGGACGGGTTGTTGCCCTTCAAGATGGACCATCTTGAAGCGATTGCGGTCGGGATGCAATATGCCGCCTCCTGCTGGACTGCGGACTGACTGCATATAGACGGCATGCATGTCTATGGCAGATAAGACATGCACAATTAGTCAGGAAACACTTTCAAGAGTGGTTAAAATTATTTGCATGCACAAAATGATCTCCGAATTCCGACAACATGTTCACACAGCATTTTTAACAAAGCTTTGCCAATCAAGATTGTGCAAACATTTGGTACAAAGGCTCGCTTGAAGGAAATTCCTGGAGTTTTCACTGTGAATTTGGCATGAAAAAGATGTTGAAATGATTTTAAAAATCAGCTTAAAAAAACTTTTTTTTACTGGAATGCCATTTCTGGACTAATTGCAAGGGTCGTTACAACGGATCAATATATGCAAGTGGCTTTTCAGTCCAGTTTTTGTTGTGCACTGAGGCTTTAGTTTATAAACATAATACTCAACAATAACATACAAAAGTTGGACTAACGCTCCAATGGAAAGTACAAACCTTTACTGTTCAAAAATACAAACAAAAGCAGTCATTTTCCTCTTTTGTACATTTTGTTCCAGATTTCTCTGTGCAAAAGCCTGATGGTAAAACATTTAAACTGAAGTTTCAAGTGGCATCAAACTCCACCAAAAAATAAGAGTTGCTGGGGCACTACTATTCTCCAAAATCCCCTGGAGGGTTTTGGAGGGCCTGGGAGGGTTTGGGTTAAACCTGACTTTGTCTGATGGGCATCTACAGCTTGAAAGGCCAACCTACCATCCACCCTGAGCATAGACTGCGAGGCTTGGGTTAGCTGGGAGGCGTTATTGATGAATCCTTCCAGTGAGTTGTCCAGATCACTGCCCTCCTCGTCACTGGAATACTCCTCGCCATCTGAGACCACAACGTCCTCTTCTAGAAAGCCTCGGGCAAAGCTGGAGGCAATCTTGTTCTTCTTGGTCTGGGAATTAAGGTGGGATGGGCAGCAGAATGGGAATAAATACGAGACAGGGGATAATTGTCATAAAACAAGCTCCATCGGACATATCTCAGAAGCTGTGGGCCAACGAATTTGTGTTCATGCATGAGTCACGCGATTGGGTCATGTAATTACTGGAAGTAGCGTTTTGAGTAAAAAATTCAGGTTTTTAACCCTAGTGACCGCATGATGACCTTCGACCCCAGTTTGGTCATGTGATAAGTTGGGGCTGGGCTACGAGTACTTTTGACCACGTTTGGTTGAAATCAGTCAAAATACGTAGGAGCAATAGACAATGTCAACGTTTGTTACTGACTAACTAACTAACTATAACGGACAGACACGCGATGATTTGTTGAGCTGCTATATCCCGCAACTAAAAAAGGCACAATCAGACAAATGCCTCAAATTCATTAATTTGAGGGTGTTTTACCATTCAGTATTTACCCAGAATCATAAAAAAAAATGTTTTTAGAAAGAGTTTTGAGTTGGCATACTTAATTTTTACAAATGTTTACAACATAGTAAATATCTCTGGATGATGCACTTCTATATCACATGACACTTTTTGTGTCAGTTATTTTAAAATTCTTGAAGAGTACCACTTTTTGCATGAATGGTATTTGAATCTAAACCTTTATACAAGAATTTAAAACTGTTACCTATTTCGTATTGATCTAATAATGCTTATTAAGCACTTTGTACGAAAGGTCTCAAAGCACTTCACAATTATTACCCCTGTTTGTCAGGCCATGAAACCATTTTTTTTCTGCAGCAGTTTCAGATCAGCGCAATCTGGTCTCTACCCTCACAGGCACCCATTAGTACTCCTTGGTGGAGAGAGGCAATTGTAGTAAAGTGTCTTGCCCAAGAACACAAGCACCACGTTCATCAAGAACCCATGCACCACAGCACATGAGTCGTACCATTGGACCACCACGCATTGCCCAATTTCTACCCTCCATTTTGTGAGAGCAGATCACATTGAGATTTCAAAACATACCTGTTTCTTGATTCTGTTCATCTGTAGGTCTTTGCCCGCCGTGTGTTGTGTTTTCTCGCTGGAAGTTCTCGTTGCGACTACGAAAGTGTCCTTCTTGCAGGAGCTCTCATCTATCACAAGTGAAATTTTTGCCAAATTGCGGGATTTAAAGGGATATCCAGAAAGTTTGCTGGATTCAGAATTTGTGAGGTTGTCAAACAGCCTAAGACTTGATCTAGTCTCAGATAAAAAAAAAGAGACACAATTGTTACTTTATAATAAAATCAGTTTGGGAAAGGTTGCAGGAAAACTGCTTTTTTTCTACCCAGCAGTTAGATCTGGGTAGTTAGTCTGAACTCCAAAGGAGCCTGTTGATCATAAATAGCTTCCATAAATTTTCTGTTGCAGTTGTATTTTTTTACACATTTCCTTCTTTCGTATCCATACATCTACCAAGCATGATTGTAATCGTCGATTGGGAAATTCACAAGCAAGGTCTTTGAAAGAAACCTGGTAGCTGTACAAGTCTACATTTGCAAAGAGAAACAAATTAATCTTGCCAATTTGTTAAAATGTGTCAAGTCGCACGTACTGGTAGTCGAGTCCATCACAAGTCCAGTCTTAAGTAATCACAAGTCCAGTCACGAGTCCAGTCACAAGTCCAGTCACAAACTCGTTTGAATAGCTTGTGAGTTGAATTGGGACGAGAGGACTTGTGATGGACTTGTGATTGACTCAACTACATCCCTGCACGTACTAACCAATAAAATCCTCGTCAGCCTCATCTATAACCGGTGTCATGATGATCTGTCTTCGTTTCTTTGGCCTTCTGATCAAAGGCGACTCCAGATCATCGTCACTACTGAAAACCAATGGCTGCAAAAAAAAAAAAGTAGACAGAGAAATTCAAAATATTTTACAGTCTTCCAAGAGCCAGGATTTAAGGGCAAGTGTAAATTTGAATAAAAAGGTAGAAGCAATCGGACCATTTGCATTTTGTGTTTTTTTTTTATCAACACCCATGACAAAAATAACAAGTGATTAGGAACGTTGAAGAATGAACCTGCTAGAATTTTAAATCGGTAGATTCCCCCAATTTTGTTTTTTGTATTTACCATGTTTGACTTTACACTTAGAGTGTCCCAGTAATGGCGGAAGCCTTGCCCGAGCTGCTGTCCAAAATAAATGCCAAAAATAGTTGCTCTGAAAAAGAGCTGGCTAAATGCTCCCGCCATGAAAAATACTGGAGCACTTTCGAGTGGACATAGATCACATGCTCCCTCTGGTTAATGCTAAGTTAACAAAAGAAACTTAAAATGGGTCAAAGAACTGTCCAATAATGATCTGCCAACCTTGGCACGTGTTGTTTTCTTGGCGGATCCACCAGTAGCAGGCCTGACAGGGGTCTTGAACGAAGGTGTCGGTGGGGATTGTAAGGCCACCGCCTTGCGTCGTTTCCTGCGCTGGATAGGCTGGCTGAGTTCCTCGTTCTCATCAATGTCCACTGGAGGATAGTCAGTGGGACCTGGTGACAGAAGGCACGTGAAAAGATTCAGAAGTGATACGTTAGCTTTGCCCTTTAATCAAGGAAAATGCAGGCGTTAAACAGATTCCCTAACTTGGAACTGAAATCGTCATTTCATGGTTCATCTAAACAAATTTATGAATCCACATGTACAGATAAAAGCTTAGGATGGCTTTCATTGGTCAATGAAACCCTTCTTCTGCATTCTGTTACCATTCTCATTGTTTTTCCTTTAATATTTAAAAGAAAAGTGTTAAAGGAATTGCTTCAACGATTTTAAAGGATCAGCGTTTTACAGAATTGGAGTTGACGCTAAATATATAAATCTGGCGAAAATCATGCTATGACCGTAAACAACTTTCTCACCCCCCCCAAAAAGGATCTCTCTCCTACCAATTTTAATTTAAAGTTCATGTACGACGTAGTTAAAGGTTTTGTGATGTCACATGAGTCTGTGAATGATAACATTTTCTTGGCTTGGCACCCTTTCAATGTGCACAATACGTTAACTGTCTTCAAATAGAAATAGAAAGAATGAAATTCGGCAGTTTAACAGGATTGTTTCAACATGCAAATAGATTTGGCACCCGGTGGTTTATCCGATATTCGTATCCTCTCCACCCCAATCAGGCAAGCTCAGTGGATGAATGATACAACATCTAAACTTGTACAAAAAAAGTTGTTGGTTGAAGCTTTGCCATGAAACTCTCCAGAATTTTATTCTGACGAGCTTTAATAAAACACTGACCATATAACAAATCACTTCAGTAAAGAACAAATTGGTCAATATTAAAGTACAATGTAGCACATTTAAGTTTACAATAAGAAAAACCACACACCTGCACCTTTCCTGCCTTGATCTTTTATTGGCTCCTCCACTTCCTTTTTATCTTCCTCATCCAAGACAATCACTTCTCCTTCGACAGTCTCCATCTCACCCAGATCATCTGGCCCAATTCTTGCATCCGTTAAGCTGAACACTCCAGTATCTGGGCTAGAATGCACTATAGACTGTATGGGAGAAGCCTTAGCCGGTTCCGACATTCGACGCTTTACTCCAATGGGACTTTCATCGGCCAGATTTGTGACTGGTGCACTCTTCCTCTTTCCCAGGACCGTCAATCTCACGTTAGTGCTTTGTCTCACCTCGGCTTCACAAGTTCCTCTCGCTGGGTGGGGCAATGCATCTTCTGTTACATTTCGTTGGACTTGACTGGATGAAGGGGATGAAACATCGCAATATTTTACAGTTTGGAGCTGCTGTGGGCTCTTTTTACTAAGACTCAAACTTTTACGCATTTGTCCTTGCCTTCTTGCAGGTTCAGTGACTTTATTTTTGGTTGGGGTGATTTGTGAGGACTCAGATTCATTCACTCTTAAATTTGGTGGATGAGCATCAAAACCGGGGCAGCCTTCTGTTACTGGCTTCCTGTCTGTTGCTATTGGAGAGAGAAAATCAGTACAGGGCACTGACTTGAGTTGAGAATCGGCCTTTGAAACAGGAGTGGAGGAGATCCTTGCCTGGAATCTGTTGGTCCCCCTGGATACAGAGGAGCCAAGTTGTCCCTTTGGAATGGCAACTTGGCTGAGGTTGATGTATTCCTGCTGCCGTTCCATGTTTGGGGAGGGTGCAACAATGTCATCCTCTTCTCCGGAGCCATCTTCTTCAAGACTATCCAGATCAAAACCCAGGTCAAACTTTGGCTCAGCTGATCCTAGAACCTCCATCCGTAGCTTCTCCGTCTCGGCAGGGTCTTCCTCTTGCTGGACCCGACCCCTGCCAACTTCCAACGAAGACAATCCAATTTTCGATGCATCCGGGATCTCCAAATCCAACTCCCTCCTCGAGTCAAATTTTTCATTTCCTGCACAGCTTGGACCATTTGTTTCATCACTGTTAAGTCTCCCAGCAAATGAAGTCTTTGTCCTTGCTCCGAGTCCAGACTTGGGAGTTTCTGGCGTTGCTGAGGATGGTCTCTTAGAGACCCTGCTCTGAAGGGGCTTTCTACTTTTAGCCATGGAGATATTGCAAGGTGTCTCTTTTCCTGCTAACTTAAATGCTTGAAGCAAATTAACAGCAGGAATGACTGAAGCTGTAAGGGTAGACTCCACCATGGGGGTTTCCACATCAAATGCTTGTGGTGTACCAAATATACTTTCAAGATTATCATCACCAACGTTTTCCAAATCTATTTCTTCAACATCGTTATCTCGATTGGACGGTTTCTCAATAGAAGACCTTTTGTCTTTGTTGGTATCCTGCTGTTCTGACATTTCAACTTCTTCATCAGAGGAGATGAATGTAAAATCCACGTTTAAGTCAAAGTGGGGTTCAATTTCTCCTAAAGATTTTAATTGGTTTTTCTTAAGCTCGTCATTATCAGTTGTTTCAATCTGAATCTCCTCATCTCCATCATGCGAGGATCGGTTTCGGTTAGTAAACGTTTTGGACTGCTCATCGGAGACAATTCCATTAACGTCTTTCAAAGCACCGAATGAAACTTCCTCCAAAGATTCCTCAAGTTTTGATTCATTCGCTTGGGATTCTTGAAGCTTCTCCACAGATGGAGTGTCTCCAACTTTGAAAGAACCCTCACAGGATGCGAGTATTGTAGGTTGGTTTTTGGGTTCTCGCTGACCTCCAAAATGATTGGATTCACTCTGGAAATGTTGACTTAGGTTAAAGGTTGTGTCGATGTCATCCAGCAGGTCCAGTGACGCTAGCGAAGGAGGAGGTGGGGGTATCACAGACTTCCCTGCACCTGTCCTGATCTCTGAGGGTTTTGGGTCATCCTTTTTCGAGGAAGATGGGAAGAATACGCTCTGGGTCGGAAACATAAATGACAGGTCATCTTCTGTTTTGTTCAAAAGACTGCTTGAAAGATCATTACCTGGTACTGGCTCAGATGTTTTCTTTGGAATTTTGAAAATCAGGAAATTATCGCTGTCCGTATCCATGGGTTCTGGAGTATCATAAATCACATCTGTTCCCTTGTGATTCGGAGAACCATGAGCCTCATCCAATGCAGAATCCAATTCAGAGGAAGCCACTTTTGGGTCCCTTTCAAGAGAAATTGTCTTCATATCTCCACATGCTCTTTCCTGCCTGAGGTTGCTTGTAAAGTCGTCATCACCATCGGAGCTGTCCATCACCGGTCTGAGATGCTTGCGCTTCTGTTTGTGCTTTCTGGGCTTGTCTGCTGTAGAGGACTCGTTGGCCTTCCCCTTCTTGCTTCTTGTGCCTGACCTCATTCCATTTGTCTCAGCACTTGTTGATATTTTGCTGTGTTCCTCAGGAAGTACCAGATTCGCATTCTCGTCTTGGAAGACATCTGGGAGGTAATCATCACTATGATTGCTCTCAGACGGGCTGGACATGAGTTCCATGGGCCGATTTTTCCGTTTTGCTCTCTCGTGTCCTGGCTTCTTACCAACAGATCTGAGAGAGGTCTCCTCTACAGTATCAAGAAGAGATGGCTCTTGCGGTTTTGACTTGCTCGCCTTCTTGAGATGGTCACCATCATCGGATGGATCCTTCGGCAATTTTGTGCAATAATTCTCGATTCCTGTCTTTCTTGGTCGGATGATGTCGTCCTGGTCCAGGTAAGTTTGCATCTCGAGACCGTAGATGTCATCTCCCTCTGTCATGTTCTGGAGGTCGATGAACTCCATGAGCTCTACAAACTGGTGGCAACGGTGGGAGTGCTGAACTAGTCGGACAGGCTGCTTACTCATCTGCCAAGGGGACCACTCTGATAGCGACATTTCTGGATGACTGCTTTTTCCTCCTCGAGAATGCTGCAAAGACGAACAAATCAAAGTTTTTTTATTTATCAACAACACAGACAAAAAGTTAGGCCCAAGCTGTATCATAGTACCTTCCCTTTTTGGTCGATTGCTGGCTTAAAAATTTCTTTGGTACATTTTTACAAACTGGTGAATTTATACTGAAATTAGTCCTCAACAGGTCCTTGAAGACTCGTCTTTCGAGTTTCAATTAAGTAGAGTATCCATCCATGAATGATGAACCAAATGGACTTTTGCACAACTATTTCCTCTATGGGGCCTAGTCCAGCACTATCCAGTATACAATGATTTTACATGTGAGACATTGGCACATGTGAACCAGTTAACAGCTCTAAAAAAAACCCCAGAATATAGGGAAGTAGCTAGAAAGAAGACAATGCAGCTATACTTCTTAGGCATAACGCAAACTTTCATGGTACCTGCCAATTTATCCCTCAATGTAAATGAATAACATTCTTGTCCCAATCGCTATACAAGCTACAATGCCATTCGTTTATGCAGTTAATAAAGTCAACCGAGGGCCTGTTTGTTTCATTCCAGATTCTGATCGAGATCATGTGATCCTGCGCATCGAATTCTTTAGGGTGCACACGAATGCTGTCTGCTTCAGATTTTGTAAGCAGAAGGGCTATTTTTATGATAATCTATCTATAATTTTCAGCGAAAGTAAATCAATTGTACTATATTTTTTATCACGAAAATACACTCAAAAAGAATTATGAAGAAATATTGTCACAAAAGCTCATTTGATGCTTCAAATCTACAAAAAAAACCCGACTTTAGCTCTTATTAATTGAGCACGTCGCCATCTTTGATCTTGCAAACCCAACTCACGTGCAGAATCTGTTAAAACATGATCCAGAACAACTATCGATGCATCAAATCACTAATTGCGGCCCAAATCTGCGTGAAACAAACTGGCCACAAGTAAATATGGTGTATGTAGGGCCTGGTCCAAAATTGTTTTCTAAGGCTACGACTATCCGATGTAGTTATCCAATGGCAACAACCAAAGGCCGTAGCCACAAAATACCCAACATTAGCCCGAGTTTAAATTGCATGGCTATGACCAGCAATACCACACATCTTTGGCAAACATCTTCAGCTGCTTCTACAGACGCATGTGTAATAGCAAGCCGTAGTGAAGTAATTCTGACATGTTAGCTTACATTACCTGTTTGTCCTTGTCCCCAAGTGTGATAAAGCGCCCTCTATCAGGCATGGACGGCAGGCTCTCTTTCTCGGCAGCATCCAGTTTGTAGTTGGCACTCCAGTAAGCCAGCTCTTCAGGGCTCAGAAACTCACTGGATTTCTTGGTGCTCTTCGCTAATGAAAGGATAGATGAAAAAATAGAAAAATACTTTGGGATAGTGGTTGCCACTCCGTAGCTTTCACACAAACAAATTACTGGGTTGGAATTCTTTGTCCAAGTGTGAAATATGACTGAAAAGTTGCGGAGAGGAACTCACCACCATGTAATGCTTCTCTAAACTAAAACATCAGGAACATGATGAATATGTGTGAATATACCTGAACATGATTTTAACACATCCACGTCAACATTTGACGCAACGTTTTTGAACAACGGGAAGACTGACGAGACTGCTTATAAAAATAAGCTCTTCAGTACAGAGTTAAAGGTGACGTAACCTGCTTTCCTGTGTCTTCAAAGATATTTGCATTTGTCGTAAATTTTATTAAATGGACTGAAATGGGGTCTTGTCATTTACAGCAGATATCGTTCCAGAGACCTGTTTACTGTTTTGTGCCCATTGGTGACGGAACCAAAAAAAAAGGCGATGGTTCGGCCTAATCATTGTAAGTATTGATACAAAATTCCTTTTTTCTTGACAGCTTTCCAGGCCCAACAATGTCACAGGATTCTCCATACTATTATTTTAATACTTACAATCAAGTAGGCTACTTCATAATGCAAGTTGCATTTTGAATGTTTGCAAATGTTGTACATTCCCTTCAAGTCTCCGAGTGGTTTCTTCCATTCTTTATTGACTCTATCAAAATCAGATAGGTATTCAATTGACCGTGTTACCCTTGTTTAAGAAGGACTCCATTCTCGTCTCACTGCTTGCCCCAACGGCTGATCTCCGCTTGGCTTCCTTATTCATGAATGCCTTGACGGTGATGAACATCTTATGGGGTGCTGGGTTGAGACCCCGGGGCACCATGCGAGGGCTGTTAGGGTACAGCTGGAGGGATCGGGCATTGCCCTGCAGAGCCTTAACGATGCCCTTCTTGCTGTACTGGCTCCTGTCGTAAATCTGACGAGAAAAGATGTCTGGTGAATGTCACGTGGAAACCTCTGCTTAAAGGCCGGTTTACACTCGGCACAAAAGCGAACGCGAACGCAACTTTGTGATGTCGGTAAATTCGGTAAACATTGGGTTGAAACTGAACCATGAATATTTACGAGGCCTACACTGTACGCGACGATGTTTCCTTGACAATAGAGTTACTATGGTTATACACCTTGTATTTTGAGAAACCCCAGTGAACTATATCATATGTATATATGTGGGCGGTCCTATGGTCTGCTCGTATGACGCATCAGCTCATCTCATTTGAGGTGAATTTCAATGTCATGACGATCTGTCTGTCTGTCTTGCACTACTAAAAAGTTCCCACGGTCCTTACTTGGCGAGGAGCCCAACTTGCCACACCATTCACGCCCAAAACATTGCTTCCAGTTGCCGACGGCTATTTACTGTGCTGACTGTCGACATCCTGAGCAGCAGCAATGTACAAGACTGGTGCTGGGCCAGGCCGCTCCGATGCTAAGCCATGCCATCGCCAGCGCCCTGCCGCAGTAAATGTACATCAACTAGCCGGACTGTTCAAGCCGTTTCATTCAATCCTGTTTAATAACATTCTGCTATTTTTATGGGATGACTGATTGAACAGATTTCTATATTTTTATTTCAATTCAGATATCTGCTATGTTTTCTTCAAGTTCACCCCTCCCCCCAAAAAACAGCATCCCCTTAAAATCTGCCAGATCATCGGCAAGTCACTGTGTGTAAATCAGCAATTTCAAGTAAAGTTTGTGTATTTCATCATTTGTGTTTAATATCCACTTTCCTTTGCCAACAATGGTATCAGCTAGCCCATAAATTTGCGTATTTCACAATGTCAATTATTAGATAACATTGATTTATTCTGCTAATGATTAATAAAAACAACCACATGAATTTGTATATGTTAAACCATAGAGACTCACATAAAATAACAAAGCATTTATCCAAAGTAACACAAATAAAAATTAAATTTTATTTGTCGTCGTAATTGGACTTCAGAGCCCAAAATGAGAACCATAGAATTAAAAAGGATGCCCGTCAGGGCCTACCTACTTAAGTCTAGAGGCTGTCAAAAATTCTCAGAGGTTTTCCATTTCAAATATTTCCTGAATGTTTCAGACGCTGCTTTGCAACACCGCCTACTGCAATAATATGATAGGAATAATTTCTCGAAGATGCAATTTTCCAAGCTGGTGATTTAAACCAGAAAAAAATTGTTGAAGTACTTTTCCATCAAGACTACAATAATATCCTTTTTTTCTAACTCATATTCAACTCATATTTTATCTGTACTTGGAACATGACACTTACCCGGTAGTTTTCTGGTTAAAGTTTTAAAGCAAATCATACAATGATATAGTGTAAGTCATTGTCCCGCGATGAAACTATATCGCCAAAGACTTGCAATGACTTCAGGATGCGTGTCAATTAGTTTGAAGTCTATAACGCCACCGTTGTGACCATGGAGGAAGGCATAGTGTCAACAAACATAGACAACAAACAAAGCAGCACCCTATGAAATTCATTTGCTGGACAAGCTGAAGTATATGCACCCTTTCACATTAGCACTTTTCACACAGACTTAGCACCCTGTCGTCCTGTTCCCTTATCATTCAGCCTTGAATTAATTGCACTGGTAACCAGGGAGCTGACTGTCACAACACCATGGCCGTGGATATTGCATGCTCAATTCAAGGGGAAGTCCCTAATACCCCTGGTAGGGTAAACGGCTGTTTCATGTATTGTTATTTATGTGCATATGAAAATAATGGTGCTGATTGATTTCTTTTGGGTCTGTACATCAAACAAAAATTAAAATACACATAATAATTCAACTATGTAGAAGTTCAAATTTTCCCAAAAACATGGGCGTCGCCAGGATTTTTTCTAGCGGGGGGGGGGGGAAAAGCACATTTCCCCCCAAAAAATCCCTATATTTTCCAGCATTTTTCCGATTGATCATTTTTTCGAGGGTGGGCAGGGGCATTTGCCCTCCCCCGACCCATGAAATTAACAATATGATTTCGCACCTCTTTTTCTTCTTTTTTCCCCCTTTTTTTTTCTCCTTTTTTTTTTTGTGGCTTGTTCGGGGGGAGGGAGGGAGCAAGCGGTGATTTCCAACCCGAAATGTTAAAAATATATTACCAAATGTATTTCCATGGAAAAGTTTCAAAAATTGTGCCTAATCTACATTTTATTCGTTTACAAATAATGTATAGACAACTCAAAATGTCAAATATGATGCTGTGTGTAATTCATAGAATAATACAACATAAATACCACTTTTTTTTAGGGGGGGGTTGATGAAAGATAATTAAACTGACTGCAGATTCGCTGTAATGTCCATGAAATATTACATCGTTCATGAAATATTACAAGCATACGGTACATCCTAAAGTGATTTAAATGGTTTTCGAATCTCTACGTACTGATTTTTTACTCACAGATTTAAGATGCCTACAAGTTTTTTTCATTTTACGGTTCTAAAATCACGTTTAAGTCAAACACAATTCCGACCAGTGATTACATTCATACTCCTAACTGAAATGCATAGGAAAATGTGTTCGGCCGTTGCAATATCGAATCTGCATTTCGAAATATTTTTTGACCATTTGCAATGCCGTCGTCAGTAAACGCACTCTTGGCAAAAGTTTCGGAACAAGTCCCTTTGTCTCGATCGATGTGCATTCGTGTCTATTTTGCATATGAACTGAGACATTCCGGAACCAGGCCAGAGCTTATATTGTGCACTCGCGCTTGTTTTTTTTAAAGAAGCAAAATCATCAATACTCCATGAAGACTGAAAAAAAACTAACAAAAGGGTGGTTCTGAGGAGATACATGTATATCATAGCCTTAATTCTATTAAGGCTTACAAGTAGTTTTCATTTAAACACATCACGTGGTGTACAACGCCAAATTCTCCAAAATACTTCTGACCATGCACAGCTTGAAATCATACTTTGATTATTATTATCATTATTTATTCGGCCAACAAATGAAACAAGTACCGGTACAATGACAAAGCAATTACATATTGTATACTAAAACTGACATTAGAAAAGGAACCAATTATTTTAAAACAAGTGTGACTAGACAAGACTGACATGACTGAAGGATGCGAGAAGGAATGGGCCGGGGGGCGGGTGGGTGGTTAGGAGAGTGGAGGGCCGAAGGGAGAAGAGAGGTCGGACAATTACACAACAAAAGAGGAGATAGAAGAACAGAAAACAAGGACAATAAAACATTTCAAGCCAGCCAGGGTAAACAAAAGTGTATTTAAACTCTAATCAATGTGAGACGTTCTGCCAAAATGAGACAGAACTGGGCAGAGGTCGCAATGAGGGTCTGGGGGTATTAGGAAATCCTAACAATAATGTTTCTTGCACTTCAATCAGACATTTTCTCCACCACGGTCTGTGCCCAATTTCATCTCGTTTTTCCAGAACGCCTCACAAATCATTGCCAACAGTTTGCCCCCCCCCCTTTGTCTTGTACTTACAGCCGCCTCCTTTCCTTCAGTGACCAGCATGACAATGCGTCCTTGGCGCTTCCTACCGGTCCGTCCCATCCGTTGCACCAGGCGGATGGGGCTCTTGTGGGCATCGTAGCAGACGATCAGGTCAACGTCACCGATGTCCAGGCCTTCCTCCCCTACACAGGTGCAGACTAGAGTGTTGTAGCCGCCCTCCCTGAACTCCTTGACAACCTGCAGGGTACAATTTGCAAAAACATGGCTAATTCTTTACCCCCAGAGGATCTTAAACAACAATCTGCTGCAAGTAAGGGAAATAATTTTTTGAATCTAATTTCTGATTCATAGTATTCCTGCAAAAATTCAGTGAAAGTGCTGAATCACTTTGAAGGAGGTTCACACGATGTTTACAAAAACCTATATTTCTGCGAGTGTTGTGTCCCCCATTAAGGAAAATGGTGTTTGTGTTCCTTGGCAAGATAAATTGCAGCAACCAGTAAAATACCTGTGTGTCTGTAAACTTTATCTTGGTATCTCAGGCTGTACTCTGGAAACCCTGTGGGCTTTATTGGACGACCCATTGTGTTATGCAAATGTATGTGAATTGTGAAAGCATAAGACTTCAGCAGACACACAGCCTGTTTGTTTCAATCTCAGGCAAATTTGGACATCTAATTTTCAAATAAGATTTGAAGGTTTACATGGTGAAGTGAGCAATAACAGTAACATTGCGGTTGCACCATGCGACAAATCTCAGTTTTGTGAGTTTGTGAGGTTCCGAAAAGAACCAGGGGGAAGTTCAATGCTTCAGACAGTATGTGACGACTGGCGGTGAATACTGTCCGAAAGGTCGAGTTTCCCTGGTTCTTTTCAGAACGTCACAGACTAACAAAAGAGATTTGTCACATAGTGCAACTGCAAAGTAATACTCTTATTCATTTTCAAACGCTCACTTTTCACAAGCCCTACCTACCAGTAGCGGATCTTGGGGGGGGGGGGGGAGGTTACGGTTACAGGCGTTGCAACACCAACACGAACCCTCCCCAGTTCAGCCGCTGACTAATGTTACGATACTAGTAAAATGGGGCCAAAAATAATCAACGGAATACTCCTAATAGATGGAAAGTTATTACAGCTTATTCTCAAATTACCTTAGAATGCAAGAGAAAGCATTGTAGATTTCACAATTTTTTTCGGGGGGGGGCATGCCACCAGACCCCCCCTATCAGAGCGTGCCTTTTGTATGCCTTCACCCCCCACTTCCTGACAGCTAGCTCCGCCCCTTCATACCTGCCGAATACTTCCACATGAAATGATGTTTTCAAGTGTGCTGGCTTGTTGGCACTGACATAATAAGTCTATAAAAAACTGAAACCAAGTAGCTTCTGACCCACCCTGAGCTGTTCCTTTTGGCTGATTCCCTTGCTGTTCTTGCCGGTGGATGCCTGCCCTACAAACCCCATGCAACGCAGCAGGGGCCTGTGCCTGTTCAACATCTCCGCGATCTCGTTCACGCTATCCCGATACTGAGCGAAGATCATGACTCGTGTGGACTGGGGCGCCGCGGGTTGCGGATGCTGTTTACTTGTGGATGGCCTGTCAGCGCTTGGAGATTCTGCTAGGAAAAACAAAATTGCTGTAAGTTTTCGTTACTTCGTTAATCAATACATTTCTTTCAATATTTGATTAAAGAAGTAGGCCCTAAATATCAGTTGGACTTGTGTGATTTTTTTTTTCAATTTAAAAAAAAAATTCAAAAATGCGAAGTAACATTTTTCAACGATGCAAGTAATGATCTTAATATTTGATGGTAATGATTTGGTGGTAACGATTAACGGCAAATTATTTTACATAACCTGTTCCCAAATTAACACTTGAAACGTACAATATCCAAAGTGAAAATTACAATTCACAAAATGAATACAGAAATTTATATTGACAAGTGAAATTGACACTTTTAGGATATTTACAATTTTTTCATAATCTCAAGTTTTGGGCAAATATGATTTTGTTACACTACTTTGACCCAGCTGTCCAAGGCCACTATGTCTTGTATATATACTGTACCTTTATTAGCTGAAAACCGTCGGAAATGTTCCAGAACAATTTCTTGTAGTTTGGCCATCTTCGGGTGGCTGGTGACGTACGGCTTCACCTCTTTGACTCTAGGTGTCCCTGGATCCAAGATGAAAAATACGAATCGTTTGGCAAAATAAACTAGTCAGCAATGCCCACAAAAGATGTTGTATCATTGAACACATTAAAACTCTCCCTCACTAACTGGCAATTTTAACAAGGCCAGTTCAGCAGTCAAAATAGATTAAGTGACTGTTTTTAACAGTTGAGTGCTCCCTGCAGCCTTCATAGTGCAGGGTTGACTGGCTGTGATTGTTATGAAACCTAATACAGCTATGCTTTGACTGTAGGAGAGTGATAAGCCAGCTGTGCCTACCATTACCTACTATTGTCTGTTGATGGAATGTGACTGTCACAGTTCCTACCAAAAATATGATCTGACTGTTGGTGACTAGCTAGTGTAAAAGACAGGGGAACAGTATGAATTTTTGACTGTCTCTGATCAAACAAAAAAAGATTTTGCAGAATTGAGGGATATAACAGTCCAACCATATTATTTAAGTACGGAAATTGCCACATTGGGTTGCCGACTACAGATGGATTTTGAAGGATTTAGCAACAATTTGCACGGTGTGAGGATTGACTGGCAGTCCACATTTTACCCTACTTCAAGGAACAGAAACTAACCCTACCACCCCAAAAAAAATTTGCTAGGAACCTTCCTGGATCTTCAAAAAAAAAATCCACAAATGTGCAAGAACCAAAACATTCAGTCTTTTTATTGGAATCTCTCAAGGGGCTAAAACTCCTACAAAAAGTCATCATGGCTGGGCTCTAGCTTCCTTAATCTTTCAAATTCCTCCAAAATCTTTAAGTAGATTTTAAAGGATCTAGGAGTTAAGTGTCAAACTCAATTTGACACAGGAAATCATGGGTTTTTTTTTTCTAACATTCAATTGACCATTACCTGGTACGGAGAAGAGCCCACTCCTATTTGTCAACCCATCAGTCTCCTCTCCTCCGCCAAACTTATCCCTGAGCGCATCCATCAGCTGGACAAACTCCGCGTTCCTCAGAAGCTCCTGTCGAGTTCGGGAGAATCCCTTGTCGCTGTCCACGGTACTATGGAGGAAGCTGTAGAGAGAGCGTAGGCCGTGCTGGAGGAGCAACTCAAAGCCGTGGTAGAGGCTGATGCATATGGCAAAGTCACCCTCCACGACACCGCGAGACTGCAGGGGACGTCGATAAAAGAACGAAGCATTTCAACAACAGAAGACTCTAAGGCCGATGGCACATTAAACCTTACCCGAGGTGCAACTCAATCACCATTTAGCATCAACTAATTTTACAGAATATACTGCTTAGTTAATGGAAAAAGCAGTTTTAGGGGAAGGCCATGAAATCAGAGACTGAACATCCAATCCAAACGTCAACCTGTGTCAAGCAAAAAATTGCTTACATTTAAGCTGCACTATGTAATAGCCATGAGACATAACGACATCGCGCTTTGTTTAAATGTGTGCTCTCCTATGGGAGTCTGATGGCTCTCGTCCCCAACTGGCTCCCATAAAAAATCACAAAATGTAAACACAGCGTGATGTCAGTGTCTTAGGTTTATTGGGCCAAGGTTTAGGTTCTGTTTAATAAAACTCCACTGATTGTCAGCGCACATTCGTGGAATTATGGCCAGACAATCGCTAACTCTCACGACCGAGGTTCACTCATGCCAAAGGGATGACCTTTGAGGGTTAACCTCTTTGAGGGATGACCCCTGACCTTACCTTGACCTGAGGGGGCGGGTCTTGACGGAAGGCATCTCTAGACTGCAGGATCTGGAACTTGGTCAAGCTGGCCGGGTCTTTGTTATACAGGGCTCCACAGCGTGTCAACCGACCGACGTACACACTCAGAATCTGTGACAACAGGAGAGAAGTGGATGACCTATCACTATTGTTCAACTGCTGCCGACCATCTCTGAGAAAATCTGGGAAGTCTAAGAAGCAATGTTGTTGTTGGGAACATATGGAACAGCAATCAGAACACAAGCAAAGATGGATGCCACTCACAAATGACTTATGATTTTGTTTTGTTTTCATTTTGAATCCTGTAGAGACTACAAGTGTAACACTTAACTCTGTGCTCAAGTAATCCCTTCAACAATAAGCGAGTTTGGCATTCCAACTGCGCCTGTGCACATCAAGATTTGTCAATTTTTTTTGGGATAAAAGTGTCATCGTTTTGCATGCAAAAGCATAGCAGAGTACCAGCAAAATTGAAGATTTAACATTTTGCAAAAAACTCATATTGAGAAAACTATCAGTCCGAATGGGTCAAAATTGCGTACGACGGTAGTCAGACAAGTGTTTTTGGGTGTCTTGTGTGTCAAAACTTTTGTGCGAACGAAAACTCCATCTCTTATCGATTGCACGAAAATTTGCACAGAATGCAGATTTAGTTACGACGTCCCCCATAGCCTTCTGTGCATTTATCTGCCGTGGTTAGCCCGGAAATCATTGAATCTTGCTGTGCACCAGCTTATTTTGGAATACTGAACCGGCTCATTATAAAGGGAGAGTTGGAGGAGACCCTGGGAGGGACCCTTGAAGGCATTGCCCACGGGCAAACGATTGTGCGGCACATTCAGAATAAAATTAGTTATGCGTCTCATGCATGTGAAAACCAGTGTGCACATGAGGGTGTCCCCCCCCCCCAACTGGAGCTCTTCAAAGTTGTCACAAAGCACCATCATCCACAGTGCCCTCACATGTCTGCAAACGGAGTCCATACATACCCGCAGGTACTGATCCCGGACAGCTTTGAGCTCTTCATCCAGTGGAACCACAACCTTCTCCACTTTACGTTCGTGGACGTAGCGTTGGATGTCAATGGAGTCCTCTGAGCGTATCTCGATATGGGAGATGAGCAGGTTGGTAAGGACCTGCTGGATTGCCTACAACAATTACAAGAAAATATCAATATTGGTTTTGCCCTTCACCGACGTAATTTTATAAACACTAGTACTGCATACTGAGTTTTTCGAGGGCTTGTGAGAAAAAAATTTGCTTAGTTGGGTGGGACTTGAACCCACAACCTCCTGCTTACTAGTTCAGACATCTTAGCACTCGACCAACATAGAGGGTAGAAGCAGGAACCGTAACTGATCACCATATGATGGATTTTGCATTGTGGTTATGGAAATTCAATATTGGGTATTCGTCTCCGCGACACAAAATTCCATCATTGAAAGAAAATATCACCAATGATGGTAAATTGCAGTATTTATCATCACATTTTTGTCAATCCTGGTAATGACATCAATAACTCCTGAAAAGAACCCATGGCACTGAACATGTACATGTCACCAGCCTATTACTTTAAAAGTAACACATAGAGAGAAGACAAGAAAGAAATATCCAGTTTTAGAAGTGGGAGGAAAACACAGAATATGTTCTAGGGGAAACCCATGAAGTTGGGTAGGGAATAAGAACCCAATCTACATGTGGATGAAGTGGGGGCACGAAAAGTGGGGGATTCAAACCAGTGTCACAGAGATGGAAGGCAAGGAAAGGACTACAAGCCTGCCTGAGTCACACGTTTTCCTACAAGAAATGCTGATAATTACACCAAACATTTGGATACAACAAACATCCCCTATGGCTCCCAAATTGTCACGGTGGGCTGTCACACTACCTTGAGATCACTGCCTGGTGTAGCACTTAGAGCCAATACTCGGAACTCACTGGAATACTTGGACAACTCCCGCACAACCTATGATAGAAAAGGATTGCAATGACTCTGCATCAGTGATTCTGCACATCTTTCTTTAAACATAACATTTGATGAGCAACAGACACGAGACGTACTTTAGGCATGTTGTTAACCACTCTGTGTGGAAGGTATTGGCATATCAGGCTGACTGGCCACAATACACCACAATACGTGTCTAGAATCCAACAATTTTGGATTTTAGAGACTCTGTGGTACGATCTGAGGCAATTTCTGACCACTTTAACCATTTTTTTTGGAGCAAAAGATCATCTTTTAAACATAATTTTTTAGTTTGGAGTCATTGAATCAGGTATTCTGAGCTATAGAATCAAATGTAGGCTACAGATTTGATTCTGGGATGGGAAAAGTGGGGGGGGGGGGGGGACAAACGATACATCCCCCCACTTTAAAAAGTGTGGGAGGGGGGGGGGAGAGACACATATCCCCCCCCCCCCCCGCCCGTCCCACACAAATTGACGCATACCGTGTAAGCAAGTATTTTCTGAGCTTAGTAAATTTTTGTGATTAGCAGCTCCATACAATTTGCCAATAATATGTGACGTGGCATGTTAAAACCAGGCAGAAGTGGGCAGAGCTATAGAGAAACAGCGAAATGACATGGTGGCTATTTGCAGTGATTTTGACATCTTTAAAAATGTGTGATTCTACTATAGTATTATGTTTAAAACGTTTGGTAAACGTTTCAAACTGAAATTTCGGGTTTTTTTTTATAGCGAGGCATGTCACTGCACAAAATGACACTTTGTTCGAGATTTTGTTCTGAAATGACGGAAAATTGGCGTTACATTTCGGACAGTCCGAATTCACAATTTAATACCATTGCTTTGGAATATCCAATTTTAAAAACAAAGCGGTATTTGAAAGAGCAAGATCAATATATTACAAAAACACAATATACATGTATTGCAATAACTCAAAATTGACTTTTTGCCCAAAAGTGCCTGATTTTTACATGGTACCACCTCACGTGTGTAACTTTTTAAAAGACCTTATTCATTGCAGGTATCTCAGAGGGTGCTCTTAGTAATTTTTCTTTTTTTAATATATAGGTCCTTTATATAATGTATGCCATTTTTTTCATTTACATGTATCTTTTGCTTGATTAGTTTTGTTCTTAGGTTTTAATGCTAATGTGCTTGTATTCATATTATTTTATTATTATTAATATTATTGTAACAATATTTAAACTTTAAAGGTTTTTCATGTTTAAATTTTTTTTTTTAATGACTGGTAAGCGCCTTGAACGTCATTTTAAAGGATTTGCGCTATATAAGATTATTATTATTATTATATTACTAAATGTACCATTAGGGAGACACCTTATCGTTATTTTTTCGATAATAGGGAGACACCGGCTTTTAGATAGACACATAACTGTCTCCCTAACGGCACAGCCCCCTTTAGAGGCAACATTTTATGTCGCAATTAGGTTATATTTGTTGCTCGTGGTCTAATTAGTTATTATTATTATTAGTAGTAGTAGTAGTAACAATGAACGCACAAAAGGTTTACTCATGCCTATATCCGCGCGAAACACAATCATAGCCCTCTGACTCAGGCTTAATGCAAAAGGTCTATTCATTGATCAATGCTTCTATTTCTGCTGAGCAGGTTGAGTTTCTGCTTGCTTTAATAGCACCTTTCTGTGGACTTGAACCCTATCTCTACCTGGCAGTAAGCATGGTTTCCCAGCGCCTTGTGGGCTTCATCAACCACCACACACTTGACTAGCTGCGTCGGGCACGCCCTGCGACTCAAGTCATTCATCAGGACCTGAGGAGTCAGGAAGAACACGCGGCATTTGTGCCACGCCTTCTGGCGTTCAGCTGGTGGCATATTACCTGAAAAAGACACCAAAAAAAAGAAAGAACGACCTGAAATATATCCCACAATCTTTGGTACTCTATGACCCTGGCGTCCAAGTTTTATGGAATTCAGGAAACCACTCAGGAAATGAGAGTAATTTTAGAAACTTTTAACATACATACAGTCATACGGGGATACGGTGATTACAGAATGTAGGACAGGTAAGTATGCCCCAAAATGATTTTGTAGGACACAAAGAAAAAGACAAGACAAATTAACCAATTTCCTGAATCATCAAAACAAAAGAAAATTTTAAGTTTTATTAAAATCTAATTTTGTGAACTGACAGTTACCTGTCATCTCAGCCATATCAGACTGTTGAATGCCCATCACGTTGTGGCAAGCCTCGATTTGTTGAGCTACCAAGGGCTTGGTGGGAGCCATGAAAACCACCCTGCCTTCTGGGTACCAGCGGTAGAAGTTATACATGACCACTGCGGCCACAAGCGTCTTGCCCAGCCCCGTGGGCAGCGACACCATGGTGTTTCTGAACAACGCCTGCTGAACGATGTTGTACTGGTAGTCTCGGACTGGGAGATTAGTTGGGTAGATCCAGATCTCTCCGGCGGATGCGTCGAATCCCGGAAGGTCCTCCAACTGGGTTGCCGTGGGAACAGGCTGATTCTGGGGGGATTGTCCTGATGGTAACCGGGTCTTCCAAGGAACGTTCTGTTGAGCTTGATCTTGCTTAGAAGCCCTGTCAATACTGCTCTCGTTGGCCGGGTGGATAAGTGTGGTTTCTTCCCAGTCTTGGCAAGCAGCCAAGAGAAGGTCATCGTCAAAGTTCTCTGTGACATCGTCCTGGTTGATGGCCTCCTGACCTCTTGCTGGTTGAAGAGTAACATTACCTAGTGTAAAAGATTTTGATGAAACTCAGGACGGGATTGTTGGGAAATCTACGTAATAACGGAAAATCTATTTCCCAAGAGTACATAGAGTACGAATAAAATTTCAATGTACTTGGTAACTTTTGAATTGAAATCTAGATCTAGAATGTTGTTTTCTCAAAATTTACAGCATCACTGAGCTAAAACATCATCACGTTAGTTATTAAGCATCTGTCTTTAGATTTTGAACACTTTTGTTGCTTCAATCGAACATAATGCACAAATTACAAATGATGTTCTTGACCTTCAAACAAGCACAGGAATGTGGCCAAAGAGCATGACAAACCAAAACTAATGCAGTGTTATATCACAATTAGTTTCAGAGTACTTACCATTTTCTTTTCTAGGGCTTTTGGTCTTTGTTCCACTGGCAAAGTGATGGAACAGGGTTTGTTGTTTACTCATTGTTTGACTTTTGCACCGCTAGTCTACATATACAGGGTGAGTCAGAAAGAAAGTGACCAAATTAGAATATGTTTAAAAATACAAGCATGTGGCTCACTCCATTTCACAAAAATAACAAAGGGATAAAGTACATGTTATTGGATAGTAACTGTGAAAATTTAACGTAATTTGCATGCTCTCCTACACGTACCAAGATATGTCTATTTTAATATGATCACAAAATTCAGCTGTCCACGACCAGACCACCACTGATTTTTTACCGTCCTGTGAACTGATGAATACCCATTAAATACAACGAAAATGGACGATTTCCCACGCCATGAATGAATGAAAAACTTGCTAAGGAAAACAGACAAAATCGCCGTCTATATTTCAGAAAAAATATTTTAAACACAATACTTGACAGTAAAAATAATGTTTTCAGTCTGGACTGAAACAATTAAAATCTCATTTGTATTTGAATGCCTGTGTGTAATCTGTAACTCTCACTCAAATGACAGAAAATTGGCGTTACATTTTGGAGAGTCCGAATTCACAATCTAATTACGTTGCTTTGGAATATCCAATTTCATAAAACAAAGCGGAAGATCAATATATTACAAATACACAATGTACATGTATTGCAATAGCTCAAAATTTACTTCTTGCCCTTAAGTGCCTGATTTTGACATACCACGTCACGTGTGTAACATTTTAAAAGACCTTATTCATTGCAGGTATCTCAGAGGGTGCTCTTAATAATTTTTTTTTTAATATACAGACAAAATCGCCGTCAATATTTCAGAAAAAAAATGGACTTGTTCATCATATTTTAAACACAATATTTGACAGTAAAAATAATGTCTCATTATTGTCTCAAATTAAAATCTCATTTGTATTTGAATGCCTGTGTGTAATGTGTAATTCTCACTCAGCTCAATAGCTTCCAATGGCATTACATTGCCAGTTATAAAATAGGTTCTTTTAGTAAACCATGCAGAACTTCTGATAACATGGATCACTTTCAGTATTTCTTTTTTTTCCAGATGGGTGGAAGAACCTGCTCTTTCAAGACATACTTCATTGGTGTATCAAAATTGATTAGTTATTAATTAAGAAAATAAAAATAATTAATCCAGGTCCTTTCTTTTTGACTCACCCTGTACAGAGAGATTCTGTCCACTATAGTCACTCGATTTTTCTTGGAGAATGCTTCATTGTTTTTCCTCAACCTGCGGGCTGCAAAATGACCAAAACAAAAAACCAACTGTCTGAGTTTCAATGGAATTTGGCAAATGCTTGCACAAGTGTACATGAACTACCATCGATGATCAGAATATGAAGAGAACTTTTCCATCTGATATTTGTTTTTCCTTTTTTAGCTTAACTTTTTAAAGGCTCATCCAGTCTGTTAGTAAAACCGTCATACAAGTTGCGTTAGCTTCTGGTTCCAATGGTTCCAATGCTACTTAATGGCCAGTGAACTGACGTCACACTAACGAATACAGAAGCAAGAAAGGAAATGTCATTAGAGGAAGCACCCCCCCATAGGCCTTATTCATGAGTCGGCCATATTGAATTGAAATTAAGGTAAAATCTTAATTTTTTGAACTTGCAAAGAGAAATGAAAGCAAGTTAATGTATAATAAATTCCAGTCTGCTTCAATGAATAATTTAAAATTTGTAATTAAACATTCCCTAAAGTTTAAAGCCATATTAAAAAAAGAATGACGGTAAAATAATGCCGCATTGCGCCTGCATAAATAGTCTGGCGCCATCCCATTACACAGTTAACAATTACTGAAATACATTCAGGGAACTCAACAAAAATGGCCAACTCGTGAATAAGGCCCATATTGCACACAGATGAGAAACCAGGTGATGTTAATGACTATGTACCGAAACACGATTTGATCATTCAAAAAATTACCATTTCAGCCTAAATCAGAATTCTCTCAGTTCTAATGACACTTTTTTTGTCATTTTCAACAGTTCTTTTTGGGTAGAAATAACGATTTTCATGCGCGGTTTGAAGATGGTGTAGTGCAATCCAGCGCGCCTGGCGCGTTCACAGTACATCGCGGCGATCGCCATCTTAATTTTCATGAAAAGTTTTGTCGTCGTCATCATTTTGCCCCCATATTTCCCTCAAAAAAATCAAAACTAGTGTCAAATTGGACATTTTTAATGGTTCATAAGCGGCACAGTGAACATACAGTGTCATGATACATGCAATTAATATTTACAATGTCATGCCGACATGTCAAGGATACCACCACAGACTACATGTACGTGATCAACCTGGATGGAAAAAATTTTGCAACCTGATGCCACTTCCACGATAGTGTAAAAAGTCTATGGAGAGTCAAGACAATTTTCTAAGTATTTCCTAACAAAATTAAAAATGTTTCTCAGTGACAGTCCCAGATTCATGTCTTATCATCATTTTTGCAATGCCTGACCGGGAAGAATTCCATACTAGGCCACCACTTACCTGCCGCCGAACACATCAATTTTCACTTCACCTTGTAATTTCATCCATGACGAATCCAGGAAGCTCCGGTAATGTGAATAATTTTTAGGAAAAATGTGTTTTTAGAGCACAGTTTGGATGCACACGTCGGCGTGCTGCAGAACTAAGTTCGAGGCACCCGGCTTGTCTAGCAGTATGTAATACACATGACATCGACAACGCATGAGCCGGCCAATGATAGTGCAAAACATCATTATGAATATTTAATTTCTCTAAGTATTTAGTGTATTTAATATTCATTAGTCTTATTTCAATGGATACTTTAAATACGTCCAAAGATTGATTACTGCAACAGCGATCGTGCTCGGCCTAGTAGTAATATGTCGTGTTTCAAACAAGAGTCCGAGGTTCGAATCTCGATGAAGTAAGTGACTGATTAAATAAATAGGAATAAAGGAAAGGAGAGGGTGAGAGTAGTGGAGGGAATAACCATGAAGGATGCAACTTTTGGGTGCTTGAAAATTAATTGAAAAAAGTGGTGGCCTAGTAGTAGGCTTAGTATGGAATCTTTCCAAATGACCTTCATTGAGATGATATAGGCCCTATTATATGAAGAAAAAAGTGGCATCAGGTTGCAACATTTTTTCCACCTGATCAATATCCCATGCGGGAAGAATGTAGTATCCAGACGCCGCTTCAGCATGTTCAGCGGTTGTGTACAAAGTCTATGGAGAGTCAAAAAATGTAACAAGAGTAACCTCGTTAAGGCCCAGGCCTAGGCATGCTAGGTGTATTTCCTAACTTCACTCAGTCTTTTCATGGAGGTTGGTCTTTTCAACATTTTTGCACAGATAGTGACCATACCTGGCCATCACTCATTTTTCCCTTCAGTGACTTATCAGCCATCAGAAAGTGATAATATATTGGCAGTGGATATTTTGTCGGAGACGGCAAACATTCAGTAAACGTTAGTTTGCCGGATATGCACTGAACATGCGCAGTTACTGTTTTTTTGTACTTTAACATTTTCCGGTGACAAATTTTAGTCTGGCTCCATGCCAATATTATCGTTGTATTTTTGTATTTACAAGATGGAAATCAGACCATTCTATAATTTCGGACTTTATTTCCCTTTAAAAAAAAATCCTCCAGAGCCACAAATCTGAAAAAGAAAAAGTAATACTCTGCAATAAAATGTTTGAGACATATTAAAATAATAAAAGAAGAATATTCTCATTTATTTGGGGATGGGAAAAAAAACACCATGGTATCGTGGCGGGGATCAGGATTCGAACTCTGGACATCCCACTCACTAGAGCCATTGCTAAACCACTGCATCGACTGTGCTACACAACTTTGGTGGGAATTTAATACATGTTATAATTCAGCCCTATCTTAAAGAGTACAGCGCCCTCTGTTGATATGGATTGCCGCCGGCAAACCTTTAGTAAACGTTAGTTTGCCGGCGTTACCTCCGGCAAAATATCCACTACCTAATATATTACAAAGTAAAATCATGGAGGTCGAATTAAGCAGGGAAAATATTGAAGTATTTACTGAGAAAACACTTGACTTAGAAATTGTCAGACCAGTCTCACTCTCATACGGTTTGTGCACAGGTGAAAAGTGATGTGCCACTTTTTGGGAACGCAGTGGCTATTGTTACGGCAGCCGTAATGCATTTCCCATTTTCTATCGTTACGGTAGACTGCAACCTGGCAACTTTTATAAAAAAACATGACAAGAAAATATAAAATTAGAAGGAAAAAAGTGAATTTGAACTTTATGAAATTCGGACTTTATTTCCCTTTTAAAAAAAATCCTCAAAAGCCTCAGGTTAGAAAAGGAAAAAAATTCGAGTGCAAAACTGAGATCCGAACCCGCAACCTCGCGGTGCAAAATCCTACCCTCTATCGGCTGAGCTGGCGCACTGCTCGATAAAACGTGTGGAAACAAATAATTATATACCTGCGTGCGTACCAAAAAAATATCGTAGAGGGCGCTAAACAACGAGTGCCGTAACGATAGCCACTTCGTTTTGGGAAAGACTCCCATATCTGGCTACTCCTAGAACTATGAGGCTCCACGTAGTGGAGCCTCATAGGTTCAGAAGCCCGCAAAATTGTTGTCAGCACAAAACACTAATTAAGTACAAAAACGTCCATCCCAAGCAGGCCGTTTTCCACAGAACCGCTGCAGTTTGCCCCTAAACTCCATACAATACCTCATGACATACTCACGTTATGTGCACCCAACAAACATCGGTGAATTCTGTCTGTTTTTCGGCAAAAATGATGAAAAATATGCCCTTTCCGCACTGAGCCAACCTAACACTTGAAACGAGCACGCGTGCAGAATGATCGCAGTCATTTTCGGTTCGATCGCTCGGAGCGCGCCGCGGGGGGTACGTACTTGCACTTGTACGCATGTGCATACTATCGTTCCGCTCCTACACCATACCCCCCGCGGCGCGCTCCGAGCGATCGGACCGAAAATGACTGCGATCATTCTGCACGCGTGCTCGTTTCAAGTGTTAGGTTGGCTCAGTGCGGAAAGGGCATATTTTTCATCATTTTTGCCGAAAAACAGACAGAATCCACCGATGTTTGTTGGGTGCACATAACGTGAGTATGTCATGAGGTATTGTATGGAGTTTAGGGGCAAACTGTGCAGCGGTTCTGTGGAAAACGGCCTGCTTGGGATGGACGTTTTTGTACTTAATTAGTGTTTTGTGCTGACAACAATTTTGCGGGCTTCTGAACCTATGAGGCTCCACTACGTGGAGCCTCATAGTTCTAGGAGTAATATCTGGCCACATCATGACATGTGGCCAGATATGGGAATCTTTCCCAAAAGTTTTTCCCAACAAGCAGTTGAACATCATGAAATATTTCGTTTTTTGTGACAGTAAGACTTAATTATTTAAATACCTGTTAATCTGGCGCCGTGGCACTGGCAGACATTGCTGGGTTTAGAACTTCCGCATTTCACGCAACAGCCAAAGTCTGGTGCATAGCTGCATGCAGAGTCCAAAACGATTTTCCCGCAAAACGTGTACAGGTTTAGACTGGTTCCTTCCCTAACTTGCATTGTGCATGCAACGCAACGAAGCACGGTAATCGAATCCATGCCGGTGAGTGGGCGGTCCAGCAAATCGAAGGGGGAGGGGGGGGGGGGGGGGGGGTGCTGGACACCACATGATACTAGGGGCCGCTGCCCATGATACAAATGTTTCTCTTTAAATTACGCGCTAAGTTCAAGACGGTGCATTTTTAAATATACTGTTTGTTCTCCCATGATGGAATAAAAAGTGCTGTAATTGTTGGAATGTAAGGCGAAGTAAAAAAAAATACATGTTTAGCGTCCCCGCCCGCTTCCTTTTTAGAGGCCGCCTCCTTTTTTTTTTTTTTTTTTTTTTTTAAAGACAAAAATTGATAAATTTTAACGATCTCTGCGCAGAAGAGATGTTCGGTTCTGCATAGTTACATCATTTTGGTCTCATTTTCTGTTGCATCTTGCCCATAAGAAGCCAGTATGTCATTTCCTGAGTCCAAGTGGCGGCCATCTTGAAAAATAGCCCGGCCGCGTTGTCTTGAAAAATGTGTCGGGCGGCCATTTTGAAAAAAAAAAAAAAAAGGGCCTCCTCCTTCCTTTTTGTCAAAGAGGCAGGACGCTAAACATGTTTGTTTTTTTATTTTGCCTAATTTCTCACCACAATTGGCACAAAAATCTGTGGGATGATCCAATGGCCCATCCCCCAGTCAATGAGTGGGGGGTATTATTATACGGGTGTGTGTGTGTGTGTGTGGGCTAGAACAAAGAAATGACTCCACAAGGATACAAATTACAGTACAAGCGCGCGGACCATGATCAAACTATAGTCCGCGGGACGAGAGACCGAAATGACGCTTTTTTTCGCTCACCACTTGGTCTGGTTTGCCGAATTTTATAAAACTTCCCAGACATGGAGACTATGATGTACCATATCTAAAAAAAACTTTGTTCCCCGATCCACAGTTTGTTTGGGAATGAGAAAATCTGGGATAAAAACTCCAAAAATGATGCATGAGAAAAAACATAAGAAACAACGCCCTCTATTGACACAGTCAGAAACCTTTTCGCACGTAATGATTCGCTCGTACCCGTACCCCCGCCCTGCAAACAGGCAATGAGTGCTTGTCAGATGAACCTTCTTTCAAATTTCATATTACATGTACATGCATATTCTAGATTTTTATTATTTCTCATCAGGATGCCAAACCCTTTTCATTACAGTTTGTCCAACTTGAAATGATCAAGTTTTAAGATCGAATATTATGTATTAACTACATTAAAGTGTAGTTAAACCATAACCCAGATAAAAAAATCTCATGGTAACGTCTTTTAGTTTGTCTTAAAGAGAAAAGGCCATAATTATTTTTTTTTCCAAACAGACTCCCCCCTTTCAACAGCAGTGACGCAGATAAGTTGAGGCGTCTTATTACAAAACCACTCAAAAATGACATCTCAAGTTCTCATACCGTGTGTACTTCTATTTTTGATTACACTTAAAAAAAAAAAAAAAAAAAGATAAAAAAAAAAAGAGACGGCAAAAACTGCAAATAGTGTTTTGGTATTTTTTATATTCCGGCGAAATTTGTGGTTTAAGTAATGACCAAAAGAAATACAAATTTACTTAATTTTTTTTTTTTTGGGGGGGGGGGGGAATTTTAATCTTCACAGTTTTTACCCACACAAGAGGAATGGTATTTAGAAGGCATACGTTTTTTTTCAATATGTACTGAATAAAGTTACTCATTCATTTTTAGTGACATCTAGGTTTGACATTATATGTTCATGAAATGAATCACATAGGCCTACATTACCAAGACTTCAAAATGCTATGTAATTTCAATTCAATCAACAGTTATATATTTCCATGATGCCACAACTTTCATTATAGAACAAAACATGCCATTTAATAAATAATATTATTAATGAGATCAAAATTTAGCTATATAATGTAATAACCACATAGGCAATTAAACAGGCATCTTCCGAAGTCGGGGTTTATATGGAGATAGCCGAAATGTCAACTCAACTCAACAGTAACAGAAACAGACTATAACAATCGGACAAAACAACTGGAGAACTTGCGATGAATGTGAATATGAGGGTTAGAGAAAATAGAAAATGCCATAAATGAATAATCATGCAACTAGTCAAAAATAAAAGCTAAGCATTAATATTGAAGTAAAAACATAATCGAAACAAGAATAAAAAAAAATTAAATAATTAAAAAAATCAAGCACAAGAAAGTGAACAGCAATGAACTGTGAACCAGATGAATGATAAGCAACAGATTAATTATAATCAGCCGCGAAATAAACAAACATAATACCGTAATTTTCGGAATATAAGCCGCGGCTTATACGTTGAATTTGCCCATGAAAATGTTTACTGCGGCTTATACACAGGGCGGCTTATACGCCGAGACTTGAAGAATAAAAATGACATTTACATGTGTATTTAATGTACTGGTACAAGAAGAGATGTGTTGCTGAAATAATTATCAATTAAGAAAGTCATTAACAAACCGAAAGCACGTCCCACAAAAAGATACCGAGCGGTAAAAAGTACGGCTAGTGAAAGCCGTCCCTTTGGACATCGACAACCGGCCGTACGTGATGCTGCCCATGCTGCATGCATGCTGCAGGGATTCCCCATGGACCACACCATTTGTGGTAATAAAGGGGTGCACTTTCTTGGGAACAATAATTACCAATATTTCCCCAGTTTAAAAAAAGGAAAAAGACAACTAATACTTTTTATGGAGTTTAAAACATATCTTTATTTGATAATCAGTTGTTCAACGTCACAATATAATTTTTTTTCTGGAAATGTATTCAAGAAACGATGTAAAACTCAAAACAGGGGTGAAACCACCCCTACGAAATTAATGGATTCGTCCATAAAAATCTCGGCATCGTGTTGACTGTTTTCGAAGAAAGTTACGATCCAAACTTGAAGTTTTGACGTTACTACTCGTTAGTAATCACAACAATTTGATAAGTTTTGCTGTAAAAACGGACTTGTTTATCCTTTAGGACAAAACAACTCAGCGTCTGTTGCCACAAAGCAGGATTTGTAGCGTTCCAGTCAGACAACACATGGTGGGTTGCATACTCTCTCAAGTGCTGGGGGAAAATAATGTCATTCGCCGGCACAGGCTCACTGACGAGCCAGCCGGCAGCAATTTCCGTTTTTTATTTCTCATCATCAATTTCCATATTTGTTTGTAAGAGTAATCGACTGTAAATGATTTGACATAACATTTGTTGCCCTTTTATAGCTTTCGTAGTGCAAATGGAACTGGTTCAGAGCATTTTGACTAGAATTTAGAGGCCTTACAAAATTGAACCGCTGCGGTTGGTGCGGCTTATACGCCGATGCGGCTTATACGCCGACCTCAAATCTTAATTTGCAGATTTTTGCGTGCTGCGGCTTATACGCCGCGCGGCTTATATTCCGAAAATTACGGTAATCAAATGGCAACTATATTTAAGGCAAAAATGTGTAAATATTAAACAAACAATGCATGGAATGTAGAACAAATTTATTAAAGCCAGTAAAATAATGAATTTAAAACAAATTTATATTAGTTATAACAGAAAGAAATAGAAGACAAAACTCAAAATAACCACTCAAATAAGTTAGGTGTGGTGGATTTAAAGGGGATGGCTCCTCAGTTACATACCAAGAGCATCTGGCGCAAGAGATAATATTGCAGATTGACGGTTTGAAAGGTCATGCATGGTAGTTCCTGAACGTCAAAACACTAATGGATTAATGCCAGAATTAATTGAAACTATTCTTAAATGTCTGTTTTGCTCCTCTGGTTCCAGTGATATTATACTTTGGTGTTTTTCAAGATGGCTACCAGCCGCCATTTTGAGTTTTGAGGTCACAGTGGTCCCGAAACGTAGTGAATACCATTTTAGCAGATTTGTCATGCCAGAAATAGTGGGAATCGACACCTCATTTATCAATATGGCTCATCTGGCTCCCGAAATACCACTTTTTATGTATTTCAATATGGCGTCGGCGGCCATTTTGAAAAAAAAAGCAGGTCAAATAGCAGGTCATGGTAGTCCCTGGACGTCATAAGAACCATTTTAATGGATTTCAATTCCAGGGTTTATTGAAAATAACATCTTAAATGTCTGTTTTACTCCTTTGGTACCAGAGATAATACTTTGGTGTTTTTCAAGATGGCTACCAGCCGCCATTTTGAATTTTGAGGTCACAATGGTCCCGAAACGTAATGAAACCATTTTAGCAGATTCGTCATGCCAGAAATAGTTGAAATCAACACCTCATTTATCAATATGGCTCATCTGGTTCCCAAGATATCACTTTTTATGTATTTTAATATGGCGTCGGCGGCCATTTTGAAAAACGTGCTATAAAAAAGTTTGCCGTCACTTTTGGAAGGTGTATGGGAGCTATTTTTTCTTCAAATTGGCCCTATTTGTCAAATCCATCGAGAAAAACAGGTATCCGCAACACGGATTCCAGGAAAATGACTTTACTATCGCGTCAAGAACAGACCGCCCGGCCGATCTCGGATGGCCATTGCGTGAGAAAAGGTTTCTGACTATGTCAATAGAGGGCGCTGTTTCTTATTTTTTTTTCTCATGTAGAATTTTCGGCGTTGGTATCCCAGATTTTTTCATTCTCAAGCAAACTGTGGATCGGGGAACAAAGTTTTTTCGATACGGTACACTACAATCTACATGTCTGTGAAGTTTTATAACATTCGGCGAACCAGACCTCGTGGCGAGGGAAAAAAGGCCTCGTCCCACGGGCTAGTACCACTTTTGTGACGGTGGCTTACATGCGAAGTTTGCAAACACGTCGATCGACCGTGTGGCATGTGACGCCGGATACCACTGATCCATCGACGATTGGGGCAGAAATCAAACAATCCAACACCTGTTGACCTCGGGAACTTAGTTGAGAGCAAACCTTTCGACCTGTCGAACCTCGACCAACAAAACTCAACCTTGTGATCGCACGGTGAACTTTAGACGGCGAATACATAGTCTAAAAAAAAATCCTGACGCATAGTAGGCCTACAAGTTACCATACAAACGTACATACGTCAGCTATAAACGTACTGTATAAACTGGCCGAAACCGAGGCGATTTCAGAACAAGGTCAGTGTCAAGCGTTTTCCCATCCTGTGTCATGGATTCGAAACCTCTGGTAAACTCAATGGAAGAGACACCAGTCAGCACGGCGTTGCCGAGTGCACCTGCGACACAGAACATGCAGAATGTAAGTTCAGTATATCGCCCTATTTAACTTAAAATAGAAGATTCACAGTTGACATACATATTTTTTTCGCAACCCGTGTGCCAATGAGCAGACGTGCCATTATACCAGGAGGTAAATGCACGTAAGCCATCATGTCTATACTACATGCAAGTACATGTACATGGTTGATATACATTTGTACATGTGCCATGTGACCGTTAGCGTATATACTATGAGTAGTAAGGGAGGCGGGGGTGCTGGACTTTGTCATAGGTCTGTGGGTAGTACAGGGCCATTAATGAGAAGTCAGGGTACCAGACTTTGTCATAGGTCTGTGGGTAGTACAGGGCCAATGGGAAATCCCCCGATCTCAAGAAAAAAAAAAAATAAAAAAATAAATCTAACGGAGAGAGAGTGAGAGAAAGAAAAAAATTAGCTCCTTACCCTGTAAAAGGTAAGGAGCTGTTTTATATAAAAAATGGAGAGTAATATGTTTAGACCGACGAGTATTTGAAAAATGAATAAAAAATAATATCGGTTTTTATTAAATAGATGGAATACTTTGAGATGACACAACTTGGAGATCAATGCGATCATCATATAATCATCGAGAATGGTTTTTTAATTTGTGAAACGTGCGGTGAAATAGTTTCACGTTATTTTGATTTTTCGGCAGAAAATGCGCAAGAAGATCGTATCAATTGGTCAATTTTAAAAAGAAACAAAAGAAAAACTGTGGAGAAACTTATTTTGTCTGTTTGTCCAGAGCAAGACTTAGAAGATGTCCAAGAAACAATCAATAAATATAACGAGCTCGTTAATTACAAAACATTGAGGGGGAATGGTTGCGTCAAACGGTCATTAATAGCGGCGTGTTATCATCACGTCGTTGGATTAGACAAAGAACGAGTTAGAGATTTATTTAAAGTGACTCAAAATCAATTTAATAAAGCACTAAAAATATACGATGACCACTACAATAAAGGCGGGGCCGAGGGTAACACCCTAAGAGGTGAAATGGAGGTATAAGTCGGCGGATCGCTTTCATAATGTTTATTTACCGAGAATTTGAACTTGTAAGTTTTTCGATAAGAGATTTTTTTCTTTTGCCAGCCGTTCGTCTACCCGTTTTTTAACTTCTTTTTCAAAGTCTGTATCGTTTTTAATCTTTTGAAGCTTTGTGCTGGTCTTTGCTCTAATTTTTTGCTTAAGCTCGTTAAATTTGGCGAGCTCTCTCGTAATCAATAAGAACTCTTCGTGCGATATATCTCCGTCGTTGATGGCTTGAGACACGTATTCTTCAATCGTGTTAAGTTTGGAGTCTGCTAATATTTTAATCTGGTCGTGCTTTTTTAGCTTGGCGGATAATCGCCTCGACGCGATTCTAAGCAGAATATCTACACCAAAAGCGCCTATAAACGTTCCTTCTAGCACCAATCCGACGGGGGCTGATATAACACCCAAGAGAGCGGGAATACTGACAGCCCCCGCTATAGCCCCCAATCCTTCTAATCCTATCTCTACGTAATTAATAGTGTCGATCACTCTCTTTATTTTTTTATAAGTGCGCTCTCGGTGGTCTCTCTCTTTCAAGATTAAAGATCGAATCTCTTCAATCTTTTTAAGTCTGTACACTTTTGTTTCTTCGTTACTATTTAATCGGAGTACATCTCCAGAAATATCGGGGTATAACACCTTACCATCTACACTCATGTTTTTAATATAAAAAGATTTTAAAATTAAAAGATCTCCAACTCTATCATGATACTCACACCCTTGTTGTTGATGATCTGTCCTTTTTCACCTATGATTGAAAATGTCAGTTTGTCGATTATACCGTTTTTAAGTTTCTTGAAATCCTCGACTCTATCAGGCTCGGGTTTGCGCGTAGCCACGGGTATGATTTTTAAGATGTCAGACGGTCGACCATCAAAAAAGTTTTCACTCGTACTTAATTGCGGGCAGCGAATAAACAAAAATTTAAACGGATTAATGTTGTAAGACCCCGTATACACCACTTTGGGTATCAGTCTTCCTTTGGGTAAATTAAGTAATCGAGAGACTTCTCTGTTTAAACGCAATTTGAGATTGACGTCGGTTACCACCAACGTCACCTTTTTAGATTCTCTAAATATTCGAAAACTTACCCCGGGTATATAATTTAAAATAAAATCGAACCAATTGACGTCGTACCACCCAGGTGGGATGGTGACTGAACCGGTGACTCCGGCTGGTAACGGCGCTAAAAGACTCGGAGAAATAAAATCTAAATTATCACCAGACACGACAAGACTCCCCCGTATTGTTATCCCAGCATTTCTAATTACTCTCGCTCTAGGTTCGCTTATTATACCTTCGATATATTCTAGCGCTATCTTTTTACCTTCATCGATGAAGCCTCTTCTTTCAAATAAAGTTGTTATTAAAAATATAATCGTATTGCGTTGTACGTCGGTTAGTGTTCTTTCTTGACTTTTATCGTGTAAATTTCTTTGTCTTTCAATTATTTGTTCTTTTTCTTTTTCGATCGATTCTAAAGCAGAGTCTAGTCTATCTTCTTCATACGCTTCTATAAGATCGTTTATAACTCTATTGAAAGTATTTTCGTCTCTAATTAAAAAGTCGTAGGGGTACTCGGGTACCAATTGCGCAATAAAATCTCTATCTGTTCTTACTGCTATATTTGAGTCAACCCGTTCGTATCTTCTATCATCATCAGGTCTTTCAGCGGGTCTCCCATCTATTTGCGTATACCAATCAATCTCTGTGGCGCTGGAAATATTAAAATATCCGGGTTAAACATTACTCTTTTTACGCGTACAGATTTTTGACCGTTTAAATTATCTACAACGTCTTCTAATTTAAACGTCTGCTCATTTTGAAACAAGTGAAACGAATGCATTTATTTTAAAGTCTTTTTATATTAAAACTGAAACTAAAATAATGAGTGATTTTGAGTCGTTAAAAAAGCAGATACAATCGATAGCTGATCAGGTAGCGAAACAAGTAAATCAAAATGTAGCTAAACGACAAGCTATCACCCCAGCGCATGTACTAGACAGTCCGTATCTCACTGGCGAACTCGAGATTACGGTCAACGCGTCTAACACGTTTTTAACCCCGTTTTCCGACTTAATCTCGGACTATAAAATATCTCGCCTCAATACCAACGATGCTGTACTTCGTTGGAAAATAGACCCCATGTCTTTTTATCAAAATCAGTTAAACTTTGCGATCTATTGCGCTACAACGGGCTGTGGTGTTGGAATCGATATTTTAAACTCGAACAACCGTTACGTTAAAGCCTTATTTAATTTTCATCTATACTTTACAGTTAGAAGGATATTAAACGACATGGCCATAGCAATACCGGGAGAAGACTCGTTTGACGCTCTCAGCAACACCTATGATCGTGGAGCATTTACCAACATCTGTCGGACGTTTGCCATCGATCAAAATAAGTCTTTTAAACAGACGAGAGATCAAAAGACTTATGGCTTAGGTCGGCTTTTTCTTTGGAACGAAAAAACAAAATCGTTTTTACTCTTGCCGTTAGACTATGATAAAAACACGACCACACTCGACGATTTTATCAACCCCACGGGTGATAAAAATTGGGGTTTAGACGATCAAAAAAAACACGATGCTTTTTTTAAGCATTGGAAGGGTTATCTCGAACAAGACGACATCGTCAAAATGGCTTGGTTAGATTTTATACCCGACACGAGTTCGTTCACCTCCGCGGGAATCATAAAGATCAACGAATCGATCAGATCTTACGTGTACGCTTTACTCGGTGCGCAGGCTCAAACAAGAACGAGTGTCTTAACACCAGGCACTGGATTAGACGCTCAGAGACAATTTAACGTCATCGTTGAAGATATCATCAATGCAGTAGACGATATGGAAACGAGTATCGATCAATTTCAAGACTCGCTGCAGTATGCCAGAACACCTTTAAATTTTGTCGTAAAACCGGGGTTATATTTAATTCCATCGGATATGAACTTGAGGATTGGAACGCATGAAGGTTATAACAACAATCTTCAAATTGCTACCCAGAGTATGAAAACTGGTTTGGTGCCAGATTTAAACTCACAACCTCAACCGGATGACTCTTTTGATGACACCGATGACGTCGCGCCACCAACACCCCTAGAGCCTATGACAAACGATGTTGTATCACCAGCACCAACACCAACACCAACACCTACACCAACACCAACACCAACACCAACACCAGCACCAACAGTTTTAACCCAACCCACAAAACTACAAACTCACCAAGACGAAAAATTATCGTTGACGGTAGGAATATTAGCTATCGTTGGCATGGGTATTTTGGCTTACGAGGCAACGCGATAAGTCACACTCTAATCTCACAACAAAAAAATAAGCCTTACCAACTTTGTGCTGGTAAGGCTTATTTTTTTTGTTTAAACTTGATTACAACTACCATCGTTTTTGCAGGTATGCAAACACCAAGGCTCCCACACCCAAAAACAAAGCCCACACGTGTTCGGCCAACCACGATACGGACTTACTCAGCGCGTTAAATAGCCAACTCAGTATGCTACCTATGATGCCCGGCAGAGCACCCAACGCGCTCACTCCGAGTTTTTGAAGAGCAGATGCAAAATTAGCGAGTTGTTTTGAAATCCACTCTTTGATACCGCCTTTTGGTGGTGTTGGTGTTGGTGTTGGCGTGGGTGGGGCACCCGCGCCTCTCACGCTAGCGACGATGCTACTCACTATCGTGCTGATGGCTAAACTCAAAGCGGCTAAAATGCTCACTACAGTCATACCTTGTTCTCTAAACAGAGTTCTAATCTTTTTCGCCAGAGTCGTGTCGTCGCCCAATATTTTATTAATCGTTTCTTTGATTCTATCGATCTGACTTTTGAGCCCTCGTTCGTTGGTTTTTGCGGCTTCTAATCTGGCGGATCTTTCAGCGTCTAAGTCGCTCAATTTATCGTTTAACTCTCGTCGTTCTTCTTCGCTGATCCTATGATCACCTAATT